GAGGCAGATGTCCATCAAATATGATGAGGAAACTCTGAGGCTTGGGATAATAATAATAATCCCTGCATTTGATATAGTGCCTTAGCACGTCATTGAGACTTCTCAAAGAGCTTCAAAGAATATACTGTAAAGTAAATTGACTGTATATTTTGTGGGTGAAACAGGTAGCCAATGTGTACAGCAGGTCCCACAAACAATCATTGGTCCAGTGATCAAATTATTATTTTGAAAGGGATTATTACCCCTGGAAAGTGATCCACCAATTGACTAACAAACGGGTTCCTACTGACTGCCGGGTTAACAGAGATGTTTGGATTAAGAAAACTTGCCAAAGGTTTTGCCTAACCCGGGAATCGAACCTGGGTCCTCTCACTTGCGATGCTAGCGCTAACCACGTCACTACAGGACTCCACAATGGATAACAGCTGCTGGAAGGAGTTACCTGACATCTGGGATCGTGGAACACATGCATGTAATGTGCAGCGCTTGGTATCAATCCGGCAGCTGTGCAGAGTGTTGTAAGCACTTTCACTGGTAGAACCACTCAATGGGTAGGAGTGTATATCAGAGCTGTGGGTTGGAAGATACTGTTATTCATTTCATACTGGTGTTGCTCAGGAAGCGCACGATGAGTACCTGGCAAATACAGGCCACCATCTGTGTCTGACTCTGTGAAGTCTGCTGGCTGAGCCAGGTTGGCTTGTAGTACTCCCAAGGCACTGCAAGGTAGAAGAGTAGGTCATGGACAGGGAAGCAGGGATTCCTCCTACTCAGCTCCTGTCACCACTGTCAGGCAAAGCCTGAACAGGAAGGAGGTCGAGCCAGATTTCGTCTGGGGGTTGGACCAATTCCCAATGTTCACGAACATGAATGAAAACTCAAATAAGGGTCAGTTGAAAGGAACAGTTACAGGGGGACTTGGCACTATTAGAACTGGCAATGGATATTGATTACAATAGGGAAAAAGATTCATCTGACCAGATCGCTTTGCAGACTGAAATAAAAGCGGCAGTGCTTTTATTATACAGAGTGAGCAAAAAGTCATGATACCTACCCTATTATCTAAGAACAAACAAAAGTATCATCATTTCTTTAAGAAATGAGATATTGTAATTGTATCATTACTTATTGGTCATCATGTACATTGGAATTATAATTATTATAATCCTTGCATTTGCTATAGCACTTTATCACATTGTTGAGACGTCTCAACGAACTTCACAGAATATACTATGAAGTGGAATGACTATATATTTTGTGGGGAAGAGGTGTAAATCAGCGGTGGCCAACATGACTGAAAATGGCTCACAGGGCCATCAAGAAGCAGCCCCTTCTCAATTTTTTTTAAGGGATTACAGTATTACCCCCAGAAAAATGATCCGCCAATCGACTAACAACCAGTTTCCTACTTACTGCTGTAAACAGTGGAGTAAGGAAACTTGCCTAATGTTTCGCCCCAGGAATTGAACCCAGGTCCTCTCGTTTGCGAGGCGAACGCTCTAACCAATATGCTACAGGACTCCACAGATGTTTTATTTTGGTGGCCAACCGTACCACAACTGGTGTTGCTCGATGTCGTCCAAGTCCCTTTGTTCATTGATGAAGCGTGAGCCTTGTTCAGCATTGGCAGGCCACGCGACTGCAGAGGGCGTCAAAGCCTTTTCTTACTGCATTTGCTCACATGTACACAACCACCAGAAGGCACTAAAGAGGGACCAGAACCGGCNAAAAAAAATCACCCGATTTCACCATCGCTCCTCCTGGGAAAGCCTCGGCCAATTCAGCCTCTCCATGATATCCAGGTCAGAAAGCTCGGCCCGCAACTACAGCTCTTGTCCATTACACCAACGGGGCTGGATCTCCATTCTCAGATAACAGATGTGTTTGAATTCAGAGTTGGACACCAACTTCAGCTGTCATTTGAACTAGATTAGAATAATAATGATCCGTGTATCTGATTTGGCACCTTATCAGGTCTTGTGAGATGTCTCAAAATGCTTCACAGACTATACTGTAAAGTGAATTGACTGTATATATTTTGTGGTTGGAAGGCAGCCAATTGCGCACAGCAGTGTCCCACAAACAGTTGTGAATTCAGCGACCATCAATTTTTTTTAAAAGGAATTATTACCTCTGGACAGGCAAATGCGCCAATCAACCAACAATCAGTTCCTACTTACTGCTAGGTAAAAGGAGGTGTGTGGAGTAAGGAAACTTGCCTAAGGTTTTGCCCTGCCCGGGAATCAAACCCCTTGTGTGAGAGGCGAGTGTTCTCGGCAATACTCTACAGGATTCCACTGTATTAAGTGATGCTGTTTCCAGATGCCCAGAATAAAGCAAACTATCACGACATTTGCATCAGTAATTCTTCCGTCAAATGCCCCTGGATGTTGAGTATATTTAAATGCAGAATGTGAATCGGTGCTGCTTTTAAGACGAAAGCAATGAGCATTAAGCAGGAATGTACAGGGAGTCAGTGCACAAAGTCTTCTTACCCCCGTTACAAAACAGTGATACGAGACCATGGAGGAGTTGAAACAAGCTGTCACCTCGCCTCCTCACTCCATTCGTGTTACAGAAGATGTCGCACCAAACATGGTGTTGGATCATTATGTGTTATGAAAATGAAGGCGCTCACACACATCCTCTGGACATCTAAATACAGTTAAACACTTGTGAATACAATGAAGTACTTCTACAATTATCATCAATCTTCTAAGTTTCAGTGGTTGGTCAGTGCACTTTAAAAAAAAACATGGGGAGACCCTGAACATGAAAGCAACAACTTGCATTTATATAGTGCCCTTCAAACGGGGCAGCATCTTGGAGCATTTAACAGTGGTGGAGCCTGACGCTGAGCCGGGGAGGGAGGAGGTAACCGTAATTACAGTCGAAGAGGAAGATCCTCAGTTGTGATCTAAAAGAGGGGAAAGAAGGGGACAAGGCGGAAGGATTGGAGGAAGAGTGATCCAAAGCTTCGGGCTGCAGTGGCTGAAAACTCAGCCGCCGGCGGAGGAGAGGATGTGGTGTTAACATCTATCTTACGATTCAGTCGATAGAGGCTGTGGGTTTTTAACAGTAGACACTAAGATGTTTCCTTAAAACAATACATACGTTTTAATTTGCTAAATTTATTTTTAACAAATCAACTTAGAAATTCATCGCACTTGAAACAAACTTTAGAACATGTAAACATACTTGCTATGTTTCTGAAACGGGTATAAATAAGTTTGTTTAACTTTAGTAATTGGGAGAATTACAAAAGTACAACAAATACCATGTCATAACAATTAAGGCAGGTTACAGGGAGCACAGTGTTGCTTGCACTCTTTTCGATTTGCAAAACCTTAGCAATTTAGTGGCGCCAAACTAAGCAACAGTCACGACATGTTAGATTAGTGGACTAGGTACCATTAACGTTGCTTTTTATCATACGCTCCACTTTTTGCTGTGGAGCATAATAACATTACATTACACCCATTCAAAAAACACAATCATGGCTTGTTATGATCAGATTAACCCGAGCAGGTGGTTTAAAATAACATGGTCCTTGTCAAAAAGAATGTAAGTTTGGTAAAGCTTATTAAAACAACGCACATGGCTCAGCATGCACCAATCACTTCTAATGACGGTCTGAGGTGCTGACAATGCAATGCAGAAAGTGGAGTAGACCTGTGGGGCTAGAGGCTGGGTTGAAATCAGGCTAGTTACTTGTTTTTTATGAAAAAAAGCTTTTTTTTTTGCTTTAAAAATAAAGTAAATAGCGTTTTCAAACTTTGACCGCTGCACGTTTGAACCTTTCAGAACTCTAACCAACAATCTATCCTTTCTTTTTGTTTCCTCAACTGTCACGAGCGGTGAGAAACCACCAAATATCCAAAGAGGTTTTCTGCTGCTGCGTAGAGATCCATTTTCACTTAATGTGGGGCTCGCCCAAGGCCTAAAAGTTGATGGGTGACCAATATTAACATCAGGAATCTCACGGTGGTGGTGGTGGGGGGGGGGGGGGGGGGGGAAATCATGGGAGAACCAAAATACACCACCAGAAAAAAATCAAGATAATCTGCTTTTATCAATAGGTGGATGGCATATTTTTCCACGTTTCAAAGACATCTGTCTAAATAGATGAATGTTGTACTATTTTTTCCCGCCCAATATAAATGGCCTGCAGATACCATTCATTCTATGTCATCATCAGTAACCCCCTCATCGCCACTAGTTACGAATTAGAATTTTAATGATTCTTAGAAAAGTGTAGTTATGCATGAGATTACCTAAACATGTATCCATCCCTACTCTACAGGTTAAGGCAGTAACAATTTTGTTCCTGATAAAACTGACATTTTAATTTTTACACACAAACGTTAGAGCCATCTTTTTTCTTCCTTCCCCATCTTTTTTGCCACCTTGAATGCCTTTTTACTCTCAACCCTTACGGCGTTGAATTTTATTTTTTTGGACTGCATTTTTCTAAAATTACGTGCAGCTGAGGGAATCAAAGTTTGAACAAGAAAGTACTATCCAAACACTAGGAGCAATCAGTGCTCCCCGAAAATGGAAACCTCAACAAAAAAAAAAGCTAAGGTCCTGGGGGAGGTGAATATACGAAGTTTATATTTCTATACAGCCAGATTCTAATAAAAAAAACACTTTACTTTTGATCGTTGCGAGTCAGGCTGATTTTCTACTATGGAGCTAAAGGCTGCGAAGTACAATTTGGTTCTGCGGAGGAATTACTTAAGAGCCTTGAAAAAAAAATTAGAGAGAGAGAGAGAAAAAAAAATCACACAAGATTTCCTAGTGTCAACGAACTTAGACCTGGCATAAAGGTAGCTGCATTTATCAGTGTGTTTCACAAAGTTTCTTGTTACATGGTATCAAATCAAATAACTCATGCCCATTTGCAGATTAATAAAAATTACAGTCAATTTTTTTCTATAAAATTCTGTACATTTTCACAAATTATTGCATAAACAGATTTTTTTTTTTTTCTTTGAGATCATTTCGAGTAACATTTGACCGCTGGATACAAAAAAAAAAAAAAAAATCATGTTTCCCTTCTGGCCTTTTTCTTTTTCTTGATCTGCTTGGGTGACTCCCAGCTTTCTTCGGATTTAACTGCAAAAGGAAAACGTAGCGTGAGAAAACGCGCGGCAAGACACCGGTAGCCAAGGACAGCTGGTCGCAACGAATCGAGAATTCAACAACTTATGTATTTATATAGTGCCCTTCACGTGGGGCAGTGTCTCAGAGCACTTAACAGTGGCGGAGCTTGACGCCAAGCCTGGGGGAGCGAGGAGGTGACCGGTCGAAAAGGAAGCTCTTCAGTCATGATCTAAAAGAGGGGAAGGCGAGGCGGAGGGATTGGGGGAAGGGTTCCAAATCTTTGGGACGTAGTGGCTAGAAAAGCGGACGCTGATGGTAGAGTGGACAAGGGACAAGCAGGAGGGTAGAGCCAGCAATTTAGGAGTGGAATCAGGAAGCACTTTTTCACGCAAAGGATAGTGGAAATCTGGAATTCTCTCCCCCAAAAGGCTGTGGGTGTTGGACCCATTCAAATTTTCAAGACTGAGGTGGATAGATATTTGTTAGGTCAGTGTATCAAGGGATATGGGGCAAGGAGGTTAACTGAAATTGAGGTAATCTTATAGAATGGCAAAACAGGCTCGAGGTGCTGAATGGCCCACTCCTGTTCCTATGTATTATGAGATTCCAAATCCCAATGTGGGGCTTGAACCCTCAACCTTCTGACTCGAAGGCGAGAATGCTACCACTGAGCCAGGCTGACGCACACGTTTGAGACAAGAGTTGGTTCCATCTTCCTTTTAGTTCCATGGACTGAGGCTGTTGACTCAGAAAGATTTCACACACTGACCTTGTGAAGGAGGCAAGCTATTGTGTTTAGCGGTGGAAGCGGGCGGTTCCAAATCCGACAATGCATCTGGCACTTGGGAAACGCTGCCCTGGGGAGAGCTTTCTGAAGCAGCATCGGGCTCCTGGGCGATGGTGACTGGCTGTGCCTCCTCAGCCTGCGGGAGCAATGTTGAGGGGTAAAAAAAGATTCACGATTTCACACTAAGCACCAGAGTTTTCACAATCCCCTGCATCTATTTTTCAACCCAATTAGAAGGGACACAAATGCACTTTGCGCTTATAATGACAATGATATTCCTTGCATTTGATATATCATGTCGTTGAGACGTCTCAAAGCGCTTCACAGAATATACTGTAAAGTGAATTGACTGGATTTTGTGGGCGAAACACACACAGCAGAATACAACAAAGTCATGGATTGAATAACCAAATTATTATTATTCTTTATTTGTTTATTTTTTGAAGGGATTATTAACCCCAGAAAGCGATCCGCCAATCAATTAACAACCGGGTTCCTGCTTACTGCTAGGTAAACAGAGGAGTATGTAGTCAGGAAACTTAAACTTGCCTCAGGTTTAGCCCTGCCCAGGAATCAAACCCAGGTCCTCTCGTTTGTGAGGCGGGTGCTCTTAACTAATATCTACAGGTCCATTTCAGCACACGGTGACAGTATATGTTATACTAGATGGGTCTGGTCATTGAGTTCATGTGTCCTAAGCTCCTACCATGGCTTCTACCATGTGCGATTGTAAAAGTGTTTTATGTATTGAAGTTGTCACACTAAATGCTCATACATCAATACCTCCAGTTATTTCATTGGAACACTGAATGTGCCAGAAACCCGATCCCTGCATTATCACCCTTCTGAACAGGCCAAACATGGACAAACATAAGGGATCGCAATATACAACATGAGCGGGAGTCCTGCTGCAGTAACCTGAGAGCTGGTTCTGACTCCGGGTTTAAACTGAGATGGCCTCAAGACATGTGGTCCCCCTCCCTGCCCCTCCCACCATCGGAGGTCAAGCCTTCAGCCTTTCTGCCCCCATCCTTTGGACCTCCACCCCACAGTCCCTTCACCTCGCCCCCTCCCCTGCCTCCATCAAGACCCGTCTCAAAAGATTCCTCTTAGACCATACCTTCCTCTTAGACCCCTACCTCTGCGTCCTCCTAACCCCCTACCAACCTGCCCGCTGCCCTCCTTTTCAACAGGCTCCGACCCGCTTCACATCCCCCGCCTCACCTTTCCCACCATTGGTGGGCGGGCCATCAGTCACTCTGCCCCCACCCCTAGAACTCCATCTCTGCAGTCCATCCACCTCGCTCCCTCCCTTGCCTCCTTCAAGACCCATCTCAAGACCCTCCTCTTCAACCCTGCCTTTGATCACCCTCCTTCCCCCCTTGCCCTCCACCATCTCCAATCCCAACTCGGGTCCGAAACACTAACTGTCCAGCACCTTGGGACATCCTCCTGACGTGAAAGGCGCTATACAAGTGTAATTTGGTTGGTGGTTGGGTTCGGTCACTCTCCTAACCTCACCCACCCTTGCCCTCCACTCCTCCTGATCTAATAGAATGGCGGAACAGGCTCAAGGGGCTGAATGGCCTACTACTGTCCCTACGTACATTTGCACTGGTCTACAGATTAGACTCATCTGATTTTAGCACCATCCATCAGTACCGATTAGTTAAACCTTTGCATTTAAACTTGAGTCTTCAACACTGGACTGACTCACCCTTCAGCAAATGAATAACTTCATTTTCATCATATTCATCAAACAACTGATATCAATTCATCAAACCTTTACTTGTTGTGGCGTGCTGACTCTCATCTCAGCTGATTCACTAGTGCAGATAGTCTCAACAGGCAGAACAATCTGCTGCTCAGGCTGGGACTGTATAACATGTTGATCTTTATCTCCATTCGTGGCTTCCTTCTCTTGCTCCTCTGCGTCCTTTTAAGTAACAAGAAAAACAATTAAAAGTCTATACATTGAAAGATTAGGTGAGGATTCCAAATCATTCCCAACAATAATAATAATTCTTGCACTTGATATAGAAACAGAAGATGGTCAAGGATGGAATGGTTAAAACAGTCAACAGCATCAACAACGTACATTCATATGGTGTCCTTCACACGGGGCAGTGTTTCAGGGCGTTTAACAGCGGTGGAGCCTGATACCAAGCCAGGGGGAGGGAGGAGGACCCGGTCGAAGAGGAAGGTCTTCAGAAAAATGGAAGGAGGGAGCAAAGGGGAGTGATTGAAGGAGAGAGTTCTAAAGTTTGAGGGCTTAGTGGCTGAAAGCACAGCCGCCGATGGTGGAGCAGAGAGGATGAGGGAAAGGCAGGATGGAGCAGCTGAGGGTGGTGGAGTGGGGAGTAAGCAGGTCGGAGATAGGAAGGGGCCAATGCCAGGAGGGATTTGTTGACAAGTGTGAGGCAGTCAAAAGCAACAGAGAAGTCGAGGAGGGCAAGGAGGCTGAACACACTTGAATTCTTCCACTGCCCGTGGTATCCCTTTTCTTGTGAATGGAATCACTGCTGGCAGTTTCCAAGCATCAACCATTCTGCTGACTGTGAGGTGATTCAGTAAATCTGCTTCCCTTGATGTAGAAGTGAGCACTGCAACGGGCCTGTTTTTCTTACCCTAATAATCCTTACATTTGGTACAGTGCGGTTCACATTGGGAGGACGCTTCACAGGATATACTGTGAAGTGGAGCGATTGTTTTGTGGGCAAACATCTACTATGGGTTAAAAAAAACAGACACCAATCGTACACAAACGCTTACTTGCGCAGGGGCATTGCCGTCCTCGCCTTTCTTCTTCTTCTTTTTCTTCTTTTTCGATTTGCCACTCGCCGAACCTTGCGCGCCAGCGTCCACCTTCTCCTTTTCTTCGTCGGAGACCTGCGAGCAGGGAGGGGAAAAAAATGTTATTGCAGACTCCTCTGATACACTGTAAATGAAGTTTACATCTCCGCTGCTTAAGCCCCCGTCAATCCAAATTTAGTGAAACAAAAAACTTGGATCCAAGTATAATCCTCCAAGTTCGACTGCGCCCACATGCACCCCGCACATGCGCACCCACGCATCGCACACACATGCACTGCACACATACCGCACTCGCACACAAACACACAAACAGGGGTGCACACAATACTGGATTTATTGAAGCCCAGTGGTTTGAACTTAAGCGCACATTTCTTTGCACAAAGTGATTTATAGTCTACAATTAATCCAATGCCTGGAGAAACCCAGGAAGATTGACTGACATTCGACCACTGAGCGCTATATACTTGAGTAGCTGCTGTGGAGAAGCTATAGAAAAAGTGTTCCACAGTAGTCACAGCTGGGAATTCTAGGGCAACATGCACAGCTGTCGGTCTTACGTCACAACAACTGCAGTGTAGTTCCTCACAGAGTTACAGGAATCAAGGGAAGACGTATAATAATAATCCTGGATATAATATAATAATCTTTGCATTTGACATAGCACCTTGTCGTGTCTGTGATGTCTCAAAACGCTTCACAGAACATACTGTAAAGGGAATTGACTATATTCTGAGGGCAAAACACGGCAGCCGATTGCACACAGCAGTATCGTGGGTTGAGTAACCACATTTTTTAGAAGAGATTACCTTATTATCAATAATAATCAGGTGATAATAATAAGTATTAATTATTACTATGACACTGTTGCAGAGTGGATTCCTGCCCTGATGCAGATTTGGTTATAATCTCTGTGGTTGCAGTGTGGTCCCCAATATACATGCGCACAGCCTTATGCTAAAATGGCTGACTCGCAGGGAATTGGGGTGTCACTTCTTCCCGCACGCACAGAAAGAACAGCGACAACTTCAGGGAGCCACCTGACGACTTTCTAAAAACAACTGTGGGAAAGAGCCACATGCTTTTTTTAAAAAAAACTTCAGGTTCAGGGAGTGACCCAGCCAGCTGCACACACCGTGCAGTAACCAGCTATCACAACTCATTATAGCACGGGCTGGGATTTCATGTAACTAAACCACCGTGCTACAGGGGTTAGGGTCAATGTAACTGCCTACAATTGTGTACAGCGAGTCACCACCTTAATGTGCAGGTTGCTCTCATATTCCATCTTATTTACATTGCATTCACTTAAGGCTTAAGTATTAATTTTACATTTATGTAAATTTAAATTCAAATTTGCATCTACTTAAGGTTAGACTCCGGCAGTTACCCCAACCTGCTTTTGCCAACCTGCGCCTAATACTTTCCGGGATTAGGTAAATAGGATGAGTCCCTCCAGGGAGAGAAAACACATTCCATTCCAACAATCTATCTCTAGAATTTCCATGTGTTGGTGGGATGCATGGAATTCTTGGTTTGGTTACTCTTAAGCATTGTGATGGGTTTCCGCAATGTTTCAGGGACACCCGGCTGACCAAAAAGAACATATTTAGAAAATATGCAAACATGGAAACATTGGTCTCAGTATTACTTTACACAGGTCTGTAACAGTCCTCAAAAGTGTGATAGGAAAGTCACAGAGAGAAGTCAGCAGGAGCGCTCACAGCTTACAAACCTTCTGAACTTCTGTTGCCGTCTCCTCAGGCTGTGGAGTTGAAACAGATTCCTCCACTAACCAATTCCCCCACTCCTCTGTTGGAGCATTCCAGTCAGAGCTGGGGTCAGCTGTTGAAATTCCATCTGCAGAATGAGAAAGTAAAACAAACTCAAGCTTGGGATACAATATCCGTCGGAAAGAATTTGCTTTCCCTTGAATGATGACTTTTGTTCTTCTGTATTAAGGAATTTTAATAATAATAATCCTTGCATTGGATATAGTGCCTTATCACGTCGTTGAGATGTCTCAAAACGCTTCAACTAATATATTGTAAAGTGAAGTGACTGTATTTTGTGGGCGATACGGAAAAACAAAAACATGGTGGGACTTTCAGGGCTGGACTTGCAAAGTAGAAGTTTTGGTTTTCATGTAATGGAATTCTGAAAATACAATTACTCTCATTTCAAGTATTTCACTCTAAAGGTTTTAGTCTGGATTTCAAATTTAACTTTGAAATAAGCACCAATTAAAGCTGTAAGAAAAGACTGCAATGACAGGCCATTACACGTGTACAGCTGCTCTTACAGCAGGGACCCAAATTTAGACTCAAGTAATCATAGAAGAGGAAAGAAAGATCAGCTTGAAAATCAACCCAAAGAAAAGATAATGATCAATATAGACTGGTAATGGAGGAGAGACAGCACGTGAGGTCAGCTGCAGTGCTATGTGGCAGCACAATCTGCAGACCAACTATTGCGAGCACACTGAGAGCCAATTTCACATGGTTCTGCCTAATGATCTCGATCTGCTGATAGTCACTTTACGGCACTGGGCATAATAATGCAATAAATAATAATCCTTGACTTGATATAGGGCTTTATCGCTTCTTCGAGACATCTCAAAGCGCTTTACAGAATATCCCTTAAAGTGTAGCGACTGTGTGTTTTGTGGACGAAACGTGGCAGCCAATTGCGCACAGCAGTGTCCCACAAACAGTCGGGGTTTGAGTGAACACATTTTTTTTTACGGGAATTTTTTTTAAAAAGGCGATCTGCCAATCGACTAACAAAACAGGTCTCTACTTACTGCCAGGTAAACAGAGGCGTGTGGAGTAAGGGAAGAGTTTGGCCCTTACAATAGTAAACACTTGCCATGTATGGAACCTGAGCAGCAAAACACACATATGGGGTGAGGGGGGTATGATAGATGACAATGTCCGAGGTATCTGACCTCCCATCTATACTAATACAATACTGGGAAAGCTGATAGGGAATGTAGCCAGCTCCATCGACAACATGCCTACAACAGCCTAACAAGCCAACAACCCTCACATTTTGCCACACAAACTTGAAGGGGACTGGGTGGAGAGCAAGAATGAAAGAGCAAGAATTTTATAAAGCAAATATGTGAAAAAGGTTTGATTTTCCCATCGTCAAAAGCTGTACACACTTGAGGTTGGACCAAATTTAGAGATAACATCGGCTTGTTAACATAGGGCAAATAACCGACAAATTCTACAGGGAATGCTATTGCTTGTCAACATGTCACACCACACTGGAGAAATTGAGCAATTAACTTCTGCGACTGACTGTGCACGACAGACAGACTCACTTCAATGTGAAGCTTCTTGAAAATAGATTTTAAAGGGAAGCCAGCACAAAGGCAGAGCAAAGGCTTCCCATGAAGCTTATTAGGAATGTGCTACAAAACAGTGGCTTTTAAATTCAGGCTCACTTTCAGTTCAGACATTCCTCTGTGGAACATATTGGTAACCAACATCTTAATAATGAGAGAACGCCCCAAAAATAGAACCTGCTCAGCAGGAAGATCTGAACTCCTGTAGCTCAGTGGTTATAGCACTCGACTCCAAAGCAAGGGGACCCAGGTTCAATTCCTGGGCGGGGCAAAACCATTACTACACACCTAGTTCTGCAGTTTGCATTGATTGTATATATTTATGCAACTCCAGGGCAATTTCTAGAAAACAATCGTAATGTATGGCATAGGTTCATGCAGTATGACTAAAAATTACACTTGTATAGATAGCACCTTTAACATCGGGAAGACGTCCCAAAGCACCCCTTTTAGAATAATTTATTTTATAATAAATTTGAGGGCTATGGGTTAAGCACAGGGGAGTGGGACCTGTTGGACAGCTCTTTCAAAGTCTGTGCTGTACAAAAAAATTGCAGAAGACAAACTATTATCTCTTTTTGTGTTTGTACGAGTAAGAGTTGTGACCAAACTGTTTTGCGTCGCACATACATTGGGTAATCTGTTGATAAAATACAGCTGTCGACTGAATAGAAATTTTAGATTAGCTGGAACTCGCAATATATTGCAGGGAGCAACACTTAATACAACTTTACTTGTCAAAACAGCCTTGTGGTTTGGTTCCCCTGGAATATTCATGCTTGACTACTTTCTTTTATAGAAACACAGCACTCAGTGATTATATTAACTTGGCACTTACTTATTCCAGACCAAGCATCGTCAATGGAGCTTGATGGGTTGGCTTCCCACTGCAGCTCAGTAGTGCCTGGTTGGGGGACCGATTCACTGGTGGTCGCTGAGAATGAGAAGACAATAAAATGTTTTACACTCAACTATTTAAACTCCAGCTGCAGTACAATCTTCGATTCTCGGGTTCTTGGTCGGAGATGGTCAGGGAAACAGAACAACAACAACAAATTTGGAAAGCGCCTTTCATGTCTGGAGGACGTCCTAAAGCACTGGACAGTCAAGGATGTGCACCCGAGCTGGGGGTTGCAATATCAGAAGGGTGCAGGGCACGGAGGGTGGGGGAAGGAGGGTGTTTAAAGAGGAAAGTCTTGAGATTGGCCTTGAAGAAGGCAACCAACCCGATGGGGTCACAGAGGTAGAAATCTGCCTTATTGAATTCTTTCACAATCTTAAACCCCTCTATCAGATCCTCACTCAATCATTTTCACACGACTCCTTTACGAAGTACCTTTTGTCATCCGTGCTGAATTTTATTGCAGAGGTGATGACTTGAATGACTTTCAATGACTTGATTTAGCGCTAGTAAAAACAGGGATGGATAATTTAGACAAGCCTAAACTGCAGCTAGCTTATCCACGGGAGCTAACTACTTATTCCAAACCCTGAACTTTTCTCTCACCCAACCCGTGTCGCCATACCCACGCCTTTTGGAGACTTCCTCTACAAGTTCACCAAATTCCCTTTTAAAGATAATGGTCTCTACCTTTATCACTGGGTTTTCTACGTCAGCGTGCATTAACAATCGAGCAATACAATATTTACCGGTCACTGCAGCCTTCATCCCCAAACTGGAGAAAGGAGGCTTCTGGTCAGTGGGATTCACCCGTCCGTCAACACCAGTCCAGGCCCCTGAAAGAAAATGATAATAATAATACTTGCATTTGATTATAGCGCCTTATCGCGTCGTTGAAACATTTCAAAGCGCTTCACAGAATTGACTGCATATTTTACGGGCAAGACACGACAGGCAATTGCTCAGAGCAGTGTCCCAGAAACAGTCTTGGGATTCAGTGACCAAATATTATTTATTTATTTTAGGGATTATTACGCCTGGAAAGCGATCCGCCAATTGACTAACAACCAGGTTCCTACTTACTGCTAGATAAACAGAGGCGCGTGGAGTAAAGAAACTTGCCTAAGGTTTCACCCTGCCCGGGAAACCTGGGTCCCCTCGCTTGTGAATTGTCACTGCTGTATTCCTCATACATGAGTCAGTAATAATCATGCTGCAAACCCATTCTGAATTCCCAGCCAGTAGAACCAGTTACACAATCAGATTGATCCGAGTTCAAGGAAAATAAATCTCTTGACACAGACGCCATTGGCTTCAGTATTCTGCTGTATTCCTTTCATTCCTCTCACCCCACCATATCCCACAGCTGTGGAAACTTTTCAGTTAGGAGATTGTGGTGCAAGAATTATCTTCATTCATTCCAGCAGAAACTTTGTGTCATATCACCCAATTAATCACACAAAAGTTTAACCTCCCAACATTGCCCAATTGACAATTTATCACAATTTCCCAAGTTCACAACCGGGAACAGTGGGATATTATAAGCAAGACACTTGTCAAAGTCCTCTCTCTGTGACCAAGGCTCCCTCTGCCTCTTCGTTCTCCTGGATCTCTCTGCTACGTTCGACACAGTCAATCACGCCAACCTCCTCCACCGCCTCTCCTCCCTCGTCCACCTTAGAGGGACCACACTCGCACAGTTTGAATCCTACTTAACAAACAACCAACAATTCATCTTTCAGCCTCCTTGTCCTCCTCGACCTCTCTGTTGCTATTGACTGCAAAGATCCTCGCACACGTCAACAAATTCCTTCCTCCGCTAGCCCCTTCCTACCTCTCCGACCCGCTGCCTCCCCTCGGCTAGCCCCGGCCTCCTCTTTGTCCCTCGGCCCCTCCACCATCAGCGGCCATGCCTTCAGCCACTAAGCCCCGAAACTCTGGAACTCTCTCCCGCAATACCTCCACCTTGCCTACTGCCTTGGCTGGGGTTTCAAATGATTAAATGTTTAATACGGAGTTGTCAGAATGTAAATACAGCTGACTAGATTCCAGAGAAAAGAGGTAATTGTATCTATTGGCTTTTAATGTAGGCGGTATTTTCAAGGCCAGGGTAAACTGAAATACAGGACAACCTCATTATTACATGCCATGTTCTCTTGCAGCTTGGATGCACTTTGGACCCAACCTATACTGGAAGCGAAGTACATCTGGCTCAGCATCAACCATTCAGGCTCCCACAGTAAAAACAGCCACGTTCTGGGGCGGGCTGAATCAGATACTAATTTCTCTACATAGTGGTTACAGCGAGCGGATCAGGGTTCAATTCCTGGGCAGGTTTCCTAACACCACACGCCTCTGTTTACCTAGCAGGAACCCGGTTGTTAGTCAATTGGCGAATCACTTTCCGGGGGTAATAATCCCTTCAAATGATGATAATAATTTGGTCACCCAATCCTTGACTGTTTGTGGGTCACTGCTGTGCGCAATTGGCTGCTGTGTTTCACCTACAAAATGTAGAGCTAATTAATTCACTTTACAGAATATTCTGTGAAGCGCTTTGAGACGTCTTGAAAACATGATAAGGCGCTATATCAAATGCAAGGATTATCATCATTAATAAACAATGTTAAAACGTTAGCATGAAGTTCAAAACAAGAAAATATACTCACCAATGCTGGAGAAAAGTGTATGCTCTCCCCAAGTCTTGCTGACTAAGGGGACAGCCCATTCTTTTGTGGCTGCATTGGGCTCCCTGGCTTCCTGTCCCCAGGCAGGCTGATCTGTGCCTTTTGTAGTGGTCGGAGGCATCGGTCGCCACTTATCCTCCTTACTTGCACTGATCTGCGCGGGCAATTTCACTGGAACCTCACTCCAGCCGCCCCCATTCACTGCAGACAGCTCACCCCATCCAGGAGAGGCTTTAAAACAAACAGAAAGCACAATAGCCATGAACACCTAGACATTTGGCAGTGGATATTTCAATAGAAATGTACATCAGCATGTTGACTGATGCTAAAATCCCAGCTTCCGCAGGAAAGCCATTATGTTACTGGGAAAGTTTTCCAAGCAAACTATATATCTATGTCTACATTGGGTTCGGATTTGTTAACCAAATACAACAGGGAAACCTTCTATTGTAGGTTTAAATAAACTGCACTCTGCTGGTATTACCCTATTCTCCGGTTTGCAATAACTTCCAGAATCACTGCCGGAAGCAAAAAGGCCTTCAATGTATTAAGAGGAAACTTAATATAAACAGAGAATACGAGGGGTGGGGGTTTGTTTGGAGTATAACAGAGTTTGTTTGCATTTGATATAGCGCCTTATCACGTCTTCAAGGAAATCTCAAAGCGCTTGTATAAACATTGGCATGAAGTAGTTAAAACTGTTCACATTTCCGTGTCATATATATATATATGAAAATAATTTGATCACTCAATCCACCACTGTTTGTGGCACACTGCTGTGAGCAATTGGATGCTGCATTTCACCTACAAAATATTCAGTCAATTCACTTTACAGTATATTCTGTGAAGCGCTTTGAGATGCCTCAACAACGTGATAAGGCACTATATCAAATGCAAGTATTATTATTACACGATTCTATGCGACATTTTTTGGTTGCAAACATACTCCAGCAAAGGTTCAGGTTTGAAACGTGCGCTTAGTGAAATTCAAGATAAGATGTTTTAATAATAGTAAAGCAGGAGATGAAAGTCAAGGTACAAAGTGTAACTCTCTGTGTATCAGACGCATCCTAATAACATATTACTAAGTGGTCAACCCAGCACTCCTAGATCTTTACATCTCGTTTGGAGTTGCTGTATATTTCCTATGAATGAGTCTGAAGGGCAAGAATATTGGGATTCAACATCGCGCCTTTAGTTTTGAGAATACCTCAAAGGGCTTCACAGAGTTTCTGTTTATGGCAAACCTCACATAAATCGTATCAGTTGGGACCATACACTTAATATGACTTATGCAAAGTATGAGTTATGTCAAACTTGCACAGAATATAAACTCTTGAACATGACTTGGGCAGATGTATGACTTAGACCAGGGTGGTCCAATCGTTTGGCAATATTTTTGTGGGGGGATGAGGATGAAATCGTCCCACGAGCCACCCGTTGGTCCACCTTGATTTAGGCGATTATACGATTTATACAGATCAGACATAAGAGTTTTACTGTAGCATATTTGAAGGCAAACGCAGCAGCTAATTTACGCACAGCTGCTTATCTGCAGTTAAACCCGATTCTTTTTCCATCAACGCTCTTTCCCCGTCTAATAACCAACCTGTATTATCCACTCCTTTGGTTTTCCGAGAGGCCAGCGCAGCTGAGGCTGTCACATGTTGCTGCATGGAAACTGTTTCCGATCCAACTGCAGGAAGACTGGAATCCCGGGGGAGGTTTCATTGATTCCTTTGTCACGTCTGCGTTGTTGTCGTTTTTCTCGACTACTGATTTTGGTCTCCCAAGTGCCTGTGACCGAGTAGAGGACAGTTCAGAAAACGCTCCAGTGATTAGATTTGAAAGAAGCCGAAAACGCAACATTACACTTCACTGCATCAACTACAAGGGTAAGGTACAAGCAGTTGCAACATTTTTACATTGATGGCAGGGGGACGTCTCAAAGGACTTCACAGAACCAGCTGGAAACCTCGTCCATGGTTTCTTCCAGTCAGCAGCCCAACATCATTGACGTTAATGCTGCTGATCCACAAAGAGGCAACCTTTCCCACTGCTTGTCCAACTAGGACCACCCAACCTGGTAGGGCTTTGGCTTGCGAGGTTAACCGGAGCTGAGCGTGCTGACTCACCTGCCCCCAGTGACTGGTCTGCCCTTCCAAGTCCTGGCGATGGATGAGCCAGGCCGGGCTGTGCTGTCATCAGCAGTGCCCAGGAATACCGCAGACCCAACTGGCTCAGGAACTCGACTAGAGTCCGTCACAAATGAACCATGTACCGAGTATTTTATTCAACAGCTCAGACTCAATCCCGTGTCATCAGTATGAAAGCGCTGAAAAGCTGGGGACATGTTTTATTCGAGCAATTACTTAATAATCATCATCATAGTAATCCTTGATTTGATATAGCGCCTTATCACATCGTTGAGACTTCTCAAAGCACTTCACAGAATATACTGTAAAGTGGATTGACTGTATATTTTGTTGGATAAACGCACCCAGCCAATTGCACACAGCAATTTCCTACAAATTCATGGATTGAGTGACCAAATTATTATTTTTTTGATGGGATTATTATCCACCAATCAACTAGCAACAGGGTTCCTACTTACTGATAGTAAACAGAGGTATGTGGAGTAAGGAAACTTGCCTAACGTTTCACCCTGCTCGGGAATCGAACCCAGGTCCTCTCGCTTGCGAGGCGAGTGCTCTAACCAATATGCTACAGGACTCCACTTACATAAGATAAATTCATTTCTGGAAACACTGATGCTGCTACACAGGCACAGAAACAATATACAATTACACACTTCAGAAGAGAAAGATTTGTTTTTGCAGTTTAATTGGATGTAGCGTGAAGGGCATATACAACTCTGAAAATAATACAGTACATTGCTTTTGGGAATTCAAAATGACTCCGCTTACTAACCTAGTTTTCCACAGAAGCTGCAAGACAACACTTTGATTCGGATATTCCAAAATAGCTCCTTGCACAAAAGCAGAGGCTTTAGCAGCATTTTAATTAAGGGATCAAAAATTAGTAGCTTTGGGGTAACACAATGAAAACCTTACTAAAGCGAAACTTGAATTTAGCCTAATTAGCTCCAATATGAACAATGAGAGCTCTTGAGATCTCAGAAGTGGGACAAAGATGAGCCTTAAGCAACTTAATATATTCGACATGGTCAGTGTTCCTGGAATAGTCCTTTGAAATGATAAATTATGCAATTGGATACATTAAAATAATAATCCTTGAATTTGATATAGTGCCTTTTCATTTCGTTGAGACATCTCAAAGCACTTCACAAAATAAACTGTAAAGTGAATTGGCTGTAAATTTTGTGGGCGAAACACGGCAGCCAATTGTGCACACTGCTCAAAGATTATTCCAGTCACTAAATTGGAACATTTCACCTAATCTACATTTCTAATCTACTAATAACCTGGTAAAACAAACTCATTTTATAAACACACAGTATTGCCCTGTTAAAATAAAACAGACTGCAGTTTCTCCGTCACAGCATTGTACCTTTTTTTTTATTGCTTTGTTGAAACCGTGCGCGTCACTGAACATACAGGGCATATAACTTTATTACATCGTCCTCCGAGTGTAATAGCTCAGAGCTGAACTACAGGCAAAGCAAAGTTAATATCAGTGGCACTTCCTACACATTGCGCACCAGTGCAGGACGCACGTGTGTGTGTCATGGTATTGATTTCAACAGGGTCTTGAGAAGTCTGCCATTCTGTAGCACAGGGAAATTGGCTACTCAGCACCAGAAGCCAGGTTTAGTTATAGTCACCACAGTAGACACGTGCAATAACGGAGGTAGTGTTCTACCAGAGGGTCTTATAATGGGGTTCTACTGTATATGTCATTGCTGACTCATTCTGTTCTCCACTTGTATATGCTTCTCTTGTATTTTGCAGTGTACTGTACAGTTTTTCTGTGAGTTTATAATCTCTCAGTGCTCACATGACAAGGCTGGCGCCTTCACTGACATGCACTTAACAAGAGCTCGTCTACTGACAGCATTTGAAAAACTACACTGCTCTCTGGCTGCTACAGCTAAGCCCCAAAAAGACTGCATGAAAGATAAGTCATGGAAGACTCAAGAAACCTAGCTGAACTCGACAGAATCGCCTTACAACTCAACACGGAGCTAATGTTATCTGCAAAAAGCCACCTGTGGGATAACTTTCATTCAAAACCAACAGAGTGTCAAAACCCATCACAGTGCTTAAGAGTATCCAAACCAGACTGAGAATTCTATGCATCCCACCGACACGTGGAAATCCCAGAGACAGATTGTTGGAATGCAATGCGCTCTTTCTCCCTGAAGGGATTCATCCTGCTTACCTAATTCCAGAAAGTATAGGCACAGATTGGCAAGAGCCAAGGCTTGGGGACCCCAGAGTGTGTACTGCTACACACTGTAGGACATGCAAACATTCCATTTACACACTTCAATGAAACTGCAATATATGCTTGAAGAAACAAACAAGAGGTCACTTAGTGAATTAAGTACAAGCCACAAAAGATTTGTCCATCCCATGAGCAGCACATTTTCTTTCTTACCAACCAAACCAGAATCACAACAGCTTGTAATTGCATTTATATGGCGTCCTTATATGGGGCAGCATCCCAGAACACTCAACAAGGTTGGGAAGAGAGGAGGTGATACAAGCAATGCTGGAACGAGGTTGTGAATGATATTAGTAGGGAAGTTAGATGGCAAGGCAACACTAAACCTGGAGAAGGAAACAATTGAAAAATTCCTAAGTTATTTTTTACCAGTGGGATTAATAAGTAACAGCTCCCAATCACCTCACCTCTGGGTAAATAGTTCTTGACATAATAATGCAGCATGGGAATGTATTTTTGCTTTTGCTAAGTATGATTATGAACTCTATACTCTATATTGCCAGTATAAACCATATAGTTGTAGTCATTTGAATATTTTAAACCTTTTCATATTCTGTTAATTTGACTATTATGCTGTGTGCAATTGGCTGCCACGTTTCGCCCACAAAATATATTCAATTCACTTTATATTCACTTTATAACCTTTATATTGTTTTACCTTTTTAAAATGGAAGTCCTTTAACATTTGTACACTTTCTATAACTGAGATAAAACAGAAACAGTCTTTGGATCTTGAAGTGCCTGGTAGTGCTATGACCTTTGGGGTCATGATTGTAGAAAACTGAGCTCCCTTACCTCAAGCTCTTGTTTTTACTGATGTGATCAAACAAAGAGGAATGTTTCAATGAGATTGTCTGCGTCAGGTGAAAAGTAAGAAGAGTGTGGCCTATTGTGACAGGTTTGGAAAGTAATGATCGATTGGAAAGCAAAAAGATCAGGAAAATACAAATATTTGTTATTGCATTGTTAAAGTTGAAACAGTCTCTAAATGGAATAAGAAATATAGACAACGGTTTACCAGATGGGTAAATATACCTTTCTGTATATGCATTGGCTATATCACCCACAAAATAGTCAATTCACTTTACAGTATAATCTCTGAAGGGCTTTAAGACGTCCCGAAGACATGATAAGGCACTATAACAAATGCAAGGATTATTATTGTATAAAGATCTCTTTAATAATTTTGGTTGTTGAAGCGGCACCTGTATCTGTGAGCTTGATTACTTCGGTTTTCGAAATCTTCAATTATAAATGGTTAAACTTCAAGGAATTTATTTAAAGTAAATGTAATATAAGACTGACCCGCTTGCAGTTAACAACAGGCACATAACAATCAGCAATTTCAGCATTAGAGGAGAATGGTGGGAAAAAGACAGATTGAACTATGCCAAAGTAAATCTAGATGACATGTAATATACTAAGATCATAGCAAGCAGCAAAGATTGTATTAAACCTTAAGGGATGACATTCAGGTTGGGGCGTGAGGATCCCGACCAAATCTAATCCCTTGTGGTCAATAGTCCAAGCTGCTCTGAAGATCATCTGACATGGAATCTAAATAGCGAGAGAATTTTGGCATCATCCAGAGAAAGCAATGCAAGGTGAAAGGGATGTAAAGGAAGAGCTTTCTTAAACCATTTGAACAGTTTGTAACTTTGCAATAATAATCCTTGCATTTGATATAGCGCCTTATCATGTCGTTAAGATGTCTCAAAGCACTTCACAGAATATACAGTAAAATGAATTGACCGTATATTTTTTTCGGTGAAACGTGGCAGCCAATTGCACACAGCAGTGTCCCACAAACAGTCGTGAATTGAGTGACCAAATTATTGTCCTCATTTTATTATTTATTTGTCATGGGATTATTACCGGGGATCCGCCAATCGACTAACAATCAGGCTCCTACTTAATGTTAGGTAAACAGAGGCGTGTGGGGTCAGGAAACTTGCCTAAGGTTTCCAGTACAGACAAGTGTGTGGCGGATAGAACTAGAAGCCAGAGATTACAAGATTCAGTTTCCTCCAGGCTTGGGCACAGCACTTTGCAACCGCTGAGACCACAATGCAGACATCATTCAGCACCAGTATTGAGAGAGAAACCCACAGCTGTGCTGTGTGAAAATGTCCAATATGTAAAGGACGGTAAAATTAAAAATCAAATAAATACAGCACCAAACTAAAGAGATAGGCCGCAACCATAAGTGAACAAAGATGCACTGAAGGGAACATTCCACAGAAGACATTGCACATAACGTTGCACAATACTGGAGAAGGGTGATAATGAGACTCTTTATCTGCTGTTAAAGGACCATTCTGACACCTTAGTGACAAACTAAGAGAACATTTGCAATGGCTCCACTGACTGAAAGTCCTGTGCTCAAACACAAGCCTTGCACAACATTTTCGACCAGGTTTTATTCTGTAGGCTGCTTATCAAGTTTTGTGTAGCTGCGACATTTTGTTTTAAACACAGAAATTTGCAAGCGCCAGTTGTGCAAATCACATTCATTTTTAATTTCTGTGCATTTGCAATGAAAACGGTATTGTTTGCACAATTCAATTTCCCTGGTTTAAAGGATCATCGGTTTGCAGAGGATCTTTCATCACAAGGCAGCAAAGTTCCCTTCGTAACAATAGAGTGCAAATTAATTTCGGAAGTTATTATAAAAGGTGAAACATGAGCCTGATTACAATGTCACCTACCTTCATCGGTTTCTTTGCTGTCAGCCCGATTTCCTGAAACAGCCTGCGCTTGTTTCACCTCTGCCTTTGGCTTCTTCTTGTTTTTCTTTGTCTGTTAGAGAGGTACCAGAGGGATTAACGGTAACACAGGCAGGCAGCTGAACAAAGCCAAATTAGAATGGCGCATGGTAACTTCCACAGTTTCGAATTGTCAACTTTAGTTCACTAGTTTTATTATCTGCACATTTATGAAGCAGGAGACAATTCACTAGCGACATCACTCAGATGTTTACTGTGGTTGAGAAATTTGTTTCCAGTCCCACAAATAAGACATAAATATTTCAAATTCCATGTTTAGGCGACGACAGCCATATCCGCAGTTCTTTCGCAAGATAATTTAAAACATTGTTCGCCCACAAATACAGTTACTCCACTTTACAATATATTCCTGTGAAGTACTCTGGGACGTCCAAAAGGCGTGATATCAAACGCAAGGTTTATTATGATTAAACGTTTACTCTGTGGAGAATCTGTGCGACAGTGCTTTTGAAACTACATTATTGATAATATTCCTTGCATTTGATACAGAGTCTTATCACATTGTTGAGACATCTCATAGCGCTTCATCTAATGTAAAGTGTAGTGACTGTGTGTTTTGTGGATGAAACACCGCAGCCAATTGCGCACAGCTGTGTCCCAAAAACAGCCGTGTGTGAGCAGTATCGTCCTGTTGAGATGTTGGACTTGAAAACGAGCCATTTCCGCCCAACAGCAATACAGGACGTTTAGTCTATGACTGAGTGTTAGGAGAGACAGCACAGAGACAGCCATCCTCACTCACACACACACACACAGTCACTACAGTCAATCAGGGTAGTAACAGTCACTGCTTTTACTTTCCGCATCTGCTTAATGAGGATGAGGTACACAAACTATTCCAGGATCAAGGTTTGTGCAGAGGATAGAATTCAAAATCCTCGTCCTCGCTTCCAAAGTCTTCCACGGCCTTGCTCTTCCCTACCTCTGTGACCTGCTAACTCTCTACTGACCTCTCCCCTCAGCGAACTCTGGCTTGCGCCATGTTCCCTGACTGCCTACCCCACCATCAGCAGTCAGGCTTTTAGGCTCTCTGCCTCCATTCTTTGGAACTCCATCCCAGTCACTTTGCCTGACCCCCACGTGCCTCCTTCAAGGCCCTCCTCTCCAACCCGTGCCTTTGGACACACTCACCTCCCACCACCACCCCATACCCTTTCTGAACCCAACCCCCAGCTCGAGTGCAAATCCTTTACTGCCCTGTGCCTCAGAACGTCCTACCGACGTGAAAAGCACTTTACATTTGTTGTTACAGTGATTTGGAGACCGAGCCCAGCAACTGTTCTCCCACAAACTGAAGACAAATGGGGCAGAAATGCTGTGAGGGCATCTTTAGGGGTGGGCCTGACTTTCCTATCCAGCACCATACTTGTAACCCTTCTTTGTACCCTTTCCAAAGGCTGTTTGCCTGTTCAAAACCATAATAAAGTTTGCTACAACAACCAAACGTAGGCTCACCAGGGTAATAAAAAGCCAGTGTCACATTCTTGAATGTCTGCACATTTACAGTATTTATGTTGGCGATTGCTACATTTGGCCAATTAATGCACCAAATTGCTTTACGATGAATTCACACCCCTACATGGGGCAATCTTATGAATGTGACCAACCCCACATGTTGAGCAACGCCACACAAATACATTGTTTGAATGTTAGCTACTATTTTAATTGTGCGTTTCAAAATATCCCCGCGCACAAACACTCACTAGGCCCTGTAAGTCAAGCAACAAGAAAAGATACGGCAAAGTGTTCGTTGGTATCAGTGTGCTAACAATTGGGCTTCTTTAACAACCACAACAAATGACATTTGTTTAGCACCTTTCATGTTGGGAGGACGTCCCAAAGCGGACAGTCAAGGATGTGCACCCAAGCTGGAGATTGAAATCAGGAGGGGTGGGTGGAGGGCAGTGAGGATAGGAGTAGGAGGGTGACCGAAGCTGCGGTCAAAGAAGATGGTCCTGAGAAGGAGGCGAGGTAGGGGTCGAGGATAAGGGACTGTAGATTGGAAGTCCAAAGGGTGGAGGCAAAGTAGCTAAAGGCCTGACCACCTATGGTGGGGCTGGCAGGGTGGGGCCAATTTGCATTTATACAGCACTCTTCATGCAGGGTAGACTATCGGAGCACTTAACGGTGGCGGAGTTTGACACTGATTTAAGATTCATTCCACCCAGATCTCAGAGTGCTCCCTATAGCCTGCACCACACTATCAGAAAGTTATCTCACACAAGACACAACAACAACTTGCATTTATATAGCAACATTTATATTTACAGCATTTATATCACCATCCAAGGATGCGGACTCCACCTCACCAAGCCAGTCCGGAAACTTGGCGCCTTGTATGACACACAACCATCCTTTCTACCCCACATACGTGCCATAACCCGCTCTGCCTTCCCCACCTCCACAACATCGCCCGGCTCTGCCACTGCCTCACCCCTCAGGCCGCCGATACCCTCATCCACGCATTCACAACATCTAGGCTCGACTACGCCAACTATACAACAAATATACAGTCAATTCTTTACAGTATATTCTGTGAAGCACTTTGAGACGGCTAGAAGACGTGAAAAGCGCTATATCAAATGCAGGGATTATTATATTACAATTCCCTGCTTTTCGGCCTTCCCAATTCTTCCCTCCACAAGCTGCAGATCATCCAGAACTCTGCAGCTTGTGTCCTTTCAAACACCAAGCACCGTGATCCCATCACCCCCACCCTCGCCCAGCTCCACTGGCTCCCCAGCCCTCAGAGGATAGAGTTCAAAATCCACATCCTCGCCTTCAAGGCCCTCCATGGCCTTGCCCCTCCCTACCTCTGCAACCTGCTGACTCCATATTAACTTGTCCCTCCCTCCTAGTGCAGTAGGCTCTGGCCTGCTCCACGTTCCCCTCCCAGCCCACCCCACCTTCAGCGGCCAGGCCTCCACGCTTTCTGCCCTACTCTATGGAACTCCATTGCCTCCTTCAAGGCGTGTCTCAAAACTCTCTTCGGTCGATCCTTCGGCCACCCTCCAACCCTCCACGATCCCGACTCCCAGCTCGGGTACAAATCCCTGACTGTCCAGCGCCTTGGCACGTCTTCCCGACGTGAAAGGCGCTAACCAAATGTAATTTTGCATTGTACCTTTACTCGGGGAGGAAAGAGGTGACCGCAAGCATGGTCGAAGATGAAGGGCTTTAGTCGTGATATAAAGCTGTCTAGCCTCCCCCCATTTGGTCCGAACCAAGACCGCTTTCCTCCACCTCCGTAACGTTGCCCACCTCTGACCACACCTCACCCCAGACGCAGCCAAAACCCTTGTCCTCGCCTATGTTACCTCCCGCCTCCAGAAGGCCTTGGGAGTAAAAGACACAAACCTTTTCAGGTTTCCTCTCAGCATCCACTTTTTTTGCAATGTTTTTTTCAATCTGTTGAAGAATTTCCTCTTCTATTGGTTCGGCTCCAGCACGTCCGTTAGGCTGCGATTTCTGTAAAATCAAAAATACATTGATATTGCAAGGCATGAATGAATCCAAGTCAAACAATGTAAATTTTCCAATTCTCTCATTTTTTAAAAAATGGGCTCGGAATGAATCATCTCAAAGTATTGCACAGTGCGGGACCTTTTTTGTTGGCAAATGCCATCTCATCTCGCACATAGCAAGGTGCAACAGATAGCCATGACATGAATTTATCAAGAGCATCATTGATCAAAACACCAGGAGAAACCATTCCTCTACTGGCATAGTTTCATGGGATATTGATTTCCACCTGAATACCTCAGCTCCATTGGCTCCTTGTCCTCCAGTAGATTGAGTTCAAGATCCACTGATCCCTTGTACTGTAAAGGGAACTGACTGTATATTTTGTGGGTGAAACGCGGCAAATTCCCGGAAAGTGAATAGCCAATTGACTAACAGTCAGGGTCCTACTTGCAGCTAGGTAAACAGAGGCATGTGGATTAAAGAAACTTGCCAAGGTTTTGCCCTGCCCAGGAATCAAACTCGGGTCCTCTCACGTGCGAGGCGAATGTTCTAACCACTACGCTACAGGACTCCAAGCGGTCGGAGCGAATAGGGTAAAGGTGTGCTTGGGCAATTATTATATACCCTCTCTGAAAGATGAATATACATCACACATTTGAAGAAAAACATACTGCTTCATTACTTCATCTCAAACCAAACAATTATGCAAATAGAACCCGAAGCGTGCTGTGCCACTTTATGTAGTTAAGATAAAAGTGATGAGAATTTAATATACCACAGCATCTAGGAGCTGTATTAAAAGACTGCTCAAGGAAAGTTTCTTCACAACATTATTTGTTAATGTGCTTTTCTGATCCAGGTTTTATGGAGGAACCCAATGGGCACCTGGGCCACTATTGCTTCTCCTTCACTGAGCGTGTACTGAGTAACACATTCCATAGGGATACCACGCATATGCTCGCACCAACTTTCAGCTGAAAAAAACAGTTGCAAACATCACGCCCAGAAGAAAGAATTTATAAATATTCCTATCAGTGTGGTTGCCAGCTCATGCGAGTCATAACTGAGTTATATTCAGCTTCCCCTGGGGATGGATAAAATGGCAAAACAGTAAATGTGCACACAAAGGTTTTTAACCGAGCCTTCAAGGTGAACCGAAAATAAATTACAATGTAATTTTGCTACTGAAATGTTCGTAGGAGAAATATAGCAATTCCACTGATTTGTCCAGAATTTTTTTAAAATATATAAAAATTTAATGTTTTTTATACCTCTAACAGCTAAATGATTCTCTCTTTCTTGATTTAAAATGATTTGTTCACTGGTTTATCTTCTCCCAAAGGCATTTGGCACTCTACCACTCCCTAATGAAGTTATCATAAAGAAAGCTTTCCTCAATCGGCTGAACAAAAAGAAGTACAGTTTAGGAGATTTATTTGCCAAATACGATTAAAATAACACTTTAGACTTCTGTCTTTTTACCAGATAAATGGCCTTAACCAGTTGAACGACATTCACAAAAAAAAACTCTTTACTCATACACCAACTTCAAAGAAGAAAAGCTTGTACTGCAACATTTTTCAGCCGATCACTGAACATGCAGTGGAGCATTTTGTGATTACAGTGGTGTATCTGCACAAATCTGGGTTGTGTTATAATCATCTAATAATAATGCTTGCATTTGATACAGCGTTTTCAAGTCTTCCAGATGTCTCAAAGCGCTTCACAGAATATACTGTAAAGTGAATTGATTGTATATTTGTGCTGGTGAATTGAGAGAAGCAAAAGCTCTGCATCGTAACCAATGCTCTTTTGCAACCTGAGTAAATTAAATCAAGGCTGGAGTTCCGATCATGGCCCAAAATGGAGGAAAATGGAAAGCAATGGCCCAACCCTCGTAACAGCGTAGCATTAAAGAGGGGAGGCTAGAGAAGCCAGGGTTATTCTCCTTGGAGCAGAGACGGTTAACAGGAGACTTAATAAGTTTTCAAAATTATGAGGGGACTCGATAGGGTGAACCAGGAGAAACTATTTCCACTGACGGGTGGGTCGGTAACCCGAGGACACCGATTTAAAATAGTTGTTAAAAAAAAGGGGGAGGTGAGAATTTTTTTCACAGCGAGTTGTTCAAATCTGGAATGCATTGCCTGAAAGCGCGGTGGAAGCCGATTCAATAACAACTTTTATGAGAGAATTAGATGATTATTTGGGGAGGACAAGTTTGCAGGGCTATGGGGAGAGCGCGGGGGAGTGGGATTGATTTGGATAGCTCTATTAAAAAAGCCGGCACTGATATGATAGGCCGAACTGCCTCCTTCTGTGCTGTATATTTCTATGGTTGATTCTAAAGGACAAGCCAGAGAGAAGGTCTCGGCAGCCTGTGGGGAGAGGTGGTGGTAGAGGCTGCCAATGTTAGGGAGGTGAGGAAAAGTAAAGCAAGTGAGCCTGGGGGGAGATTGATGTTTCAGGGATAGTTAGGGGGTTGCAGAATGAAACCAGGAAAGGACAAGAGCCTTGCAGGTGGAGAGGGAAGAGACGGTGGAGAAGGCTGGAATGGCCGACTGTATTAAAGGGGAACAAGATCAAGGACGAGGAGGAGGCACACAGCCCTGGTCGCAGATGGAAAATGTCACTGGTGACTTGAGGCAGGGCTGTGGGTGTGGTACCAGGATGCAGCTCCCGATGAGGGGAAGCACCTCTCCCAAAAGAACGCAGTTATGTCTGAGTTGGACTCCGTCCAGGCTGCAGACAGGAAACGCCTGGTGCAAACGTTGAGAAAACTGAAACGCTTTAATTGCTATGGCTGCAAAGTGAGTATCCATCTGTGCCTGAGACACCAATCGGGAAGTCTTCTGGTGAAATTCAGATCAAAAAAACTTGGAAAACCTCCTCAAAGCACAGAAAAGTTAGAAGAGTAAAGAGAATTATTTGCATAAGAATACTGAGCAATTTGCCAGGAAAACTGCTGGTGTAGGTTGCAGGGGGAGTGAGTAGAAATGGGCCGTATGTATGTCTCAGCAATGGTTCAAAACTTAAAAGGATTAACTATGGGTGTTTCCTTGCTTTCTTTAGCAATGTGAAAAAAAAATCTGTCAATATTTGAACAGATGATCCCCAGCAGCAAAACAAAAAAGAATCTGCATTTTTATAGGGCCTTTTCACATCGAAACTTTATCAAGCTCCTCACGGGCAATTACCTCGGAGCACAAGCAGCCTGCTCAAAGTTGAAGGAGGTTTTGGGGGCAGTTATCAAAAGCGGAACTGTACCTTGAACTCAGGTAAACTGTAGGTCCGCCACACACGAGGGGGTTTGATTTGGCAGACTATATCTGCTGTGCTGCCAGATACCAAATCCTTCTTCAAACCGCTTATCTCAATAATAAATCTTGCATTTGATGCATCACCTTATCACTTCAAAACATCGTTTCAAAGTTTTACTGTAAAGTGTGGTGGTTAACAATTTGTAGGTGAACACAGCAACGACCCACAAATAGCTAAGAAGATTTGTTAGCTAAGAGGATTTGTTGGCTCAGGCACCAGGAAAAACTCCCTTCTCATTTTGAAGAGCGTCATGGGATCTTTAACATCCACATGAGCAAGCAGACAAGACCTTGGCTTAACATTTCGTCTGAAGGACAGAGCCTCCAACCATGCAACGCTTTCCCAACACTGCACTGCATTGTCAGCCCAGATCATGCACTCATGTCTCCGACACGGTACCCGAACCCACTACCTTCTGACTGACCCAGAGGCACTAATTCTACCAACTAAGTCAAGATGGCAGCTCCAACAACTTGGGATTTATATATAGCAATGTAGGACTGCATCTACTGTGCAGTCCTACATTGTGGAGTCCTGTAGCGCATTGGTTAGAGCTCTCGCCTCGCAAGTGAGAGGACCTGGATTAGATTCTTGGGCAGAACGAAACACTGGGCAAGTTTCCTTACTCCACACACCTGTTTACCTAGCAGTAAATGGAAACCCGGTTGTTAGTCAATTGGCAGATCGCTTTTCCTGGGGACAAAATCCCTTCAAAATAAATAATAAGTTGGTCACTCAATCCACGACTGTTTGTGGGACACTGCTGTGCGCAATTGGCTGCCGTGTTTCGCCCACAAAATATAAAACAATTCACTTGACTGTGAATATTATTATATATACAGAAATATACATTTTTTTCTGAGCAACGACCATGCTCTTCTTGGATAGTTTGGAACACGTACAGGTTTCTTCCAAAAGGCAAAAAGAATGAGAAAAGCGTACACAATAATGATTTGAGAAGTGACAAAGCTCTATATCAAATGTGCACTATTGGTTACCATGTTTCACCCACAAAATATACAGTCAATTTATTTTACAGTACATTCTGTGAAGTGCTTTGAACGTCTCAATGACGTGATAAGGCGCTATATCAAATACAAGGATTAGTATTAATAATAGTAATGACAAAAGACACTCTTTAGCACACTGGTTGTACGCATATGGGGCAGCTGGATGGGGAGAGGTCAGACTTGGCTGTGACACCTTCTACAGTGGAATGACCGACCAAAATCCACTGCCAAGGCTCACACACCAACAATGGTCACTTGGGGGTGTATACGGGAGCACTTATGGAAACGTTGAGGCCAGACTAGGTCAAAAAAAGAAAGAAGTACTCCAAAAATGTGTATGTAAAAAATGCCATTGGTTTACACAAGATCCTTCTTCCTCCCCAACTCCGACAAGTTCAAAGTTGCTTCCCTGACAAACACAATACTGCAACACGAGTCATGTCACGATAATCCGCTTTAACCACTCTTCACCATCACAGGAAGTTTCAATTTCATGTTAAGTACACAAACAGTGCCACTGCCAATCGAGTCAGCAGAGCTTAGGGTAATGGCCATTTTTGTGGAGCAAACAAAATCTGCCACATACACAACAAAGCAGGAGACCACATGAAGAAACAGGAAGAATTAAGTCGTCAGTTTGTGAAGCTGCTTTGCTATTTTGTTGCATCTGTGCATCAATGGCAACTATTCAGACTTTTAGTCCCACTTCTTACTCTGTATCCCTTACCTCCCGAGAATATATCTCCCTTATATAGGACGATATTGAACAGGCCATTTAGCCCAATATGTGCATGATGGTGCTTTGCTTCACATGAGCTCCCCTCTCCCATATCTATGCTTCAAGTTCTCTTCAATGCAATGATTTTTTTGGGGCTTCAAATAGTTACTGTTTCGTAGGCGAATGCATATTGTGTACTGACATGGGAGTAAACAACAGCAGCAACAACTTGCACTTCCATAACTCTCTCCACGCAGGGTAGTGTCTCAGAGCGCCTAACAGTGGCAGGGCCTGACTCTGAGGGTGGGGGGGGGGGCGGCGGAGGGTGGGGGAGTTGGCCATAAGCACGGTCGAAAAGAATTTTTTTTCATGCGGGACTTGATAAAGGGGAGAGAGGGGGCAAGACAGAGGGATTGAGGGAGAATGTTCTAGAAATTCGGGGTGTAGTGGCTGAAAGCACGACCTTCAATAGCAGAGCGAAGGGTAAAGTAGTAACACTGCATGAAAACAGGCCTTTTGGCCCACCTCGTCCGTGCAATGTTTAGACTCCACACAAGTCCTCCCATTTCCGTCACCAATACCCCTTTCCTTGGTGTGTGTGTGTGTGTGTGTGTGTGAAGTTCTCTCTTAAATACATTGAAGCTATTTGTTTCAAACGCAGCTTCCTTTCAGTTCCACATTCTCACCGCCCTCTACGTGAAGAAGTTCCTCTTAAACTCCCTATTGGATCTAATGTCTCCCTAATAACTCCCTAATGTCCTCTTATTTTGGACTCGCCACCAAATTAAATCCCTTCAACACCTCTATCAGTTACCCTCTGAATCTCCTCGACTCTGGAAAGAATAGCTCTAACCTCTCCAATCTTTGTTAGCTCCCACTCAACCCTGGCAACATCTTTGTAAATCGATGCTGTACAGTAGTCTCCAATATTCTCCCTGTAAGATGGTGACCAGATGTTTATAGAGCTATAAATGTGGTCTAACAAGGTTTTATAAACATTTAACATTCCTCCCGTCTTGTACACATTTTCCTAAAGCCCATGAGTTAATTTATTAGTTAATTGGAATTGAGGTATAGATCACCCATGATCTAATAGAATAGCGGAACAGGCTCAAGGGGCTGAATGGCCTTCTCCTGTTCCTATGACTATTTGCATTCTTTAATAATAATAATCCTTGCATTTGATATAGTTTTGAGACGTCTCAAGACTCTTCACTGAATATACTGTAAAGTGAATTGACTGTATATTTTGTGGGCGAAACGCAGCAGCCAATTGCGCACAGCAGCGTCCCACAAACAGTCGTGGATTAAAGTGACCAATTTATTATTGGTTTTTTTCTTGAGGGATTATTATTGGGCGTGTGGAGTAAGGAAATTTGCCCGAGGTTTCGTCCTGCCGGGAATCGAACCCAGGTCTCTGGCTTGCCAGGCGAATGCTCTAACCGCTGAGCTACAGGACTCCTTTACAGTGTGTTCTGTGAAGCGCTTTGGGATGTCCTCCCGACGTGAAAAGCGCTATATCAAATGCAAGGATTATTATTATTATTATTATGCTGCTATGTTTTAAGAGCAACTCTAAGCACCTCAGTCAACTTGCCATCTATGGAATTTTTGGGGATTGCATTCCATATTCCCGCAAATATTCTTAATTGTTATCAAGACAAAAAAATCTTCTGGGGTCAGGGGAATAGATCCCAAATTAACCCAGCCTATCAAATGTAAATCCTTTTTCCTCAGGTATCAATCTGGAAAATCGTTGTTGAATGCCCTCCAGAAAAATGAGGTGCGTCATCCAAGACTAAACACAAACCTCAATTTGTGGACACACTCAACATACTTTGCGATTATAAATAAATAAATTAATAAATAATCATTGCATTTGATACAGCGCCTCATCACAGTGGATTAACTGTGTATTTTATTGGGTGAAACGCGGCAGCCAATTGCACAGTGTCCCATAAACGATTTTGGATTGTTCATGGTAAAATAGCCAATTTTTTAATTATTATTTTTTGAAGGGATTATTACCCTCAGAAAAGTTATCCACCAATCGACTAACAACCGGATTCCTACTTACTGCTAGGTAAACAGAGGGGTGTGGAGAAACGAAAGTTGCCTGAGGTTTCGCCCCGCCTAGGAACTGACTTCTTCTCAAAGCATCACCACCTTGATTCAAGTTTAACTATATTTGGTTTACTCTTTCACAAAAACATGCATCTTGTCACATATCAAACCAAAGTATTCTTAGATTGTTTATTGAGACAAAAAAAATGTTAAAATACCCAGACCTAATACTTACATTGAACCTCGCGCCTTTCACATTTGAAGGGCATCTCAAAACATTTCACAAGATTTACTGTAAAGTGTGGCTCGCAGCCATGATTTTTGTAGGCAAATTTGCACATAATATCCTACAAACAGCCATGAGGTGAATGAACAATTTTATCTGGGGGATTGTTAGTCAGGTCACCAACCAGGAGAAACTCCCTTCTGGTTTAGTGGGATCTTTCACATCCACTTGACAAGCAAACAGAACATCAGTTTAACATTGCATCCATCCTAAGGACGGCACCTCCAACAATGCAGCGCATCTCCAGCACTACAATGAAGTATCAGCTTAGACTAAATTGAAAGTCGTGAGGTGGTGAGGCTTGTGCCTCCAACTCAAGAGGACAGACTGCTGCCAACTGAGCCATACTGACACACAAATTTGCATAAGGGCCTTTTTGGGGAAAGCTAGGGGCCATTTTAATTTTTTGAGGTATATGTCTCAGCAGCAAAGCACATTTGTGCAGCCTTTAAGGCAAATTTCCTTGCACTCTCCAGCTGGAGGTAGGAGTGTGTTTGTCCTGAAAAAAAAACAGCTCAAGGTTTTGTTTGCTTTAGTGTAGATTTATGATTAAAATCTATACTAATGAGTGGCCTTCCCCTTCCCCCCCTTATTAAAAAAAATGACTAAACCTTGAGGAGAGGAGGATTTTAAAGAGCACGGCCACCAAACAAAAGGGGGCCCCTTCCTTAAAACTGCAAGTCGCTTTATATGCGGAAAAATATGCTGCTAGATGACTCTCTCCAACCCGACTCCAAGTGGTAGGAGTCACTCCGGGCCGCAGTAAGGAGCAAAAACCCTTTTTGCTGCTAAGGTTAACAACTCGGACCCACCCCATAATTTCCCACTCCTCCTCCTTCCTCTCCTCCCCCCCGCCCCCCCACCACCACCCTAGGACTGCCACATCACCTAACTCCTTCCCTTCAGGCTCGGCCACCGAGTTTCTCTCAGCAACATGATAAGGCGCTCTATCAAATGCAAGGATGATTAGGATTATTATTTGTCGCTCTTTCTGTCCCCCTCCCTGCTCACTCTTAACAGGGGAACCCCGATCACTCTCAGCGTTGAGGCCCACGGAGCAGAATCCAATGTGTTAATCTGAGATAGAGAGTGAGAGAGAGTAGAGCGCTTGTGTGTGTGTGTGGGTGGGTGTGTGTGGGGAGGGTCACGGACCCAGGCCCGAGGTTTAAGCTCCGGCCACCCCTGTTGTCCCCTACCTTCCTCCTCGGCTTCACTTGAAGCCGTGGCTGGGAGCGTATAGGATGTATAAGAATACACGGCGCTCTATCAAAATGCAAGGATTATTATTAATATTATTACTATTACACAATCCAGGTAGAAATATGCGTTGCATTAGATTAAATCAACTGTGGCTTTGTAATATTATAACATGTAATAGATCCGTACGCATCGTGTGGAAACAAATCATTTATATTTATAAATTATAAACCGCCACATCACCCCAACGCCTTCCCTTCGGAGTTTTTCTCTCCGGCACGACCAGGCGCTGCATCGAAACCCGAGGATTTTTTTAAAAAATAAAAGATTACGATCATTATCATCATCTTTTCTCCCCCACACCCCCTCCACCACCGCCGGCGCCGCCGCCGCCGCCTCTCTTTCCGAACACACCGAGTGGGAATAAGATGCTCTATCAAATCCAAGGATTATTATTATTATTATTGTCAATCAATTCACATCTCTTTATAACAAAGATACAAAGGAATATAATATTTATGTATAAATATAAATACAGTAGGAGTCTCCCCCTCTCTCTCCCCCTCTCTCTCCCCCTCCTTCCCTCTCCCTCCTTCCCTCTCTCTCTCTCCTTCCCTCTCCCTCCTTCCCTCCCTCTCTCTCTCTCCCTCCTTCCCTCTCCCTCCCTCCCTCTTTCTCCCCCTCTCTCTCCCCCTCCTTCCCTCTCCCTCCTTCCCTCTCTCTCTCTCCTTCCCTCTCCCTCCTTCCCTCCCTCTCTCTCTCCCTCCTTCCCTCTCTCCTCCTTCCCTCTCCCTCCCTCCCCCTCTCTCTCCCTCCTTCCCTCTCCCTCCTTCCCTCTCCCTCCCTCCCTCTCTCTCCCCCCTCTCCCTCCCTCCCTCTCTCTCCCCCCCTCTCTCTCCCTCCTTCTCTCTCCCTCCTTCCCTCCCTCTCTCTCTCTCTCTCTCCCCCCCTCTCTCCCTCCTTCCCTCTCCCTCCCTCTCTCTCTCTCTGGGGCTGCAGTTACCTTTGGTCTCTCCTTCCTCCGGTTCTTCCTCCTCTGCTCCTCGCCTCTCAGCTGCTGTTGCTGACCGTCTCCGGGGGCCTTGTCCCGGCTCCGGGCCGCGGCCTTGGCCCCGCTCCCCGCCTCCTCCCCCTCCTCCTCCTCCTCCCCCTCCTGCTGCTGCTGCTCGCGGCCTCCCCGCCGTTTGCCGAGGCCCAGCAGCCGGCCCAGGCCGCAGGTGAAGGCCCACAGGGCGACCAGCACCACCGCCAGCCCCAGCGCCGCCGCCCCGCCCACCACCAGCAGCCAGGCGGCCGAGCCCGGCGGCTGGCGCCTCAGCCACTGCTCCAGCCCCAAATCCAGGCCGAGGCCTGTGCGCAGCAGGCCCAGGCCGGTCCACATGCCGTCCTCCAGGCGGCCCAGCGCCTCCTCCGCCTTGTGGGCCAACACGTCCTGCCAGCTCGCTGCCATGTTGTCTCTCCCCTCCCTCTCTCCCTCTCTCTCTCTCTCTCCTCCCTCTCTCAGCCCCCGCTCAGACGGTCGGTCGGTCGGTCGGTCAGAGCGCTGCGGGCATCGCCCGAGCAGTTAGGCCCCGCTTCTCTCTCTCTCTCTCTCTCTCTCCCGCCCGCGCGCCGCCGCCGCCCGGCAGCCGCCACTTTATTAGCTCCCACTCCTCGCTCTGTAACGAGCCCCCGAGACCGGCGGCGCTGCAGTGTCCCCCCACGGCCGCAGATACTGACACTGCGCCCGCGGTCCTCCCGCCACCAGGGCGGCGCTGTATCCCCCGGCCACACACACACACACACATAGACACGGCACTGCGGTCCTCCCGCCACCAGGGCGGCGCTGTATCCCCCGGCCACACACACACACACACACATAGACACGGCACTGCGGTCCTCCCGCCACCAGGGCGGCGCTGTATCCACGGCCACACACACACACACGGCACTGCGGTCCTCCCACCACCAGGGCGGCGCTGTATCCACGGCCACACACACACACAGACACGGCACTGCGGTCCTCCCACCACCAGGGCGGCGCTGCTCTCTGGCTCCCGACTCCATTGGCTTCCCATCACACACCGAGTTAACAGTTCCAAGACCCTGGTCCTCCCCTTCAAAGCCCTCCGTGGTCTGTGCTCCCCATTACATCTGCGACCTCCTAACCCCCTCCCATTCCCGCCCCCTCGCTCTGCTCTGCTCTGCTCTGCTCAGGGGGCACCGGCCCCGCTTCACGTCCCCCGCCTCGCTCGCCCCGCCATTGGAGGGCGAGCCTTCCGCCGCTCGGCCCCCCACCCGCCCTCTGGGACTCCGTCCTGCAGTCCCTCTGCCTCGCCCCCTCGTTTGCCTCCTTCAAGACCCACGTTAAGACCCCTTCGACAGTGCCTTCGATCGCCCTGCGGCCCCACCCCCGCCATCCATCCTCCCTCCCCAACCCTGACTCCCAGCTCGGCTCCGAAACCCTGACCGGCCAGTCCCCAGGCTCTGGAACTCCATCCCCCAGTGCCTTCGCCGCTTCCTCCCTTTCCTCCTTCAAGGCTGGTCTCAAGACCTTTCTCTTTGACCGTGCCTTCAGCTCCCCTCTCGACTCTCTTCCCCCTCCTCGCTCCCTCCCTTCCCTCCCCTCACCCTGACCATTTCCCCCCTCCTCTCTCCCTCCCTTCCCTCCCCTCACCCTGACCATTTCCCCCTGCTCGGGTCATGACCCAACTGTGCAGCGCCTTGGGACGTCCTCCTGACGTGAAAGGCGCTTTATAAATGGAATCTTGTTGTTGTTGTTGTTGTTGTCTGCCTGACGCGAAAAGTGCCGTACAAATGTCATTTTGTTGTTCAGTGGAACAGTGGTGGAGCTGAGCCCCGTTGGGACAGTCCGACCCCCTAACCCACATCCAATCCCTGATCAGGAATGCTTTCCTCCACCTCCTCCCACATCACCCATGTCTGGCCATACGTCATAGCCAACTGCTGCTGAAACCCTCGTTCACACTTTCATCACCTTCTCAAATTCTTCCCACGCCCTCCACACCCTGTCTCCCATCTCCATCACACAAAAAATCCAATTGATTCAAAACTCCACCACCCGTATCCTCACTCACACCAAACTCTACAGCCCCATCATCCCAGTCCTTGTCAGGTACCAGTGGTTCCCTGTCTCTGGGAAGAGATCAACATCAAGATCCGAACACTCATCTACAAATCATTTCATGCCCAATCACTGTAACCTGCTCACACACCCGCTCCACTACCCGGCCCCATCACTCAGCCAGCTTGGGCCATCTGCCCGTCCCTGACCCCTCCACTCCACCATCAGCTGCCATGCTTTCTGCCACTGCGTCCCAAACCTCTGGAACTCACTACCTCAGTCACTCTTTGCCAGTCTTCAAATCGCACCCGAACTTTCCTCTGATCATGCCTACAGCAGCGCTTTGGAGCGTACTCCTGAAGGCGCTCTATAAATGTAATTTTGTTGTTGTTGTTGTACAATCACTTCCTCTTTCTCCAGTTCAGCATCAAACTGCAATTGTTCAGTGCTCCAAGATGCTACCCCATGTGATAGGCATGAAATAAATGGAAATCATGTTGGCAGAGCTGAGCTCCAGGTAGAACAGTGGTGGAGCTGAGAGTAAATAGCACAGTAGCACAGCTGGAGACTACAGGATGGAGGAACACATCGGGGTATGAAGGTTATGGGTTCAGGATTTTGAGCTCACAGTCCAGGCTGACACTCCAGCAAGGTGCAGTAGTGCGGGGGGGAGGGGTGTGGGGGGAAGAGAGCTGCAATGTCAGGGGTGCCATCCTTCGGATGAAATGCTAAACCAAGGTCATGTCTCCCTGTTGATATTAACCAACCAATTGATTACTAAATCAGCCTCGTTAGGTTGAATAAAAGTCTTTATTGGGAGTTTGGAGTGATATCAAAGCTCAGCCTCAGTGCATTCCCTGAGGCCAAGTCTCCAACCAACTACTGATCATCTTCCCAAAGACAAATGCTTGCTTCTGTTTCAGAGTCAGAACCACTTGTTCTGTACTAGTGCTCTCAACTCTAATCCAATTCTTGTGCTCTTTCCCCATAGTGTTTGTGCTGGTGCTCACTCCCTACTGGAGCTCTCTACTCTAATCCCATTCCCTGCTCTTTCTGCAGCACGTCTATGCTGGTGCTCACTCCCTACTGGAGCTCTCTACTCCAATCCCATTCCCTGTTTTTTCCTTATTGTGTCTGTGCTCCTGCTCACTCTCCACTGGAGATCTCTACTCTAATCCCATTATGTGCTCTTTGAATTAATGATCAAAATCGCTTGTGGTGAAGTGTTCCACATTGTACCATTGTATTTTGAGTATCAGCCATGTCAGATGACATGAAGAAGCCCAACCCTCGGGGGATTAAGACTGAGCTGGTAGTTGATCACACAGCCTCCTGGGCCCGTCTGTACTCGAACACACTGCCCCTCTCAGTGACGCCAGGCTCTGATCGCCATTTCCTCACACTATGGTGGTCACCCGGGGTTTCTTGGTCCTTTGCTCCCCATCCCCCCCCACCAGGGGTCCGCAGTCGGAACATGTCCTGGGAGAAAGAGGGAAAGAGGGTGGGAGGGTGAGGGAGGAAGTAGGAAGAGGGGGAGGGAGGGGGTAGGGAGTGGGAGAGGGGGTATGGAGGGGGAGGTGGTAGGGAGGGTGAGAGGTAGCGAGGGATAGGGAGGGAGAAGAGTGAAAGAGGGGCAGAGGAAGAGAGGGAGGGAACAGAGAGGGTGGCGGGCACCGAGGGAGGGAGAGAACAAAAGAGAGTGAGAGAAAGAAAAAAAAAGAAATCATTGCCAATTCTCAAGAGGGGTGGAGGAGGGGGCGGCACAGAGGTGGTTGGATGCAGGAGATGAGTTGGAAGGGCGGGGGCGGGCGGAGGGTAGCCAGACATAAATGGTAAGGCGAGGCGTGGGGTGGGGTAGTTGGACACGGATGGGGAGCCTGGGATGGGGGTGGAGTTGGGGAGAGTCTGAGTGTGTTCCTCACCCCTGGTTTAAGTGGTATCGATGTTTTTGCTCCGAGGTTTATGATCCTTCCATCTTCACAAATCAACAGGTTCAGTCCTGGGGCTCCTGGCTCCCCCCCTGCAAACACCAGACTGGTCATTACTGTTGGCCTTGATGTGTGTGTGTCCCCAATCCAGGGTCCGCAATCGGAGCATGCCCTGGTAGAGAGGGGGATTGGCAAAGGAAAGGAGGTGGGGAGAATAGAGGGAGACGGGGGAGAAACAGAGAGAGGGTGGGGGCCCCGAGATAGCCACATACCCCCCTGGTGATAGACATGATGCCTCCTGCACTGGCCACAAACAACCCCGTGGTAGCCACTCCCCACCCCACCCACACACTTGCCACAGACCACACGATGCCAACCGCAGACCACCCCAGTACTGGCCGCGTAAACCCCGGCGCAAATCACGGGGACCCGCTTCTACGGTGTAACTGTTACCATGCATGCCGTAGGGTCGAAAGCTTCGGCGTTCAGTCAGCACGGAGAGGACCACCTTCTCCCGGAACAGCAGCTCCCGGATCACACCATCCCCACCGCAGAACAGGCCCTGACCCCCAGAGCCTGGGTTCAGCTCAAACCTCCTCAGCACCACAGGGTACCTGACATCACAGCCCAGGGACAACAGTGAAGCAAGTTCCGGTTAGTCAACAACAACAACATGCAGTTATATAACGCCCCTCTCGCAGGATGGCATCCCAGAGCGCTTGACAGTGGCGGATTACGACACCGAGCCGGGGGGAGGGGGGAATGTGACCGTCACATGGCTGATAAGGGCCACGAAGGCTCGGGTCCGTTGCGTCCTGTAACGGAATAATAACCAGTTGCGTTTTTTTTCTTTCACAGGAACTGTTTCTATTGAGATAAGTGTAAATGTATAATCTATTTACAAATAAATATATATTTTGATTAAAAATATTCCAAATCATATGATTGCAGAAGCCAAACTAAGACGGGTTTCAAGAACATTCCGCGTCTGTGCCCCACCTTCAATTTCATGATAAATGGATCTCACGAGGACCCACTTGATGGTGTGGTGGACAGAGCTGCAGTTTGTCGACCAGGAACTCGCTGGTCCAGACTGTGTTTGCTAGTCTCACCGAGGTCTGAATGCAAAGGCTAGATTATCCCCAGGACTTCCCAGGGTTAGGGAGAGTCAAATCAGCCAAGATACCTGCTCCTAGTCCCTCTACAGCACCCTCTACCGGTTGTGTGTGTGAGTGCCACGGCTCACACATAAGCAATGCCCCACCTGGGCAGCTAACAGAGGGCAAACAACAACAACTTGCATTCATGTAGCACCCTTTATGCGAGTAGCGTCCCAAAGCTACCGTGGATCCGCACTCCAATGAGAGGAAGTCAGGAGCAGAGAGAGAGAGAGAGGTCAGGAGCAGAGAGAGAGTGGTCAGGGGCAGAAAGAGGGAGAGGTCAGGGGCAGAGGAGCGTACACTCGGGGGAAGAAAATTAGAAAACAATTAGAAATAACAATTTTAACATCAGGCAGGATGGTGGAGTCCCGAACTGGATGGACCTTGGTCTTATTTTGTCCAGCAAATCTTATGTCTCCAAATCTAAGTCAAGGGTGAATTTGGGGCCACTGACTCAAGAACATGAGAATTGTAATAAAACATGTAATTGTAATTAAACATAAATGAATTCTTATCTTCTTAAACGCTAAACGAAAGTCCATCCAGTTCAACTTCCACCATCCTGGCAGTCCCAGGCACAGGTCAAGACCCAAACTAGATACTGTATCCCGAGATATTATTTCCTAACAGAAATCTATCTAATTTATTCTTGAAAGAGGAGTCAGCGGGCGGCTGCAATGAGCAAGGCTGCAGTGAGGGTGTTCCTCCTGCTGTATCCGCCTCTGATCTCTTACCTTTTCTCCAGGATCTCGGGGTCCGTGATGCGGGTGTTGGTCATGTGGGTGTGGATCCCACTCCGGCCGTGCCAGCTTGGCCCTGCGCCAGCTCCACCCGCCACCGTCTCGTAGTAACCCACCCGCTCGTTACCAAAGGTCACGTTATTCATACAGCCCTGCAACAGCGGGGGAGAAGGGGGTCAGCGGGGCAGAAGGGGGGAGAAGAGGCTAGCGGGGGGAGAAAGGGGCCAGCGGGGGAGGAAGGGGCCAGCGGAGAGCCCACCCCCTCTCTTGCTGACCATCCACATCAACCCCTCACCTCCCAGCCGCCCTTCCCCCACCCGGTGCCCCCAGCCGTCCCGCATCACCCATCACTGTGCTCCACCCCCATCACTATATCCCACCCCCATCATCATGCCCCTCTCCCATCACCATGCCCCCAGCCATCACCTACCACCCTCACCCCTGACCTGAGAGGCCGCGCACACAGAGAAGGCCTTGAATATGACGTCCACCAGCCGTTGTGAGGTCAGGACGTTGCCCCCGACAACTGCGGCCTCTGGGGATGGATCCAGGATGGAGCCCCTTGACATCCGGACCTGAACCGGAGCCAGACAGCCCTGCGGACACCAGAGGGCAAGGACCACAGCCATAGTGATAGCTTTACACTCACTCACACACATACTGACTCACACGCTCGCTAGCTCACACACACATGCACATACTCATTCACTCCACACATACTAACTCAAACATATTGACACACACACGCTCGCTCGCTAGCTCACTAACTCACACACATGCATACTCACTCACACACACATTCACATACTCATTCTCACACATACACACACTCACACTCATACATAGAAACATATTCACTCACACACACTCATTCACTCACACACGTACTCACATACACACATTCACTCGCATGCTCACTCACTCACTCACCCATCCACGCTGACTCGTTCACCTCCACACAGATGCACGGACACTCACATACACACATATGTTCACACACAATCACACGTGCGCACACAAATTCACACACTCACACACTCATTCACCCGATCACTTACTCACTCCCTCACGCACAACTCAAATATATACACGCACACACTTGGGTGCTCACTCAAGCACACACTCACATGAATGCTCGCTTGGACACACAACTCGCATGCACACTGGCTCACTGACACCCACATGCGCACTTGCTCCAAGGTCACACTCACTGACCTGGTTCAGAGGGATGTCCTGCCCCACCATGCAACGGAGACAATAAATGAGAGCAGAGAGGGTGATGGCACGAGGGGCATTGCAGTTACCAAACACTTCAGGGCCCGAGCCTGTAAAATCAAACACAGCCGTCCCCTGAGAGGGGAGAGAGTGTGAGAGAAAGAGAGAGTGGGAGACAATTTGTTAGTGGGTGCGTCTGTGTGTGAGACAGAGAGAGAGTCACAGACAATCAAACACAGCCATCACCTGAGAGAAAGTCGCAGATCAACAGTAAAAGAGGGAGAGAGTGGATGACCTTGAGAGAGAGAGAGCGTAAGAGGGAGAGGGAGAAAGAGTGAGTGATTGAGAGTGTGTGTGGGGGGGTGGGGGTGTGTGAGGGAGTGGTCGAGAGTCACAGACAGGAGTGAGCGAGTGAATGTGAGAGGAGTGAGTGTGAGGAGAGAGTGAGAGAGTAAGAGAGTGAGAGAGAGAGACTGAGTGAGAGAGTGTGAGAGAAAGAGTGAGTGTGAGGAGTGAGTGAGTGTGGAGAGTGAGTGAGTGTGGAGAGTGAGTGTAGGGAGTGAGTGTGTGTAAGGAGAGTGAGAGAGTGTGTGTGAGGAGTGAGTGAGTGAGTGAATGTGAGAGTGAGTGAGTGTGAGTGAGAGTGAGTGAGTGTCAGGAGAGAGTGAGAGAGTGAGTGAGTGTGAGGAGAGAGTGAGAGAGTGAGTGTGTGAGGAGTGAGTGAGTGAGTGAGTGTGTGAGGAGTGAGTGAGTGTGAGAGAGAGAGAGAGAGAGAGAGACACACACAGTGTGCCCTCACACAGACAAAGATCACCTCTTCCTCATTGATGGTGACTTGTAGCTTGATTGGGGTCCCATCATCCATGTAATCCTCGGCCCCCACCCTGAGCGTTCCCATTCTCTCCCGGTGGGTTCGGGCAAATGTCTTCAGCATCTCCTTCACCGCCAACTCTGCGTTATTCTGGGGGAGGGGGAGGGGTAATATAAAACATAAAATGTCACACTGCTAACAAAGCCACAAGTAGAATATAATAACCATTGCATTTGATATAGCGCCTACCTACCTCCGACCTACTATCTCCCTACTTACCTGCCCGTACCCTCCGTTCCTCTGGCTCCGGTCTGCTTCACATCCCCCGCCCCAACCGCCCTACCATCGGTGGCCGGGCCTTCAGCCTCTCAGCCCCGAGGCTCTGGAACTCTATCCCCCAGTGCCTTCGCCGCTTCCTCCCTTTCCTCCTTCAAAGACCGGTCTAAAGACCTTTCTCCTCGACCGTGCCTTCAGCTCCCCTCTCGACTCTCTACCCCCTCCTCGCTCCCTCCCTTCCCTCCCCTCACCCTGACCATTTCCTCCCTGCTCGGGTCCTGGCCCAACTGTCCAGCGCCTTGGGACGTCCTCCTGACGTGAAAGGCGCTCGATAAATGAAATCTTGTTGTTGTTGTTATATCATTGAGACGTCTCAAAGCGCTTCACAGAATATATTGTAAAGTGCACTGACTGTGTATTTTGTGGGTGAAACACGGCAGCCAATTGAGCGCAGCAGTGTTCCAGAAACAGTCGTGAGTTGAGTGAAACAATTTTTTTTAAAAAGGGATCATTAACCTGAAAGTGATCCTCCAATCGACTAACAACCGGGTTCCTACTCACTGCTAGGTAAACAGGTGTGTGGAGTAAGGAAACTTGCCTAAAGTTTTGCCCTGCCCGGAAATCAAACCCGGGTCCTCTCGCTTGCGAAGCGAGTGCTCTAACCACTGAGCTAACCACTGAAAGGATAACATTTGAGGGAGGGGCAACCTTCACCCTGGCTGTGGCTGCTCTGTGCCCAACGTTCACTCATCTGTGAACTGAACAGATGGTTTGGGTTTGCCGTACCCTGGCTGGCACGGTGAACTCTGACCGTTCTGTGCCGTTGGGGACCCGAGTTGCAATGTTATTACTGGCCTCCACTGGGGTTCTTCTATTAAAAGTTCACTATATCATCATAGAACCACACCACTGCTCCACTCGCTCACTCTCACTCTTTTGTGGGGTGGGGGGGTTCAGCCGGGTGTCTGATATACGCGGAGACCCATCACCGTGCTTAAGAGAATCCAAACCAAGCTGAGAAATCCCTGCCTCCCACCTACACTCGGAGTCCTGTAGCTCAGTGGTTAGAGCACTCGCTTTGCAAGTGAGAGACCTGAGTTCAATTCCAGGCAGAGGGCGAAACCTTGGGCAAGTTTCCTTACTCCACACAGAGCCTAATAATAATCCCTCCAAAACCAAAAACAATAATAAATTGGTCATTTTCAATCTACGACTGTTTGTGGGACATTGCTGTGCGCAATTGGCCGCCGCGTTCACCCACAAATATACAGTCAATTCACTTTACAGTCTATTCTGTGAAGCGCTTTGGGACGTCCTCCCGACGTGAAAAGCGCTATATCAAATGCAAGGATTATTATTATTATTATTACACATGGAAATCCCAGAGATAGACTGTTGGAATGGAATACCCTCCCTCCCTGGAGGGACGCATCCTGTTTACCTAATTCCAGAGAGTATTTGGCGCAGGTTGGCAAGAGCCAAGGCTTGGGGGACCCCGGTGTGTGTGTTGGGGTAACTGCTGGAGTCTAACCAGCTAAAACCGCACAGCTTGCCGTCGATATCGCTGTTTACTCACACTGCGGTCAGTGACCTGACTCAAATAGACCGAAAATAAAGTGCACCGTGCACTCCTTGCTCCTCACCTGGATGTGAGCCATGTAGGCCTGCACCACCTCCAGGCCGTAACCGTCAATCAGCTCGTTCACCAGCCCGATCCCACGCTGATTGGCCGCCACCTGCGCTCGCAGGTCCGACAGGTTGTCGTGTAGGTTCCGGGAACCACTGCAGCCAGGAGTGTGTGCGGGAGCCAACAACAACTCTGTCGCACCTACCCCAGAGAGAGAGAGAGAGAGAGAGCGTGAGACAGTATGTGTGAGACAGATGCAGCGCGCGAGTGAGTGAGTGAGTGAGTGAGTGGGAGATAGCGAAAGAGAATGAGAGAAAGAGCGACAGCAGCAAAACGAGAGAGAGAAAAAAGGAAACAGAGAGTGGACGCACAGTGTAGAGGAGCTTTACTGTATCTCTAACCCTGACCTGGGAGTGTGGTCGCACAGTGTAGAGGAGCTTCACTGTGTCTCTAACCCTGACCTGGGAGTGTGGACGCACAGTGTAGAGGAGCTTTACTGTGTCTCTAACCCTCACCTGGGAGTGTGGACGCACAGTGTTACTCAGTCTCAGTGTGGACTCACCCTGTTCCTGGAAGACTCCGGCCTGCACTAGTTTGAAGGATATGAAGACGGCCCCCTCCTCCAGCAGAGTTTTGGAGTGGGGGGGCATGGAGCCCGGCGTGCTGCCCCCGATGTCAGCGTGGTGCCCCCTGCTGGCCACGAAGAACACGGGGCGTGGGACACCCCGGCGGAACACCTGTCGGTAGTCAGACAGTCAGGGGGGTGGGGGAGACTGGGCATCAGCCCCCACCTTGCCCCTGCTTCGGCCCCCCAATCCCCCGCCCCACCCAACCCTCGGCTCCACCTCCCACCCCACGGTCCCACCCCACCCCTCATCCTTGCACGCCCCCACCCCTCGGTCCCGTCGCCCACCTCCTCCATCCCTTGGCCCTGCCCCCCAGCCCTCAACCCCGGTCCCACCCCCAGCCCTCGACCCCACTCCCATCCCGCAACCACGCCCCCTTCCTCGGCCCCACCCCTGCCCCTCCCTCAGTTCCACCCCATTTCTCGGCCCCCTCCTCTGGTCCCTCAGCCCCACCTCCCGGTTTCTCAGACCCGCCTCCAGTGTGTCAGGGCTGCGCCTCAGGTCCATCCCCCAGTCTGACTGATGGTCACACAGCCCTAACCTGGGAGACCATCAGTTAGACTATCAGTCGTCCCCACTCTGTACCGGGGTGATGACAGTCAAGTCAGGGAGGTGGCTTCCCCCGGCCGCCGGATGGTTGCTCAGGATCACGTCTCCTTCCTTCAAATCATCACCTAAATGTCTGATCTGTAAAACACCACAATCACAGAAGACAGAGAGACAGAGACAGTCAGAGAGATAGAATGAGAGAGAGATAGACAGATTGACAGACAGAGAGAGTCAGAGGGACATGGTGAGAGAGAGACACAGAGAGAGACAGAGACAGAGTGAGAGACTGAGAGAGAGCGAGAGAGAGACCTGCACAGTAAGCTAGAGTCAGAGATAGAGAGTGACAGAGTGAGTCAGAGAAGCAGACACAGACAGACAGACAGGCAGGCAGGCAGGCAGGCAGACAGACAGGCAGACAGACACAGCGAGACAGAGAGACATCTGAGCTGTGAGCCCACCTGGAACTGCACAGTCTCCTGCATGGCTCCCAGGTGTACAGGGATGTGGGGGGCGTTAGACACCAGCCCACCATCCGGCCCGAACAGAGCACATGAGAAGTCCAGTCGCTCCTTAATATTGGTGGAGATGGACGTCCTCTGGAGGATCCGACCCATTTGCTCTGTAACCGGAGAGAGAGAGAGAGAGACACACACAGAAAGAGTATGAGTGTGTGAGAGAGGGGGAGTGTGAGAGAGAGTGTATGTGAGTATGTGAGAGTGCATGAGAGAGAGGATGTGAGAGAGAGGGTGAGAGACAGGCAGAGAGAGACAGGTAGAGAGACAGACAGAGAGAGACAGACAGAGAGAGACAGACAGAGAGAGACAGACAGACACACACGCAGAGAGAGACATAGAGAGAGAGACACACAGAGAGATACAGAGAGAGAGACACACACAGAGACACACACACAGAGAGAGAGAGAGAGATACACAGAGAGAGAGGGGGACTGTGTGAAGGTGGTGGGGGGGGGAGTGTGCGAGAGGAGGAGTGTGTGAGAGAGAGAGTGAGAGACAGACAGACAGAGACACAGAGGCGGGGCGTGCGTCAGTGTGTGTGAGAGAGAGTGAGTGTGAGAGAGAGTGTATGTCACTTTTGCTGGTTGACGTTTGTACCAATTGGTCTTTACTTCAATTTCAAAATCATTATAATTATTGTAATTATTATAGTTTCGGTCTGGATTGAACAACAGGAGTGGTTACCTGCGATGCTCATGAAGCGGTGGGAAAAGATGGACAGCTGCACGGTGTCGAGCTCCGTCCCGATGGCCCGCAGGACGCCGCTCCCGATAGTGATCTTCACGTCCCCGCACTCTGTCACCACGGCCGAGCAATCAGGCTCCACCAGGATCGTGCTGAGAGCGAGAGAGAGAGTGAGCACCAGAGGATTGACAGTGTGTCAGCCTGGTGAGGGACGGCGGGTAAACATAACAACATAGGAACAGGAGGAGGCCATTCAGCCCCTCGAGCCTGTTCCACCATTCTATTTGATCTGTACCTCAACTCCAAATACCTGCCTTTGGCTCATAGCCCTTGATACCCCGACCTAACAAAATCTATCCACCTCAGTCTTGAAAATTTGAAAGGATCCAACACCCACAGCCTTTTGCAGGAAAGAGTTCCAGATTTGATTGGAGGTTTAGGTTGGGGGTGCGGGGGAATGGGGGATGGGGAAGTGGTGGGGGTGGGGGGGGCGGGGAATGGCGGACGGGGAGGAGGGGAGCAGGGAAGGATACAGACAGAGCTTGTTGCTACCTGTTACTGTCAATGATGATGGCCGGACCAGGGATCTGGTGATCGCAGGACAGGTCAGCCATCAGGTACACAGTGGTATCTTGGTAACCATCGTCAAAGTAACAACGTACAACCTGCGGGCAACAAGCAGAGTAAATTACATTTATATATATATATATATATATCGTATCTTTCATGTCAAAACAATAGTTTGCATCCAAACTGTAATCAGGAGGGGCAGAGCACGGGGGGGAGGAGGGCGGGAGAGGAGGGGGGGAGGAGGAGGAAAACCCTTCGTACCAGCCGCTGGTTTACTTACCGTTTCCACGCGAGGCTCGTGGCCGCTGGGGCTCAGCCTGGGCTCGGCCCCCACACAGGACCTGCCGCTGCCTCGCACTCGGATATCGTCCACCACAATAGGCCGCTCGGGGATTGTGAATCCGAACTCACTGAGGTACCTGAGGGGAGGATGGGGGCACGTCACGGCCCTCAGCTGCTAACACACACCCAAACACTGGCTACTTCGTCAGCCCCCCTAACACCTCAGCCTACACCCCCCCTCACCATTGTGCACACACCCAACAACAACAACAAATTACATTTGTACAGCACCTTTCACATCGGGAGGACATCCCAAGCCGCTGGACAGTCAGGAATTTGGACCAGAGCTGGGGATTGGCAACAGGAGGGTTGGAGGGCAGGGAGGGTAGGGGTTAGAGGGCGATTGAAGGCCCGATCGAAGAGGAGGGTCTTGAGACTGGCAATGAAGGAGGCGAGGTGGGGGATGAGGTGAAGGGACTGTGGGATGAAGTTCCAAAGGGAGTGGGCAGAGAGGCTGAAGAACCGATGGCTGATGGTGGCGCAGGCTCAGCGGGGGGCACGGAGCAGGCTGGAGCCTGGTGAGCGTAGGGAGCGGACAGGTCTATATGGAGCCACACACCCTGTAGAGTGTAAATACCCACACACACTGTACACAATGTATACACACACACATTGTACACAATGAATACTTGCCCCTCCTTCCCCTCTTTTAGATCATGACTGATGACCTTCCTCTTCGGGAAAGGTCGAAGAGGAAGACCTCCTCTCCCTCCCCCCAACTCAGGGTCAGGCTCCGCCACTGTTAAGCGCTCAGAGCCGCTGCCCCGCATGAAGGGAGCTGTATAAATGCAAATTGTTGCTGTACATATACAGCGTACATATACTGCAGCCCACCCCCCCCCCCCCCAGCACAGTGCTAGAACCTGGGCTGAGTGCTGGTTATGTGGGGCTCACTGACCTGCTGGTGAAGGCCGTTCGGAAGTCTCCGTGCCGGCAATTTTGGGCGTTTGCCGGGAAGCCGTGGGCGGAGCACATGAGGGCACAGTCTGTCCGCTCGTAACGCAGGTGCAGGAAGGTCTCTGTGCTGATGTCTGACCTGGGAGCAAGGGCAAAGGTAACAACCTCTGGACAGGGGGGCCACACAGAGAGAGAGAGAGAAAGCGGCAGGTCATGTCACGACACGTGACCCTGGAGACAAACGCCAGCTTGGCTTCAATCACGGAGCCAAGGTTTGGGTGAAGAAGACCCTTTGGCCAGTCTGATCCCCACCTTCAGAACCCCCTTCCCCCCACCCAGCCGTCCTCCCATTACAGAGTCCAGCTATTTCTTAAATGACTCCCAGCGTCCCAGACACTGTGTCTCACACTGGGATGAGCCTCATCACTCTCCTCTACATTGCCAGGAGAAAATTGTAAAGTGGGGTTACAGTGAAGCTGATCATAATAATCCTTGTATTTGGTATAGCGCAGCATCACTTTGTGCTTCACAGAATATACTGTAAAGTGAACCGACTGTATACTTTGTGGACGAAACGCAAATTAAAATAATATATTAAAATGCAAATATAAATAATATATAACATACAATATACAAATTACAAATTAAGGAGAGTGGCGAGAGTGGCAAGGCTGATCCCAGTGTCAGACACAGTGATGGAGGAGAGTGACGAGATTTTGATTTTTAATCTATTATTGTTGTGATGATACAGGGAGAGCCTGTCCCTGAGCTGAGAATGTGTGTGTCTATGTGGTAAGTAGCCAGGTTGGTGAGGTTGACTGACGGTACCTATTAAATCCCTGTGACAGGAGGGCGGCCACACACTGCTCCTCCAGCGCAGACATCCGTCCATCCAGCAAAGCGAAAGCTTCCTCCTCGTACACCAGCGAGCACGGCTCCTGACACTCTTGCACCACATCTGCCAGAGCCATGCCATAGGCTGAGAGTATCCCACTGTACCTGAGACACACAGACAGTCACACGGAGAGGGGGTGACAGAGAGAGAGGGGGTGACAGAGAGAGAGGGGGTGACAGAGAGAGGGGGGGGTGACAGAGAGAGGGGCGATGACAGAGAGAGGGGGGATGACAGAGAGAGGGGGGATGACAGAGACAGAGGGAGTGACAGACAATGACAGAGAGAGAGTAACAGAGAAAAGTTCCCAGAGAGAGAGAGTGATAGAGAGCGCGGAAGACAATGACAGAGAGAGAGAGAGACTGACAAACAGTGACAGAGAGAAAGAGAGAGCAAGATAGGCAGAGAGATAGAGAGGTAGACAGACAGACACATAGAGAAAGTAAAAGACAGTGAGACCGTCCTCATTCCTAACCCACGTGGATCCACAGTAATCCAGGGCACAGAGAGAGAGAGACAGACAGATACTGAGACAGAGAGAGAGAGAGAATCAGTGAGTGTAAAATTGTCCTTGCACTGAAAAATTAGAACAGGCAGAGCGGACAGGCGGGGGCGGCGGACAGGTGTGGGTGAGGGGGCGGAGGAGGGGGACAGGTGTGGTTGGGGGCGGGGGACAGGTGTGGGTGAGGGGGCGGAGGAGGGGGACAGGTGTGGGTGGGGGCGAGGGACAGGTGGGGGTGAGGGGGCGGAGGAGGGGGACAGGTGTGGGTGGGGGCGGGAGACAGGTGGGGGTGAGGGGGCGGAGGAGGGGGACAGGTGTGGGTGGGGGTGGGGGACAGGTGGGGGTGGGGGAGTGGGACAAATGGATCGGGGGACAGGAAGGAGCGAGAGGGGGACAGGAAGGGGTGCGCTAGTGAAAGCCGTGACCTACTTGTGAATGAAGACGGTCTTCATGCCCAGGGAGCGGGCGATGGCACAGGCGTGCTGACCCCCCGCACCCCCAAAGCAGGCCAGTGTGTGCTGCGATGTGTCGTGTCCTTTTGCCTGTGGGGTGAGGGAGGGAGAGAGGAAAGGACGATTCACAGAAACCAGAAGCCAAAACGTGAGAGAACAACTTATATTTGATGGCGCTTTGAATGTTTTAATGCGCTTTACAGAAGTTACCGTAAATAATAATAATAATAATCCTTGCATTTGATATAGCGCCTCATCACGCCGTTGAGACGTCTCAAAGCGCTTCACATGATGTACTGTGAAGTGGATTGACTGTGTATTTTGTGGGTGAAATGCAGCAGCCAATTGCGCACAGCAGTGGCCCACAAACAGTTGTGGATAGAGTGACCATATTTTTTTTAAAAAAAGGGATTATTCCCCCAGAAAACCAATCGACTAACAATCGGGTTCCTACTTACTGCTAGGTGAACAGGTGTGTTGAGTAAGGAAACTTGCCCAGAGTTTCACACTGCCGGGAATCGAACCCAGGTCTCTCGCTTGCGAGGCAAGTGCTCTAACCACTGAGCTACAGGACTCCACTTACTCCACATACCTCTGTTTACCTCAATTTACAGTATATTCTTTGAAGCACTTTGAGAAATCTCAAAGACGTGATAAGGCGCTATATCAAATGCAAGGATTACTATTATTAATAATATTATTATTTCGGATCCAAGGAGACCCCACCTACCTCCCTCTTCTACCCACAACTAGGGCTTGTTCTCTCAGCCCGGTATATCTTCACTGGATACCTCTTCCCTCCACCCCCAACCCCAGAGAGTACCTGTGTCAATGCTCTGATGGGCCGGCACATGGCTTCGTTGGCTACTTGTAGGAAGCCCATGGCTACCTCCTCCGCAGACATGGTCCCGCGGGCAGCTCCCGGGTCCCCAGCGCCCTGGGGCTGCTCCTGCAGGAAGCTGTTGACCTGTTGGGTCAGGTAGCGGAGGCTGCGCTGGGCGTCCTCCTCAGACAGAGGCTGGTCCTCGCTCTCCCCGAAAATCTTGGGGAAAAAATGTGGCAGCAGGCGGCCCAGGCACAGGTTAGCATCGGTCACCGTGAGCGGCCCCCCTGCAGAGACAAAGAGGGGTCTGTGAGGTGCCATGTGTCAGCCTCGGGGAAGCCATGTGTGAACCACGTGTAAAAACCATGAGCAAATACAGCCATAACATACGCTATGTTTATATATGTGGAATACATGATTCCGGGAATGAGTTGCAGAACTCCATCCCACAGACCCTTCGCCTCGCTCCCTCTTTTGCCTCCTTCAAGACAAGTCTCAAGACCCTCCACTTCGTCCGCGCTTTCTGCCACCCTCCGACCCCCCACCCTCCCCGCTCTCCACCCCTCCTGATCCCAACCCCCAGCTCGGGTCCAATTCCCTGACTGCCCAGCGGCCTTGGGAGGTCCTCAAGTCACAAAAAGGCGCTATACAAATGTAATTTGTTGTTGTTGCTGAGTTACAGGCAGGACATGAAGTGACCTACAGGGGGGTTACAGTGTGCGTGTGTGTCTGATCTCACCTTTCCTGTAGCAGGCAGGACCTGGGTGAGCTCCTGCGGACTCTGGGCCGACAACGAACAGTCCGGACCTGGAATACGAATGAGGTCAGCGTGAGGTTAGAGTGATTATTTTGGGGGTCAGCTGGGTATTTGACACGTGCAGAAACCCATCACCGTGCTTAAGAGTATCCTAACCCAACTGAGAATTCCATGTCTCCCACCTACACATGGAAATCCCAGAGATAGACTGTTGGAATGAAATGCGCTCTCTCTCCCTGCTTACCTAATTCCGGAAAGTATTAGGGTCAGGTTGCCAAGAGCCAAGTCTTAGGGACCCCAGGGTATATGGGGTAACTACTGGAGTCTAACCAAATAAAACCGTACAGCTTGCCACTGATATCGCTATCCCGCTACTTGTCCAGCTAGGACCACCCTACCCGTTAGGGCTGTGGATTGAAGGGTTAACAACAACTGAGTGGGAGGATTCCCTGCTCCCAGTGACTGGTCTGCCCTTCCGGGTCCTGCCGATGAGCCAGGATGGTCTGTGCCATCATCAGCAGTGCTCTGGAGTACCGTGGACCCGCCTGGCTCAGGAAAAGGATTAGAGACCATCACAGAGGGCTGGCTTGATTCTGACAGTCCGTCGCCAGGCACATCACCTTGGAGCCAGTTCTTACTGTAGAGACCTTACTGTGACGGGGAGATATAATTGGTCTTGTAATCCCAAGGTGGTAAGTTACCTCCTTCATGCCCCCTCCTTTGTCCATGCACCACCCACCCCTCCACCCCCTGCCGTGTCTGACCTGAAGAACAGCACAGAGCCGCCCCCAGCTGCCACAGTGTTGATGTCGAGCTGCGGGGCCTGGATGGTGATGCCGGCGGTGGAGGCCTCAAACACATGCTCATACTCCCCGGCATAGCGGCTGACATCAGTGGAGGTCCCTGAGGAGAGAGAGAGAGAGAGATGCCACAATGGTCAGCAAACTCTCACCACAATCCTGGGACACCACGAGGGAGGGAGAGAGGGAGGGAGGGGTGGGGTCGGGGGAACCGGGGACAGAGGCTTTGCACACCGAGTTACAGAGTCCACAGTGCACCTGAGGGAACCTCAACATAGAGTCCTGTAATGTAATGGTGAGAGCACTCGGCTCAGAAGCGAGACGATCCGGGTTCGATTCCCAAGCAGGGCAAAACCTGAGTGGATTGAGCAACCTACATTTTTTTTAAGGGATTATTACCTGAGTGGATTGGAAAAGTGATCCACCAATCGACTAGCAACCTGGTTCCTACTTACTGTTAGGTAAACAGAGGCGTGTGGAGTAAGGAAATTTGCCCTGCCTGGGAATCAAACCCAGGTCCTCTCGCTTGCGAGTGACGGGAGTATTTTGTAGGGGGAGCAGCAAGTTGTGCCCTGCAGCGTCACACAAACAGCCTTGAGATGGATGAGCAAATGTTTTGGGGCAAGGACACAGGGAGAGTGAAATTCCCTTCTCTTTTCCAATAGCGCTGCAGGATTTTTAACATCCACTTGAGCAGGTATTATTTATATTATTATAGTATAAATGCGAGGTGTTGTTGCTTTAAGCATTTTGTCGCCACATTAAGGAGGGGGGGAAGAATCCCACACCCCATCCCAAGCTGGAGACCAGATCTTGAGGAAGGGTGAGGGTGGGGAAGCAAAGTGTACCACACTGTGGGAGGTGACTTACCGCCCATGTCAAAGCCAATGACAGGTCTCTTCTCCTCTTTGCTGTAGGTGGTCAGTGCGTAGCCCACCACCCCGCCTGCTGGCCCCGAGAGGATGGCCCGAGAGCCACTGAACTGGTCCATGGGGGTCAGGCCTCCGTCAGACTGCATGAACAGCACTCGCACATCCTGCACACAGCCATAGCAACATAGCAACACAGGAACAGGAGTAGGCCATTCAGCCCCACTCAAGCCACTTCCACCATTCTACTAGAACAGGGTGGTCCAACCTTTTGGCTGCTGAGGGCCAGATGCCCTATTTCTCAGAACACAAAAAATCACATAACATTGACGGGTTATGGAGGGAGCAGGTGGGTCAGATGAAATGGAGCGAGTGGGGGGAGCGAGCAGGGCCTAGATGAAATCAGCCTGCGGGCCACTGTTGGACCACCCTGTATTAGATCATGGCTGATCTAATAAGCAGACAGCGGTCAGGGGGATCCACACCCACAATGGGGAAGAGGAGGAAGGGATGAGTAGAGAGCTCCAGCAAAGACACGATGGGCGGAGAGCAGGAAATGGGATTAGAGTAGAGATCTCCAGTGGGGGAGCGAGCACCAGCACAGACAAGTTGAGGAGAGAGCAGGGAAATGGGTATGGGGGAGGAGAAGGATGTACGGGAGGAGAGTAGTGAATTGGGTGGGGTGGGGGGGGGGAAGGGGGTAACTGGGTGAAGGAAGATGGTGTGTCCGTGAAGCTGGTCTCAGTGGGAGAGACACAGGCGTTAAGGAGAAGGAGGGACAGAGACAGGACGTACGTACCCTGAGAGAGTGCTGGAAGCCGGAGCGGAAGCCGTTGAGGTAGCGGTGGATACACGGGGTGAGGTAGGCATCAGCGCAGGCAGTGAATCCCCGCGGCACCACCCTCACCATCGGCATGACCTCCGAGGAGAGAGAGACGTGAGAGAATCCCAACCGGCGAGCCAGCTCCCCCACCTGCCTCTCGTGGTCAGGCCATCTGCAGGGAGGAACCATCACCATCACCAGGGTCATCAGGGAGAACGACACAAATACAGGGTGGAGGAGTTTGGAGGGAGGGAGGGAGGGACGGGTGGGGTTTGAGGAAAGAGTTAAAAAGCTACATGCGTGAGAAATCTGGCTTCCACAATTTCTCACAGGGACTATCAACATTTATGTTTCGTTTTGTTTTCTTTTTCGGGATTCCTGTAGCTCAGTGGTTAGAGCACTCGCCGCGCACGTGAGAGGACCTGGGTTCAATTCCCGGGCAGGGGGAAAACTTAGGCAAGTTTCCTTACTCCACACTCTTCTGTTTACCCAGCAGTAAGTAGGAACCCGGTTGTTAGCCGAGTGGCGGATTTCTTTCCAAGGGTAATAATCCCTCCAAGAACAAATGGGAGGGATTTTGTTTTGGAGGGATTATTTGTTGTCACGTTACGGAGAGTAGGAGGGGGGAGAATCCTACACCCCATCCCAGACTGGAGACCAGATCTTGAGGAAAGGTGGGGGTGGGGAGCGAGGTGTACCACACTGTGGGAGGCGGAGAGATTGAGGGAAGAGTATTCCAGAGTTTCGGGGCGTAGTGGCTGAATGCGCGACCTCCGTTAGTGGAGCGGAGGATGCGAGGGACGAGCAAGAGGCTGGTGCCAGTCGAGCACCCACGGGTACTCACGTGTAAGAGTGCAGGAGCACCACAGCCAGACTGCGGATTCCCCTAGACAGTACCTGCTGCAGCTCCCTCTCCAGCTCACTCTCATTGAGTGCTTGCCACACCTGCACTCGCTCACCCGTGCACCCTGACATACAAGAGGTTTCAGTCAGAAAGTTACTGTTAGTTCAGTCATCCAAACATACATCCTGTACCTGTGTGTGTGTGTGTGTGAGTGTGCATACTACTACTAATAATAAGCCTTACATTTGATATAACGCCTTATCACGTCTTCGAGACGTCTCAAAGCGCTTCACAGAATATATTGTAAAGTGAATTGACTGTACATTTTGTGGGCAAAACGTGGCAGCCAATTACGCACAGCAGTGCCCCACAAACAATCATGGATTAAGTGACCAAATTATTATTATTATTCTTTTCTTAATGGGATTATTACCCCTCGAAAAGCTATCTGCCAATCAACTAACAACACAGTTCTTACTTACTGCTAGGTAAGCAGAAGCGTGTGGAGTAAGGAAATTTACCTAAGGTTTTGCTCTGCCCAGGAATCAAATCCAGGTCCTCTCGCTTGCGAGGCGAGTGCTCTAACCACTAAGCTACAGAATGCCAGTAAGCTTAAGTATCTCAAAGGAAGATAATTTTGCTTCAAAAATTAAATTTATAGTGAGAGCTAAGCGCTCCTTCATTCAGCAGGTTTTGTGAGCTTATAAATGACACGAGGTTCATTTTAATTATTTAAATTTAACTACTGTACCCGTCTGTGTGCTGTGTGTGTGTGTGTGTGTGGGCACGCGCGGGGGGTGGGGTGGGGCTGTACCTTGGTAACACCATCCGCAGACATGGGGTCAACTAACACATGTATGTGAATGACACCCAACTCCACCTCTCTGTCTGTACCCTTGACTCCAGGACCACTGCTGTGCTGACAGAATGTCTGTCAGACATCAAGTCCTGGATGAGAGCTAACTTTCTTCAGTTGAATGTCAAAAGACCGAGGCTCTCCTGATTGACTCCCGTCAGCGCCTCCACACCTCAGGCGCTGACAGCATCACCATCCATGGTTGCACACTCCACCTCACTAAGCCAATCCGGTATCTTGGGATCTTGTTTGACCCTCAACTATCCTTTCTACCCGACATCTGCGCCATGACCTGCTCTGCCTTCCCCCACCTCCGCAACATTGCCCGGCTCCACCACTGTCTCACACCACAGGCCGTCGAAACCCTCTTACACGCCTTCATTACATTGAGGTTCGACAATGCAAACTCATTGCTTGTCGGCCTCCCCAACTCCTCCCTCCACAGGCTGCAGATCATCCAGAACTCTGCAGCCCGTGTCCTCTCCTGCACCAGGCTGCGTGACCCTATCACCATCATCCTCCACTGGCTTCCCATCATACAGAGGATACAGTTCAAGATCCTGGTCCTCACCTTCAAAGCCCTCCACGGCCTTGCTCCCCCCTACCTCTGTGACCTCCTAACCCCCTACCACCCTGTTCGCTCGCTCCACTCAGCGGGTTCCGGCCTGCTTCACATCCCCCGCTTCGTTCGCCCCATTAGCAGGCGGGCCTTCCATCACTGTTCCCCCACCCTCTGGAATTCCATCCCACAGTCCCTCCATCTCGCCCCCTCCTTTGCCACCTTCAAGACCCATCTCAAGACCCTCCTCTTCAACCGTGCTTTCGATCTCCCTGCTTCGCCCCCTGCCCTCCACCCTCCCCCACCCCTGGTCCGTAACTCTGTCTGTCCAGTGCCTTGGGACGTCCTCCCGATGTGAAAGGCGCTTTACAAATGTAATTTTGTTGTTGTTGTACCTGTGTGTATGCTGGAGTCAGCCGGAGGGGACAGTCCACAGCTGTCCTGCTGTAATATCACCCTCTCATCAACTTCAATCACCTCCTCATACAGCACCTCTGGCATCACCACCTCCTGAAGGAGAGAGGGAACATAAGAGATAGTGAGAGGCAGAGAGAGAGAGAGAGAGGGTCAGAGAGAGGCAGAGACAGAAAGACGCACGCGCGCGCACACACAGGGAGGTAGAGAGAAAGACAGAGAGAGAGGAAGAGCGAGACACAGACACAGAGAGACAAAGAAAGGGACAGAGAGAAACAGAGACAGAGTGAGATAGACACAGAGACGAACACAAAGAGATGGGGAGAGTGCAGACAGAGAGACAGACTCTGGGACGAGTCTCTGAGCAGGTGGTGGCGGGGGGGGGTGGGGGATGCTGCAGCTAATTTTTTACCAGGTCGAAAATCTTGGGCCGGGATTGGTTGCCAATGTGCAGTAGGTCTCGGAAGCCCCTGGTGATGGCCAGCGCTATCCTCTCGCCCTTCCTCTCCAGCAGGGCGTTGGTGGCCACAGTGGTGCCCATCCGGATCCAGTCAATGTGGGAGGTGTCCAGCGGCTGTTCCCTGGGTACCGGCTCTCCACATTCCTNGGGGGGGGTCAGAATAACAACAGGTACATTTCTACAACACCTCAACGCAATCTCTCCCGTTTTACCAGCTCCTTCAGGTAAAATAAATGTCTCAAAGCGTGCGCTTCACAGAATGAGATTCGTTGGAAATATAATATTAATCCTTGCGTAGTGCTTAGCTCACAAGCGAAAGGACCCGGGTTTGATTCCCCGGCAGGGCAAAACCTTAGGCAAGTTTCACATGCCTCTGTTTACCCAGCAGTAAGTAGGAACCCAGTTGTTAGTCGACTCGCGGATCACTTTCCGGGGGTTATAACCCTCCACTATTTGTGGGACGCCGCTGTGCACAATTGGCTGCCACGTTTTGCCCACAAAATACACAGTCAATTCGCTTTACAGTCTATTCTGTGAAGCGCTATGAGACGTCTCGACGATGCAATAAGGCGCTATATCAAATGCAAGGATTATTATTATTATTGCATTTGGTATGGTGTCTTTCACATCGGGGGGGGGGGGGGGGCGTCTGAACACAGCAACGTCCTCAAAACATCCACAGAGCGAGTGACCACTTTTATCTGGAGGGTTGTCGTCCAGGAGAGAGAAAATCCCTTCTCTTTTCCAATAGTGCCGCGGGACCTCATCCGTGAGCTCAAAGTTCCTGCCTACTCCCCTTCCCCCTTGTTGGCTCCCCTCGCCCAAAAACCCCCTCACCTGCTCCAGGATGCGCCGGATTCCCTCGGTGGGAGCGTCGGAGTAATTTGCCGGATCCTCGGAGAGCAGCTTGAGGACCCGGGCTCGGCCGCCTGGACACCGGGCAAAGACATCGGTGAAGGTCCCACCGCGATCGATGGCAAACTGGATCATTCCCCCGACACCACTGGTGGCCTGAGAAAGGAGGGGCTGGGGGTGGGGTGGGGGGGGAGAACGGAGCATTGTAGAATGAATCTTCCAACCCTTTTAAGGTAAACCCACCTGATGATCGCTTGCCCCTACCAGCATCACAAGTGGCCAACCATCACCGTACAGTCTGACCCCATTTACCCCCCTCGGGCAGGCTGACTCCGTTCATCCCCCAGAGACAAATCGTCCATTTACCTCCCCCTCCTCCTGAGACAGTCTGATTCTATTTAGCTCCCACTATCTTTGTGGAGTCCTGTAGCTCAGTGGTTAGAGCACTCGCTTTGCAAGTGAGAGACCTGAGTTCAATTCCAGGCAGAGGGCGAAACCTTGGGCAAGTTTCCTTACTCCACACAGAGCCTAATAATAATCCCTCCAAAAAAACAAAGCAATAATAAATTGGTCATTTTCAATCTACGACTGTTTGTGGGGCATTGCTGTGCGCAATTGGCTGCCGCGTTTCGCCCACAAATATACAGTCAATTCACTTTAGTCTATTCTGTGAAGCGCTTTGAGACGTCGAGAAGACGTGAAAAGCGCTATATCAAATGCAAGGATTATTATTATTATTATTATTATCTGACTGCTGTTCTCTACCCAGGTACACACTCACTCAGGCTCCTATGCCGGCTCAGAAACTCTCAGTGTGTGTATGTTTGTGTTTCAGTCACTCTGTGTCTGTGTGTGTGTCACTCTTGGTATATGTGTGTTGAGACGCTGTCCCATGTGGAGTGTGCTGTATAAATGCAAGTTGCTATTGTTGTTGAGTGTGTCAGTCACTCTCAGTATGTCTTGTGTGAGTCAGTGTGTTACTCTCAGTGTGTTAATGTGTGAGTCACTCCGTGTGTGTTATTCTCAGTGAATGTTTGTGTGAGTCACTGTGTGTGTTCCCGTGTGTGTGAGTCACTCTGTGTGTGTGTTCCAGTGTGTGTCACTCTGTGTGTGTGAGTCACTGTGTGTGTGTTCCTGTGTGTGTCACTCTGTGTGTGTGTGTCACTGTGTTTGTGTGTGTGTCACTGTGTGTGTGTGTGTCACTCTCTGTGTCTGTCTCTGTGTGTGTGTGTGTCACTCTCTGTGTGTGTCACTCTCTCTGTGTGTCTGTGTGTGTCACTGTGTGTGTGTGTCACTCTCTGTGTGTGTGTGTGTGTGTGTGTCACTCTGTGTGTTTGTGTGTGTCACTCTCTGTGTGTCTCTGTGTGTGACTGTGTGTGTGTGTGTGAGCTCTGCTGCGCTCTCAGCCAATCACAGGCCAGTGCCTCGCCCCCCGCACCTCCACCAATCACCGAGCAGAGAGCCGCCCCGCCTTGGGATTTGCACCAATCAGCCCCGGCCCCGGGGGTCAGCCAATCACAGGGCGGGGCGGGGCGGGGGCGGGGCCGGGCGCGCGGTGCCGGGTGGGAGCGGGCGGGCGGCCATGGCGGGGCTGGAGCTGCTGTCAGACCAGGGATACCGCGTGGACGGCAGGAAGGCGGCGGAGCTGCGGAAACTGAGGGCCCGGATGGGGGTGTTCGGTCAGGCCGACGGCTCGGCCTATATCGAGCAGGGAAACACCAAGGCCCTGGCCGTGGTCTATGGGCCGCACGAGGTACCGTCACCGCCTCCTCGCGAAGCTGAGGGCCATCCCCCCCAATACTGAGGGCCATCCCCCCCCAATACTGAGGGCCATCCCCCCCAATACCGAGGGCCATCCCCCCAATACTGAGGGCCACCCCCCCCCCCCAATACTGAGGGCCATCCCCCCCAATACTGAGGGCCATCCCCCCCCAATACTGAGGCCATCCCCCCCAATACTGAGGCCATCCCCCCCCAATACTGAGGGCCATCCCCCCAATACTGAGGCCATCCCCCCCCCAATACTGAGGCCATCCCCCCCCAATACTGAGGGCCATCCCCCCCCCAATACTGAGGGCCATCCCCCCCAATACTGAGGGCCATCCCCCCCCCAATACTGAGGGCCATCCCCCCCAATACTGAGGGCCATCCCCCCCCAATACTGAGGGCCATCCCCCCCCCAATACTGAGGCCATCCCCCCCCCAATACTGAGGCCATCCCCCCCCCAATACTGAGGCCATCCCCCCCCCCAATACTGAGGCCATCCCCCCCAATACTGAGGGCCATCCCCCCCCCAATACTGAGGGCCATCCCCCCCAATACTGAGGGCCATCCCCCCCCAATACTGAGGGCCATCCCCCCCCAATACTGAGGGCCATCCCCCCCAATACTGAGGGCCATCCCCCCCAATACTGAGGGCCACTCCCCCCCAATACTGAGGGCCATCCCCCCCCCAATACTGAGGGCCACCCCCCCCAATACTGAGGGCCATCCCCCCCAATACTGAGGGCAATACTCCCCTCATCCCCCCCCATACTGAGGGCCACCCCCCCCCCCAATACTGAGGGCCATCCCCCCCCAATACTGAGGGCCACCCCCCCCAATACTGAGGGCCATCCCCCCAATACTGAGGGCCATCCCCCCCCAATACTGAGGGCCATCCCTCCCCCAATACTGAGGGCCATCCCCCCCCAATACTGAGGGCCATCCCCCCCAATACTGAGGGCCACTCCCCCCCAATACTGAGGGCCATCCCCCCCCCAATACTGAGGGCCATCCCCCCCCCAATACTGAGGGCCATCCCCCCAATACTGAGGGCAATACTCCCCTCATCCCCCCCATACTGAGGGCCACCCCCCCCCCAATACTGAGGGCCATCCCCCCAATACTGAGGGCCATCCCCCCCAATACTGAGGGCCATCCCCCCCAATACTGAGGGCCATCCCCCCCCCAATACTGAGGGTCATCCCCCCCCCCAATACTGAGGGCCATCCCCCCCCCCAATACTGAGGGCCATCCCCCCCCCCAATACTGAGGGCCATCCCCCCCCCCCAATACTGAGGGCCATCCCCCCCCAATACTGAGGGCCACCCCCCCCAATACTGAGGGCCATCCCCCCCCCCAATACTGAGGGCCATCCCCCCCAATACTGAGGCCATCCCCCCCCAATACTGAGGGCCATCCCCCCAATACTGAGGCCACCCCCCCCCCCCAATACTGAGGGCCATCCCCCCCAATACTGAGGGCCATCCCCCCCAATACTGAGGGCCATCCCCCCCCCAATACTGAGGCCATCCCCCCCCAATACTGAGGCCATCCCCCCCCAATACTGAGGCCATCCCCCCCCAATACTGAGGCCATCCCCCCCCAATACTGAGGGCCATCCCCCCCCCAATACTGAGGGCCATCCCCCCCCAATACTGAGGGCCATCCCCCCAATACTGAGGGCCATCCCCCCCCAATACTGAGGGCCATCCCCCCCCAATACTGAGGGCCATCCCCCCAATACTGAGGGCCATCCCCCCCCAATACTGAGGGCCATCCCCCCCCAATACTGAGGGCCATCCCCCCCAATACTGAGGGCCACTCCCCCCCCAATACTGAGGGCCATCCCCCCCCCAATACTGAGGGCCACCCCCCCCAATACTGAGGGCCATCCCCCCCCAATACTGAGGGCAATACTCCCCTCATCCCCCCCATACTGAGGGCCACCCCCCCCAATACTGAGGGCCATCCCCCCCAATACTGAGGGCCACCCCCCCCCAATACTGAGGGCCATCCCCCCCCAATACTGAGGGCCATCCCCCCCAATACTGAGGGCCATCCCTCCCCAATACTGAGGGCCATCCCCCCCCAATACTGAGGGCCATCCCCCCCAATACTGAGGGCCACTCCCCCCCAATACTGAGGGCCATCCCCCCCCCAATACTGAGGGCCATCCCCCCCCAATACTGAGGGCCATCCCCCCAATACTGAGGGCAATACTCCCTCATCCCCCCCATACTGAGGGCCACCCCCCCCCCAATACTGAGGGCCATCCCCCCCAATACTGAGGGCCATCCCCCCCCAATACTGAGGGCCATCCCCCCAATACTGAGGGCCATCCCCCCCCCCCAATACTGAGGGTCATCCCCCCCCCCCAATACTGAGGGCCATCCCCCCCCCCAATACTGAGGGCCATCCCCCCCCCCAATACTGAGGGCCATCCCCCCCCCCCAATACTGAGGGCCATCCCCCCCCAATACTGAGGGCCACCCCCCCCAATACTGAGGGCCATCCCCCCCCAATACTGAGGGCCATCCCCCCCCCAATACTGAGGGCCATCCCCCCAATACTGAGGGCCATCCCCCCCAATACTGAGGGCCATCCCCCCCAATACTGAGGGCCATCCCCCCCCAATACTGTGGCATACCCTCTTCACCCCCCTCTAATACTGAGGGCAATACCCCCCCCCCCCAATACTGAGGCAATCCCCCCCCCAATACTGTGGGCAATCCCCTCCCCCCACCAATACTGAGGGCAATCCCCCTCCCCCCACCAATACTGAGGGCAATTCCCCCCCGCCCCCAATACTGAGAGCAATCCCCGCACCCCCCCCCCCCAATACTGAGGGCAATCCCCCTCCCGCCCCCCCCCCAATACTGAGGGCAATCCGCCTCCCGCCCCCCCCAATACTGAGGGCAATCCCCCTCCCCCCCCCCAATACTGAGGGCAATACCCCTCCCTCCCCCAATACTGAGGGCAATACCCCTCCCTCCCCCAATACTGAGGGCAATACCCCTCCCCCCCAATACTGAGGGCAATACCCCTCCCCCCCAATACTGAGGGCAATACTCCCCCCCCCCCCCCCCCTCCCAATACTGAGGGCAGTACTCCCGCCCCCCCCCCCGCCCCCCATACTGAGAGCAATACTCCCTCCCACCTCCCACCCTAAATACGAAGGATTGAGAATATACCCCCCTGTGACACTGAGGGTGATACGCTCCCTGGCACTGGGGGTTGATACTCTTTCTCCCCCTCACCCCCAGGACTGTTTCCCTCAACACCCCCCCCCCCCGCCCCTGCCGCCATAGGTGATGAGACTGGAGAGAGCAACAGGATTGAACCCCGTGAGGGACAACTGGATAAATTTGAGCGCTTCAGTTTTGACGAGAGATGTTTGGGAAACAACCTCCTGGAGGTGTGATAGATACTGAACAGGACTGAGAACAAGACTCTCAGATGTGTCAAGAGGATTCAGGCTCTGAGGGTGGGGGGCAATTTCAGGACAGACACACTTTCTTTCTCAGAGGAGTACATAACTGCCACAGTTCAGCAGGGAAGGTGATTGAGGCCAGGACACTGGGAGTCATTTGAGAAACAGCTTCACCCTGTGAAGGGAGGATGGTTGGTGGGGATTCTGGACAGATCAGAATAATCTCTTGATGCAACACTGTGGGGTGTGGGGGTGGGTGGTGGTGGTGGTGGTGGGAAGAACTGATATTCCAGTTTACAAGGTGGGTGGTAATGTTTGGGTTTGGGGTTGCAGATCCGTGGCGGACGGAGTAAGGCGCTGCACGACAAGGCGCTGGTGAACTGCCAGTACAGCATGGCCACCTTCAGCACTGGCGAGCGCAAGAGACGGCCACATGGAGACCGCAAATCAACCGAGATGACTCTGCACCTCAAGCAAACCTTCGAGGCTGCCATCATGACCCAGCTGTACCCTCGCTCTCAGATTGACATCTACGTACAGGTATTGAGCCCTATCCTGTCCTCCTTCCCTCTCTTCCTGGCGCTATTTGAAAGAGAGGAGTTTCTCCTGGTGCCCTGGCTGACAATCCTCCTGTCCTGCAAGGTGATAATCCTGGCATTTGACGTAACATTTCCCACCAAGAAGATGCATCAAAATACTTTACGGGATTTACTGGAAATATAATGACTGTCTATTTACAGGCGAATGTGGCAGCCAATTTGTGCACAGCAATGTCGCACAAACAGCCGTAAAATGAGGGATTGTTGGCCAAAACACTGGGAAAAACTCACTTCTCTTTTTGAATAGTGCCACGGGATCTTTAACATCCACCTGAACAGGTGCAGATGGGATCTCAGGTGAACGCATAATCTGAAGGACAGCACCTCTTGCAATGCAGTGCTCCTCCCCTGCATTGTAATAATGATAATAATAAATAATCCTGGCATTTGATACAATGCTTCATCACGTCTTTGAGATGTCTCTAAACTCTTTACAGAATATGCTGTTAACTGTGTTTTTGTGGGCGAAAATATTTTTGTATATCACAGAGCCTTAAAGTGACCTTAAAGTCATGGGACTTGAATTCACAGCCTCCTGACTCAAAGGCAAGAGTGAGTCTCTGAGCCTGCCTGACGTTCTCAGCTTGTATAACTCCAGCCCTGGGCACCTTGTCTCTTCCCCGACAGATTCTGCAAGCGGACGGTGGTAACTATTGCGCCTGTGTCAACGCAGCTACGCTGGCGGTGATCAACGCAGGGATTCCCATGAAGGACTACGTGTGTGCCTGCTCCACAGGCTTCATTGAAGACAGTCCCCTGGTGGACCTGAGCTACATTGAGGAGTCTACGGGGGGGCCTCAGGTGGCCCTCGCCTTGCTCCCCAAGTCCGAGCAGATTGCGCTGCTGGAGATGAATGGCCGGCTGCATGAGGACCACATGGAGCGGGTGGTGGACGCGGCGACCAAGGGCTGCCGGGATGTGTACGCCGTGCTGGACCGCATCGTGCGAGAGCACATGGAGGAGGTCTCGCCAACCACCTTAGTGGGCGAGTAAGGCTCTGAGGGGCTGTAAGGGTGAGCGAGTAATAGTGAGGCTGGAAATAATATAAACCTTGCATTCGGTATAGCGCCTTATCACGTTGTTGAGACGTCTCAAAGCACTTCACAGAATATACTGTAAAGTGTAGTGACTGTGTATTTGGTGGAGAAACACAGCAGCTGATTCCGTGCAGCAGTATCCCACAAACAGTCGTGGATTGAGGTTTTTGAGTTTCTTAGGATATTCTTAAGAAGTGAGCCAAGGTGCCATCTGTCGTGAAGGGCACTGTATAAATGCTTGTTGTTGTAAGAGCTTCTCTCTCGTGTTCACTTCCACAACTCCCCCACCGGAATGTCTGGCCACCCAGCCAACGCTCTGCCCCTGACAAAGCTTCATCCTTCATGTGACAGACAGAATAATCTGAGAATGGTTGACCCGGACACAGGACAAGACAGGACAAGCTCATCCTTTCCCGCTCTCTGTGTACAATAACCTGGAAAGAGTGCATTTAATGGGAGTTTCTGTCCTGTTGGATGTATCGGTGGGACAGGAGATGGACCCTGTTTATACTGTTTATTGTCTGTAAACCTGAAAATAAAGTTTTTAATGTTTTTATTACTTCCGGTAAACCTAATTTCTTCAGCGCCCTGCTTGCAGGCTTTCCACCTCCATCCTCCAGAACTTGTCTTCCTCCCCTTCTCTCTCCTCCCCCACCCCCACACCCCAGTGCTCACCTAGATCAACTGGCTCTGAGGTTAGGAGTGTTGGAATCGAGTCCATCCTCTGTAGTGGTCTCTCGTCCAGTTCCTGAGGTAGGCGGGTCTGCTGTACCTGCAGACTTTTAACATCCACCTGAACAGTAACCGGGTCTTCGATTCGATGTCTCATCTAAAGGACACACTTCCAACAATGCATCACTTTTCCAGCAATGCATTTGAATGTCAACCTACACTGAGTTCAAATCCCTGACGTGGGGTTTGAACCCACGACCTTCTGACTTAAACAACAAGATTACATTTGTGTAGCGCCTTTCATGTCGGGAGGACGTCCCAAGGCGCTGGACAGTGTACAGCATTTCAGACCGAGCTGGAGTCAGGGAGGGAGAAGTGAGGGGAGGGGAAAGGGGTGGCTGATGGCATGGTCGAAGAGGAGGGTCTTGAGGTGGGACTTGAAGGAGGCTAAGGAGGGGGCGAGGCAGAGTGATTGGGGGATGGAATTCCAGAGGTTGGGGGCAGAGTGGCTGAAGGCTCTTCCACCAATGGTGGGGGCGGGTGGGTCGGGTGACGTGGAGCAAGACGGAGCCGGCTGAGCGGAGGGAGCGGGCGGGTTGGTAGGGGGTTAGGAGGTCGCAGAGGCAGGGTGGGGCGAGGCCTCGGAGGGCTTTGTAGGTGAGGACCAGGACCTTGAACTGGATGTTACAGAGGTGAGGGAAGGCAGAGCGGGTCATGGCTTGGATGCGGGGAAGAAAAGACAGTTGAGGGTCGAACAAGACCCGAGAGTGCTGCCGTCTGAGCCAGGCTGGAACGACTTGGTTTTGGATATCCTAAAACATTGTCAGAAGTTTTCGCGTCACTTGGGCTCTGATCAAAAAAAAAAGCCGATGAAAAAAAAAAATATGACCTGAACTAAACATCATAATTGCGTTCGGTATTTCAACAGCGCTGATCCAATGACGCCATTGAGACAGACGACAGATTATAATTCACATTTATATCGTGCCTTCCACACCGGGGGGACGTCTCAAATGGCTCACGGCGCTGGATGGGCGCCTGAGCGGGGGGAGTGGGAGTCGAGGGGGGTGGTGCGGAGGTGTAAGACGACGGCGGAACGCGGGGTCGAAGAGGAAGGTCCTGAGACGTGCCCTGAGGAGACGGGAGGGAGCGAGTGAGCCGAAGGGACTTCGGGATGGAGTTCCGGAGAGTGGGGCGGGAATGGGTGGTGGGGGGGTGGGGGTGGGGGGCAGAATGGCTGAAAACTGCTGACGGTGGGACGGACAATAATAATAATAATAATCCTTGCATTTGATATAGCGCTTTTCACGTCGGGAGGACGTCCCAAAGCCCTTCACAGAACACACTGTAAAGTGAATTGACTGTATATTTGTGGGCGAACGCGGCAGCCAATTGCGCACAGCAATGTCCCACAAAACAGTCGTGGAATGAAAATGACCAATTTATTATTGTTTTGGGGGTTTTGGAGGGATTATTATTAGGCTCTGTGTGGAGTAAGGAAACTTGCCCAAGGTTTCGCCCTCTGCCTGGAATTGAACTCAGGTCTCTCACTTGCAAAGCGAGTGCTCTAACCACTGAGCCACAGGACGGGAGGCGTGAAGCCGGTTGGGTCAAAGGGGACCGGCGACGTAGGTGGGGTTGAAGGTCACAGGGGGTCGCGGGGTTGAGCCCGCGGAGGGATCTTGAAGTCGACCCCACTGAGAGGGGACGGAGAGCCGATGGAGCCGAGCGAGGATGGGGGCGACGGGCTGGCGGGGCGGGAGGGGGACCCCACGAGCGGCGGCGGCGGCGGCGGCGGCCCCGGCCTGGAGCACGCAGTCGATCTACTTCGCGGTACGTTCCGCGGAAGCGCTTTGAGACGCCTGGAGGCGCTGCGGCCGAACGCCACGACCCTGACGCTGCGGCTGTGGGGCTGAGTGAGAGCCGCCGGCAGTTCCCCTGGCGACCGCCGGGCGGCGCTGTGACCGGTTCCACTCGCTCCGGCGTGAGGGAGGGAGGGGGCGGGAGGGAGAGCCGCTGGTGGCGGTCCGTCAACTTTGTCTTCCCCCTCCGGGGCGGGCGCCGAGCGGAGGTTCCGGAGGCGGCAACGACAGGAGCAGGTGAGGGGCAGAGAGAGAGAGAGGGGGAGGGGGAGGGGGGGAGGGGAGCCAGGCCCCACCCTCTCTCCCCACACCCCCACCCCCACCCCCTTGTGTGGGGCGGTGTCCCTGGTGGGGGGTGGGGGGGTGTTTTAAAAAGGAACAGCGCACCGATGCCCTCGAACCGTGACGGGTTTGGGGCAATGTTGTTGTCGTGGTGGTGGTGGCGGCGGTGGTGGTGGTGGTTGTTGTTGTTGTTAAAGGCTAATTTGCCGGTGGGCAGTTTCTCTCTGTGTACCTCCTCTCTCTCTCTCTCTCTCGCTCCCTCTCTCCCGGGTGTCCTGGGCCGACGGGCCTCCGGCTTCCCGGTCCGGGCGCCGACCGTACCTGCGGCGCTTGGCTCTGGTACCACGGCCGCCGCTTTCTTGTCGCTCCGAGCGACCGTTGTCCGTCCGGTTTGTTCTGCTAAAAGTGCGATCCGTCGTGGCTCGGTTCCTGTGGGGCGACTCCCAAGTCTCGGAGGCCTCCTCCACCTAAACTCTCTCTCTCTCTCTCTCTCTCTCTCCCTCCCCCCCCCCCCCCGGGATTCTTCCCACTCAGCTCCAGTTAGCCCCGCGAGCCGACGTCCTGACAGACAGGGTGGTCCTGGCTGGACAGGCGGCGGGAAAGCTCGCCAGACAGCGATATTAACGGCAAGCTACTGCGGTTTTACCTGGTTTGACTCCAGCAGAACCCCCCCCCCCCCCCCCCAACAACAACAACAAGATTCCATTTCCCCACTCCCCCACCATGTGCGGGTGGCACGCATACGTGAACTCTGTATGGTTTGAACTCTGCTCGAATTCAAGATCCTCGTCCTCGCCTACAAGGCCATTCACGGCCTCGCTCCCTCCTACCTCTCCGACCTACTATCCCCCGACCTACCTGCCCGTACCCTCCGTTCCTCTGGCTCCGGTCTGCTCCACATCCCCCGCCCCAACCGCCCTACCATCGGTGGCCTTCAGCCTCTCAGCCCCGAGGCTCTGGAACTCTATCCCCAGTGCCTTCGCCGCTTCCTCCCTTTCCTCCTTCAAGGCCGATCTCAAGACCTTTCTCTTTGACCGTGCCTTCAGCTCCCCTCTCGACTCTCTACCCCCTCCTCGCTCCCTCCCTTCCCTCCCCTCACCCTGACCATTTCCCCCCAATGCTCGGGTCCCGACCCAACTGTACAGCTCCTTGGGACGTCCTCCCGACGTGAAAGGCGCTGTATAAATGAAATCTTGTTGCTGTTGTTTGGATACTCGTAAGGACGGTGATGGTTTTCAGCATGTTTCAGACTCCCGGCTGAAGACGGGGTCTCTCGCTTGCAAGGCGAGCGCGCTAACCTCTACACCACGGGACTCCACGCTCTCCAATTTAGATTTCATTCGGTCATGGCTTCCCAGGCTGGTGTGTGTTATGCGTGTGGGTGTGTGCGTTGGGTGGGGTGGGGAATGGAAAGCTGGGGTTGAGTTGAAAGTTTTACCTGAACCTATTCCCGAATCCGGGCAGCCTGCCTGACCGCCCTGTTTCCTGTTGGTGTTTAAGGGCGCTCCCTCTCTCCCGTCGGGAATCACTGCCGGCGATCACAGGAGCCATGGGGCTGCTCTCCGACCCCAGCCGCAGGGAGGTGCTGACCCGTCTGATCACCAGGATGAACACGCCACTGTGGTGAGTGCGGAGCAGAGTGACCTTTCACCTCAGCTCCTCTTTACACCACGTTACACCACTCACTGTACTGACGGTCTGTACATCATTCACTGACGGTCTGTTCGTCACTCACTACTATAGAGACAAGGCCCATCTCAAGACCCTCCTCTTCGACCATCACCCTCGTACCTCTACCCTCCCTGCCCCTCCATCCCTCCTGATCCCATCCCCCAAGGATCCAAATCCTTGACGTCCTCCCGATGTGAAAGGCGCCGTGTAAATGTAACTTGTGGTTGTTGTACTGACAGTCAGTCCATCACTGCACGGACAATCAGAAACCCACTCACTGACAGTTTTTACCCCATTCACTGTGACACTGGGGGAGGGTGATGCTGCATGTGAGCGACAGGTGGGCGATGTGAAGAACCTAACGTGTGCTGTCGTGCCCACAGTGTGGTGTGTTACGTGGCTGGCATCCTGTGGTTTGTCGGGCTGGCCTTCGAACCACTGATCCTGCGGATGTACATCTCGGAGAATGCCATGGGCTCCACCATGGTGCACGAGAACTTTGTGTACGGGGAGCGCGCGCTCTCATACGCACGGGAATTCTCTGGGCATCGGAAAAAGATGGGGTAAGATCTTGGCTCCTATTCCTAGGGTTTGGGAAGGGGCTGGTGCGGTGTGACTGATACTCACCGGTTATACCAGCAGCCAATGTACATCCAACCATTGTACAGGGTGTTCACAAAGTCCTGTTACCACCCTCCACCCCACAATGTTTTTTTCCTACAGCACTGACCAACAACCGAAACATGTGCAAGAAACATGATGGTCATTGTATTCAGAAGTATTTAATTGTATTCAGTAAAGTACAAGTCTTTCCAACGTGAAGGGTGCTTTACAAGTGTAATTTGTTATTGTTGTTTAACTGTATTCAGATGTCCAGAGGATTGGTCTTTTTTTGGGGGTGGGGCGGGGGCTCACCCGGGCATCTGACGCATGCGGAAACCCACCGTGCTTAAGAGTATCCAAACCAAACTGAGAATTCCACGTCTCTGACCTACATGGAAATTCCAGAGATAGATTGTTATTATTATTAGATATTATTATTAGATATTATTATTAGTAATTATTAGATAGATTTTTGCAATGGAATGTGCTCTCTCTCCCTAGAGGGAGGCATCCTGCTTACCTAATTCCAGAAAGTATTAGGCACAGGTTGGCAAGACCCAAGGCTTGGGGACCCCAGATAAACCCCAGAAATCTACCAGCTAAACCCGCATAGCTTGCCATTGATGTCACTGTCTGCCAAGCTTTCCCTCTGCTTGTCCAGTTTGGACTACCCTACCCTTTAGGGTTTGGGCTTGCACGGTTAACAAGAGCTGAGTGGGATGACTCCCTGACCCCATTGAATGGTCTGCCCTTCCAGGTCCTGCCAATCAGCCAGCCTGGCTGTGCTGCCATCAGCAGTACCCTGGAATACTGTGGACCTGCCTCGCTCAGTGTAAACGGCATCAGTTTCATGGCAGGTAATGATTCGTTGCAATGTTCGGGTGCAACGTCTTCCTTACCATGGATGGAGTGAAGAGGAAGTTACTGACGGCAGACATTGTTACACTCAACTCATATGCAACAGAAAATAAAAATTCATTGTAAAAAAACACACACATACTGGTTAACAAGACTTTGTGGACACCCTGTAGAGGTAACAAGAGTATGTGTGGCTGGTGTACATGTAGCCAATGTACAGGTATACTGTACCCTGGACTGAGACTGCAGTAGCTCTTGATGGTTGCCTGTTGCTCTCCCTATCTCTCTTTCTCCAGGGGGATGCCTGTGGACTGGATGCTGAAGACTCTGCATGGTCTGGGGCTCGAGGCTCACAGTCAGACCTTCAGCCGCACTTTGCCTTTCCCCGATGAGCTCCGCGAGAGATACGTGAGTACTGACAGCTGAACTCGCTGCCAAGGGAGAGAGCGAGATTACATAGAATTTACAGCACGGAAACAGGCGACGCAGCCCGACTGCAGTCCCATAGCGTAGTGGTTAGCGTGAGGACCGAGGTTCAATTCCCTGTGGGGCGAAACCTTAGGCAACAGTGAGGAAGTGGAGGGGGTCGAAAGTTGACCGAAGGCATGATCACATAGCTTGGTGTTTTTGGGAGGGGATGTGAATGTGAAGAGATGCCGAGAGGTCGAGGGGATTGCAGTGGCTGGCTCACACACTGGCTGATAATGTGCCCTGTCTGACCATGTGTGTGTTGGGTGTGTGTATGTGTGTGTGTCTTGTGTGTGTGTGTGTCGCTGTGTCTCTGAGAGCAGATGGTGAAGGGGACCAACGTGTTCGGGATCTTGCGAGCTCCCAGAGCAGCCAGCACTGAATCCATCGTCCTCAGTACCTCCCACAGGAACACCCAGGCCACCGGCCTCCTCCTCACACTCGCCTCCTACTTCCGAGGTCAGTCACGTGGAGATCGTGGGGCTCATAGGAGTGGGGTTTATTGGGTAGGTGTGAGGTGAGGGGCGGGGTTTGGGTGGGGTTTATGGGGCACGTGTGAGTGCGGAGTTTGGTGGGTGTATGGACCTGGCGTGTGATGGTGTAAAGGAGAGATGGATCAGTAGGAGGAGCAGGTTTGTGGGTGGGGTTTATGCGGGAGGGTGAGGGGCTGTGCTTGTGATGGGGTTTGGGTGGGAGTGACATCCTTCTTGTCTGACAGGTCACATTCACTGGGCCAAAGATATCATCTTCCTGTTTAATGAGCACGACATGCTGGGGATGGAGGCCTGGCTGGAGGCTTATCATGACGTCAATCTGACCGGTGAGGAAACAGTACTGACCCTGACCAGAGGCTTGTCCGTGACCCCCACCCAGAGCCTGATCGCAAAACTGACTCCGACCCTAGCCACTCATTTCTGACAACCCCCTGTTAATCTCCTATCACACTCTCACTGTTACTGAAGGAGACAAAGACCTAACGTATAACGTTGACCTGCAAAAGGTGTCTTTATAGTCAACTGTAGTGATTAGTTTTAAGCAAACAGAGCAGCCATTTTCCGCACAGCAAAGTGAGCGAGTGATTCATCTGTAGAATTGTTGGCCAAGACACCAGGTGAAACTCCCTTCACCTTTTGAATAGCCCCATGGGTTCTTTTAACGTTCACCTGAACAGGCAGACGGCATCTCAGCTTAATGTCTCGCCTGAAGGATGGTAACTCTGACAACAACAAGAAGAAGATTGCATTTATACAGTGTCTTTCACGTCAAGAGGAATGTCCCAAGGTGCTGGACAATGAGGTGTTTGCTCCCGAGCTGCGGCTTGGGATCAGAGTGGGGTGGAGGGCAAGAGGGGGGTGGACAATGGAGTGGGTCAGCTTATACTGTGAGCTCAGAGTCCTGCAACTCAATAACATCAAATTACATGTGTACATCGCCTTTCACTTTGGGAGGACGTCCCAAGATGCCGGACAGACAGGGATTTGTACCCAAGCTGTGGGTTGGGGTCAGGAGGAGTGGAGAGACTCAACCACACCATCTGCTGCTCTGTACAGACCAACTTCCCTGACTCTGCGCACCGTTCCCCCCATTCATACGTTCCCCCACCCTCCCTGGCCCTGTGCCTGACTGCCTCGCTTTCTGTTTGTAGGTATGGCCTCCTCGGTGCTGCAGGGCAGAGCTGGGTCCATCCAGGCTGCCGTGGTCCTGGAGTTGAACAGCGACGTGATCACCAGTTTCGATGTGGCGGTGGAGGGGCTGAATGGGCAGCTGCCCAACCTGGACCTGGTCAATCTCTTCATCTCCTTCTGTCACAAGAATGCAGTGCTGTGCACCATCCAGGGCAAGGTGTGTGCCTGGGGGAGGGGAGGAGGGGCAGGTGTACGCCCGGTAGTGATTATCTATAATAATGATCCTTGCATTTGATATAGCACCTTATCACGTCATTGAGACGTCTCAAAGCACTTCTCAGAATATATACACACAGTCAATTCACTTTACAGTATATCCTGGGAAGCGCTTTGAGACATCTCAACGACATGGTAAGGCGCTATATCAAATGCAAGGATTATTATTATTGTAAAATGAATTCACTGTGTATTTTGTGGGTGAGATACAGCAGCTAATTGCCCACAGCAGTGTCCTGTAAACAGTCGTGGATTGAGTGACCAAATTTTTTTTGAAGGGTTTATTACCCCCTGGAAAGCGATCCACCAGATTAGGAGGTGAATGGGGAGTGACTTGTCTGTGTTAATGTAACAGATTGGCTAGGCCGAGTGCCCTGTAGAAATTTCAGACCTGGGTGAGAAGACGTCCCTTCCTTATCTTCCTTATCAGTGCCTTGGATGTCCTCCCAACGTGAAGGCGCTATACAAATGTATTTTTGTTGTCGTCGTTGTTATTCCCCCTCTATCTAGTCTCCTCTCTCCTCCACCCTCCACTCCCAACTCTTCACTCCTCTTTCAGTCCTCTCCCGCAGCAAGCTCCGTGACCCTATCACCCCATCTTTGTCCGGCTCCAGTGGTTCCCCATTCCCCAGAGGATAGAGTTGAAAATCCTCAACCTCGCTTTCAAAGCCCTCCCCGCCTTGCTCCTCCTTATCTCTGTGACCTGCCAACCCCATACCAGCCTGTCCGCTCCCTCCGCTAGGTGGACTCTGGCCTGCTCCATGTCCCCCGTCCGGCCCACCCCACCATCACCGGTTTGGCCTTCAGCCTCTCTGCCCCCGCCCTCTGGAATCCGTCCCACATTCCTTTCGCCTCGCCCCTTCCCTCCTTCAAGGTCCGTCTCCTACCCCCACCCTCTCCGCCCTCCACCCCTGCTGATCCCAACCCTGTGCGCGGATCCAAATCCCTGGCTGTCCAGCGCCTTGAAATGTCCTCTAGACTTGAAAGGCGCTTCACAAACGTAATTTGTTGTTGTTGTTGTTGCCCAGCTGCCGCGCAGTGATGGGGAGACGTTGCCGGGCTATGTCCACGCTCTGCAGACCATGCTGCTGATGGTGCTGAAGCAGGGCTCGGGCAAGGCCTCGGGGGAGCACGGGCTCTTTCTGCGCTACCATGTGGAGGCCATCACCATCCGCGGCATCAACAGCTTCCGGCAGTACAAGTACGACATGGTGACTGTCGGCAAGTAAGTCTCCGGCTGTCCATGGGGGGAGGAGGGGTTGGAGACAGAGCCTGGTGGGGTGGCAGTGAGGGAGATGGAGTTTGTGGCTGAGCTCTGGGAGGAGGGGAGGGCGGAATGAGTGCAGCAAAGGTGCAATTCTGGGGCCTCATTGACAGAAAGGATGGCAGAGCCTTGGAGAGGCTACAGCGTAGGTTCACGTGAATTATATTGGGGAAAAGGAATTGCGATAAATCTAGTTTCAGTACAGGAATGAGCACCAGCACAGACACGATGGGAGAGAGCAGGGAATTGGATTAGAGAGCTCCAGTGGGGAAGCGAGCACCAGCATCGACACGATGGGGTGAGTGGTCCGTGATCTGTGTATCAGTTTAGTGTATATTCTCCTCTGCGGGGCTAGAGAGCAAGGGCTCAGCAGTTACCCAGCGCTGCTGTTGATGCTGTGTCTCCTCCTCTCTAGGGTATTCGAGGGAATCGTCAGGAAACTCAACAACCTCCTGGAGAGGCTGCACCAGTCCTACTTTTTCTACCTGCTCCCCTCGCTTTCTCGCTTCGTCTCCATCGGCTACTACATGCCGGCCTTCGTCCTCCTCATCTCCATCCCCATCCTCAAGATATCCTTTATTATTGGCTGCTTCTGTGTACTCCATACAAACACGTACATGGAGTCCTGTAGCTCAATGGTTAGCGCGCTCGCCTCAAGCAAGAGGACCTGGGTTCAATTCCCAGGCAGGGTGAAACGTTAAGACAAGTTTCCTTCCTTCACACGTCTCTGTTTACCTAGCAGTAAGTAGGAACCCTGTTAGTCGATTGGCGGATCACTTTCTGGGGTTAATAATTCGCTCCCTTTGCTCATTGGTGTCACGGTCACCCCTTTCGTTTTCTATGCTGTTGTTTAACTATATTGAATAGCGCTTTAAATACAGTTTTGGGGGTATTTAAAAGTTTTTGTAAAGCCGTCAATGCCCATAAAAGAACGAGCGCCATGTGCTCGGGGTCGCTATTTTGCTACCTGATGACAACAAAGGAATGTGCTCTGACTATTGATGAGTAGTAGTCAGAGGTTGGTTTTTCGTGCACTTTACATTAACTTCTCACATGTGGCTGCTAGAGTGTGATTAACGTTTGTTATCTCATAGTTGTGTTTGTTGTTATTTATCGTGTTGTTTAAGCTTTAATACTTAACGAGGGTTGTGGATTTCAGAGAAGTTACAATAAAATTCCGTTGAGCTAACTTAACCGTGCTTAACTCAAGCTTTCTGTGTAAATCAAAGGAGGAGGGAACACACAAACAGGTTCAGGGTAGGTCACAAAGGTGTAGAATAAACCTCTGATTGACTGAAGCTTCCCAATTTGCTTTAATTTAAATAGCAATTAGTAGTACCTGTCATTGTGGAAGAACTTATTAGTTAAGTTACACCTAGTTAGAGTGAGGATCGAACACAGAGGCCACCCAGTACACTGCAAGGGAGAGTGAGCTATATCGTGGGTATACATATAAGGATGGGGAGAAGCATCTCAACGGACACCATTCTGCTTCATGTCCCCCAGACTAAAGCACCACACCATCGCTGGGTGGGTTTTCAGCCTATCTGCCCCCACCCTGAAACTCCATCATGAAGTCCCTTCGACTCGCCTCCTTCCTCATGGTCCTTCTTTGACGTACCCTTAATCACCTTTCCCCTCCCCCTCTATTCCCATCCCCTCTCTACCCACCCCCTAGCTTGGGGACCAAGCCAGGTTTGTCAAGTACTTTGGGATGCGCTCCTAACATAAAAGGCACTGTATAAAAGTAAATTTGTATTGTATCCTGTGAAACACTTTGAGCTTTATCTGCCTTAAATCGACTGCTACGCACTGGATCTGTGGATTAAACTATCCAAACCAGAAGGGAACCAACAGACAACTCATACAGAGCGGGTACGTAGGACAGGACAGGACAAGGGGTGATTTATCCAGTTCCCTTTTAAAGTTCAATATGGATTCTGCCTCAACCGCTGCTCCTGGCAGGACATTCCATATCCTAACTACTTTCTTCCCACTTCACTACCCACGGCCTCCGCTCAGCTGGCTCTGGCCTCCTGCTTATCCCTCTTCCCCTCGGCTCCACCATCGACGGCCGCGCTTTCAGCCACTACACCCCGAAGCTTTGGAACTCCATCCCTCAATCCCTCCGTGACCGTGCTTACAGTCAGCTCATCCCTCCCTCCCCCCAGCTTGGCATCAGGCTCCGCCACTGTTAAATGCTCCGAGATGCTGCCCAGCGAGAAGGGTGCTATATAAATGCCAGTTGTTGTTGCTGTTGTTCTACATGAAACAAATCCTTCAAACCTCCCTGTTTGCTTGTTTATTAACAATCTTAAATTGACGCTGTCCAGTCACTGACCTATTTTCCTGCCCCCACTCCACACACTCATTCCTCACTCCTGCTATTGGTGACATGAGCTTCAGCCATTGTGTTCCTGCTCTCAAGAACTCCCTGCTGTAATTCCCCCTTGCCTTACATCTCCGCTCTCTGATGTCAAAACCCTCTTAAAAACCTCTCATTAATTGTATCTTTGGTCAACAATACCCTCAAACTCCCCCTCCTCTCCTCTGCTCCCCATTGCCTTCGTGAAGCATTTAGAAATGACAAAACACGGTGTGTAAGTTGTGAAGAGCTTAGGGATGTCCGTGCTGTGTGTGTAAATCACAGCATCTCACACTGACAAATCCCTGACTGACCAGCGCCCTAGGACCTAATGCTGACGTGAAAGGCTCTATACAAATGTAATTTGTTGTTGTTTTTAAGTGTGAGTTGTGAAGCCCTTTGAAACGTCCATACTGTGTGAGAGAGACGCTGTGTATGTGTGAGTGCTGACTCTCAGTGCTGACTCTCTCCAGGATGTGAGCCTCCTGACCATCCTGACGCCGGTGATGATCTGCCACGCCACGGGGCTGGCCCTCTACTTCCTGCCCGTGTTCGGGCGCAAGGACGCCGCAGAGCACTTCCCCGTCTCGGAGACCGAAGCCGTCGTTCTCAGCTCCATCGCCATCTACGTGGCTGGGCTCGCTCTCCCACACAACACACACAGGTACAGCTCTCCTCCCCCACTGCACTGTTAGCTCATAAGAACATAAGGATTTGCTGGACAAAAGTAGACCGAGGTCCATCCAATTCATCTATCACCATCTTGGCAGTCGCTTGCACATGTCATGTCCCAGACTATATGCTGTGTCCCACGATATTTATTTCCTAAAATAAATCTAATTTGCTGTTGAAAGACTCAACACTTTCTGCTTCCACCGTCTTCCTAGGGTGACAGTTTCCATACAATGTACCGCTCGCTCACTGAAGTAGTGTTTCCGCAGATTTGTTTCGAATTTAGCCCCTCAAAAGTCCCCAACATGCAGCTTGACCCCATATCCTCCTGACCCAGAAGAGAGAATGCGAGCGGTTGAACTAGGCTCGGGGTCATGCCCCGTCACTGTCAAGCGCTCTGGGACGCTACCCTGGTGACAGACTCTGCATAAATGCAAGTTGTTGTTGACTGGCATTTGCACCGAACATTAGGATTGTTGTTTTGTATTGAAGGGAAAGATGTATCATGGTGGTCTCTCTCTCTCTTGCCGTCTGCAGGGTCCTCCTCTCCGAGGTGACGGAGCGCGGCTGGATGACATTGAAGCTGATCACTCTCCTGTACCTGGCTCTGCTCCTAGGCTGCATCGCCCTCATCAACTTCTCCCTGGGCTTCATCCTGGCAGTCACCCTGACCCCGGCAGCTGCCGTCGCCCAGCCCGGCCACCTCAAGTAAGTCATCCCAAGCCTCACAAAACAGCCTGAGACATCAGGAGAGTAGTAGAGAGCTCCAGTGGGGGAGCGAGCACCAGCACAGACACGATGGGAAGAGAGCAGGGAATGGGATTAGAGTAGAGAGCTCCAGTGGGGGGGTGAGCAGCAGCACAACAACAACAAATTTCACTTGTATTGCGCTCTTCATGTCAGAAAGACGTCCCAGGGCGCTTGACAATCTGGGACCCGAGTTGGGGTCAGGACGGGTGGGGGGTGGGAAGGTGGCCGAAGATTTGGTCGAAGAGGAAGGTCTTTAGACGGGTCTTAAAAGGATGCAAGAGAAGGGGTGAGATGGAAGGATTGCGGGATAGATGTGGAGGCAGAGAGGCTGAATGCCCGACCGCCAATGCTGGGGCGGGAAGTGCGGGACACAATGGGGAAACAGAGCAGGGAATAGGATTAGAGTAAAGAGCTCCAGTGGGGGAGCGAGCACCAGCACAGACACGATGAGGAGAGAGAACAGGGAATAGGGATTAAGAGCTCCAGTGCTATCTCTCTGGGTTGTGTGGTGATGCTCTGTGTGATCTCTCTAGGACGTTCCGAGCCCTGTTGCTGCTCCTGGTGTCCCCAGCCACAGTGCTGCTGATGTGCCTGTATCTGTACCATGAGCTGAGTGAGGTGCCCCTTACGGTGCTCGAGTGCTGGCAGCTGTTCCTGCAGGCCATCGCTGAGGCCATCCTCGACCATCACCTGTACGGCTGCATTGTCTACCCCTTCCTCATCCTCTTCATCTACCCCTGCTGGCTACTCCTCTGGAACGTGGTCTTCTGGATGTGAGGCCCTCATCTCCCTCCATCTTCCTTCTCTCAACCTCCATCTCCCTGCTCACTACACTCTATCTCTATCTACCCCCTCTGCTCCATCTCCCTCCCTCCCCATGACCCCTTCCTCCACCTCTGTCTACCTCCTCCATCCCTCCATCTTTCTCCTCTCTCCCTTCACCTCCATCCCTCCTCAGTCCACCTCCATCTCCTTCCCCTCACTCCCCTCCCTCCCTCCCTCCCCCTCCATCTCACTCTATCTACCTCCATCTCTACTCACCACTCCCTATCTCAGGTGGCTGCCTCTTGAGTTCCTTCAGTCACTGTCGGTTCTCTGTTAATAATAAACATGGCATATCCTGAGCCCAGTGCTTGGTGGGGAATGTTTAGCACTGATACACTGGGGAGGCTCTGGGTTCATCCCCCGCTCTGTTGAGTGACTGATCTCAGCGGGGGGGAGGGAGGAGGGGGGTGTAGTAGTCAGGGCTACAATTGGCCTTGGCACCCCCTGGGTAAGGGAAGGGGAAATCAGACTTCTGATCGCTACCCAGTGAGCCTGTGCTGGGACGAGCAGGATAGTGACTGGGTGCAAGCACAGGGTAAAGTCTTCAATACCAAGCTCTGCACACCAGTCTGGGTTTCGTTCTACCCTCTGTTGTTTAAGTTGAGACGCTGTGCAGAGCAGAACACAAATAAAGATCTTTTGTTACACGTGCCCGGGTCTGTTTCAATCTGTTAGCCTGGTCAGGTGGAAGTTAAAAGAGAAACAGAAGGCAGTTTCTCCTGGTGTCCTGGCCGACAATCCCTCAACGGTGTGGCTTTAGCTGGTTAAACTCCAGCAGTTACCCCAACACACACCCTGGGGTCCCCAGGCTTTGGCTCTTGCCAACAAAAACATCATGTTCTGTCACCCGGAGCCTATCTCCAGAGCTACAGTAGATAGTTGGGATTATAGTATAAGAATCATTAGTATTGATCATGTAGTGAATAGATGAATTAAAGTCACATGGACAGAGTTAGAAAGAAAGATTGAAACTTCAAGGAAGTGGAGTCCGGTGGTTTGATCAGGCCAGATAAGATGGAATAGGAGGAGTATTGTTCTTTTGCAGAAGCTACCCCAGCTGGTACAAGGAGAAACAACTTGAAGATAGGGAAAGAATGCCTGGGAAAAGTGCAGTGGGAAAGAAACCATGGGGGGAAAAAAAGAGTTAGAACACAGCTGGTGAAAAAGGGTATAAAAATTGGTAGCCAAAACTTAAGAGTTTTTTGGAGCCTCCGAGGAGAGGAAGGAGACAAACCTCTACGGAGTGGACCGCAAAGAGGACAAGTCCAGCTTTCGTTGGAGTAAACCACCAGAAATGTTTGCAGCCAGCAGCACAAGAGAGAGAGACAGTGTTTAACTTGTGCCAGCCTTAGAATTTCGTCACAACTTCCTGCCTGCTTGGTAGTATCTCTCCTACTTCCTAAAACACGCACCCAACATACATGCAACGCCGTTAGAGATTATTTAGCCACGTTTCATATATCACATAAGTTTTTTATATGTTTAGAATTTTAGTATTGAGTGTATCTTGTTAAGATAGTTCTTTAGTAGTCATTTAAGCCCGACGAGTAATGATAATGCGTGGGGTGTAGTGTGATGCTTATGCTTGTGTGGTTTTATAATTACTAATAAAACGTTTTAACAATATCCTTGGTGTGGTTTCTGACAAACGCTTGAACCAAATTTCACAAATTTGGTAACCACGAAGGGACAGACGAGTGTCTTGGTCACGAGACTAAGAGCCAATACGGCAATACTGTCTGTCCGAATAAAAAGGACCTCAAGCTTTTGACCGAATCATACTCAAGACACGTATACACACACAAAAAATAAATAATAATAATAATCCTTGCATTTGATATAGCGCTTTTCACGTCGGGAGGACGTCCCAAAGCGCTTCACAGAACACACTGTAAAGTGAATTGACTATATTTGTGGGTGAACGCGGCAGCCAATTGCGCACAGCAACGTCCCACAAACAGTCATGGAGACTTCCCACAAACAACAAATGAAGACGATGGGGAATAAGACTAACAAGATGTTAGGAAAGGAAGGGCCAACTATGTTAGAGACCTATATTGATAAAATAGCGAAACTGGTACTGCATGCGGAGTTAGAAGGGTTGTATGAGAACGTGGAGAATCATGCAGATCCGCTAGAGGGAGCCGTTGATTGGCTTGATGAAATGTCGGGGTTGGGAGTTACAACAATTCGCTCACAAAAGCAAACCGAGCGAGTGTTGCGATATGCCATTTACTCTGCCACGGTCATCAATAAACACAGAGCAGATGGCAGGAATACGGACTTAGGAAAGGTAATTAGAGAGTCCCTCAAGCAGTTAGAAAACCAAGAGGAGTATTTCTTGAACCAGATCAATGACCATCAAACTACGATTTGGAGGCTTTGAATCAAACAGCAGACAAACCCACAAACACTTGGTCTGATAGCGCCTATGTGGTCAACACTGTGACTCTGTTACCCCTTTATCAGTCAAATTCCTTCCGGACGACTGATCGTAAACCACTTATGCACCAGCCACTGTTGCAAACCATTTGGGAAACACTCTCTGCTCGAAAAGACCCCTTTGCACCTGGGAAAAGTTAAAGGACATTCAAAGATCTCGGCACCCCACACCCAGGGGGACTCGGATGCAGATAAAGCTGCAAAGTATGAGCTGCTGCAATGTGGAAACCACCCCCTTCCTCGGCCCTCCAGGTCGCATCGGTGGAAAAGGCTCCTTCTGCTTTGGACATTCGAACTTTACAGATAACGTATATTGCTGTGTTGCAATGGCACAAAGAAGGCAAACCCTCTCCTCCTCCAGCTGACTGTGACTGGGCCCCTTTGACTATGACAACCTAGACAAGTAAAGACTGTACTTCTGAACCAATTTTAATGTACTCGCCCCCCAGACAAAAACCCAGTTGTGTGCATACCCCCAAGCCTGCAAGTGAAAGTATTCACAATATTTCACACACACCCTACATCTGGTCACTATTCTGCAACTGTTACGACACAATTAATTTTACGTAGTATGTGGTGGCCGAATGTGGTAGAGGATATTGCGCAGCGCAACCACCGGTGTTTGGTATGTTTGCAGCATAATCCCCCTCCTCAAGAACAGCAAGAGCTCCTTAAATCGGCACCCCCACCCCATGGTCCATGGACCCATATGCAGATTGATTTCATTGGGCCATTACCAATGGCAAAAGGGGGTTTTAAGCACTGTCTTGTAACACTAGACAAACTTACAAAATGGATTGAGGCTTTTCCCACTAGGACTAACACTGCGCTAACAGCAACATGAGTCCTCTTGCCCGAAGTGATCTGCAGGTGAGGAATACCTGTACAAATGCACTCAGACCAAGGGTCACATTTTACAGGTAAAAATTTTCTCCGAAATGCAAATCATGCTGGGAATCAAACAGAAATTGAACATCTCACACCACCCCAGTCTTCAGGAGTGGTGGAGCAGGGAAATTGGTACTTGAAGACATTGATTAAGAAATTCTGTGCAGATTACCCTGCGCTGTGGACTGAAGTGCTGCCTATGTGTTTGATGGCTAGGAGAAATGCCACTCACTCCACAATTGGCATTTCTCCCCATCAGGCTATGACAGGGAGAGCCATGGTGTCACCTGGTAAAGTGGTATTTCCCAGGACGACACCCATACAAACCAGCCCCTCGGTTTACCGACTACAATACCATAACAAAACCAAGAAATATGCCCGTTGGCATCACATGAATCAGATGAAAACTGTATAATAACCGATATTATGCTTGTTCTTTCAGGAAGCACCATGGAGCACCGGGGGCACTATTGTGGCTGAATCTCCTATACTACATCCACACGACATCCCATTTCCCACCGACGTCCTTTGCCGTGACATACGAACATCAGCGTTCCAAAAGTGATTGCGGTGGGCTGCCATGCTTGGGTATCCATGGCCTTCTCGGGCGTAGGTGAATCCCTGTGATTCAGTGGCGACAGAACGGGTCGAACCTGAACCGGGAGCAGCACCACCAGGGAAACTTTGACATTGTCCTGGTATATGCCTTAGAGGGAGTGACACTACATGGCCAACTTTTATCACACTCGCCCGAAGCTTGTCTCTCCAAGGGGACGACCCTCGGTTACCTAAAAGCTGGGATAGACCCACCCCCCCCCATGTTATTGGAATCAGGAAAGAGAGGAACTGGAAACCATTATTACCGGAGAACAAACATACATCACCTATAACATTTCCAACGATCATGACACCATTCCACAGGCAACCCCAGTAATCAGAGTAGCAAGCGGACAGTCAGCTTACATACTGTACACACTGAGTATAGTTAACACAACCTGGAAGGTAGTTGGAGACACATTTAGGAGCCGTAACAAGAATAGCACCTTTCCAAAGTTAATCATTTCCTTTTCGTCATTAGTGATAATCAAATTGGGTGATTCTAACCAATCCGATTACATTTATCAAACCAGTCAGGTTGGGATCCCCTATGTAACAATTCCTCCTCAAACCCGGACAAATGGACCTCAATGGGGCCTACAATTCCCCTATACCTACACCCAACACACAGGGCAGTACGTTTGTAAGTGGGAGGGAGCCCCGAGGAAAGAATGCCCGAAGTTAATAGACCAGTCAGAGACTGCCTACTCCCGTTTAGAAGTACGCATTGGGGAAAGCGAGACCACGGTAGTCAATGTTACCGGGTCATATGATGATCTTTTGATTTCAGATGGATCAACTAATGGGTTGGTCCCCAGATTACGAATCAAGAAATCTATTAAAATGTGTCATATGAAACATACCCAATCATCTTTGACCTACCCAATTTGACCCTTCCACACCGGTTATGTGATGCTTCTACCTGTGTGGCTTTATAATTGCCAATAAAACGTTTTAATAATATCCTTGGTGTGGTTTCTGACAAATGCTTGAACCCAATTTCACACTACACCTCGAGCCGTTCCCCCTCCCCGCCATGCAACTCATAGTCTCCAAAATCCATCTCTGGGATTTCCAGGTGTAGGTGGGAGGCAGGGAATTCTCAGCTTGGTTTGGATACTCTTAAGCACGGTGATGGGTTTCCGCACGTGTCAGACATCCAGCTGACCAAAAATTCACCCCCCAGGCTGCACTGCGAGGTATGGAGAGTCCAAGAGGGAAAAGTAATAAGACTAATCCTTGCATTTGATACAGCACCTTATCACACCTTCGAGACGTCTAAAAGAGCTTCACAGAACGTACTGTAAAGTGAATTGACTGTATTTTGTGGGTGAAACGCGGCAGCCAATTGCGCACCAGGGATCGTGCGCCCAAAGACAGTCTAGGAATCAACAAGAAAATACATTTTATTTGGCGCTTGTGAACCACAGACACAAGCTGCAAACACACACACACTCACTCTCACACAGCGTCAGGCAAATCCTAGTTAATAATTCTCAGGTCTCTGAGTGGGGGGGTGGTGCGGGCGGGTGGTGGGGAGAGGGGGCGAGAGGAAGGGTGACCCTATTCTGTAAACCTCATCTGGGGACTGTCCTCAGAAATCAACAACAACTTGCATTTATATAGCGCCCCTCATGCAGGTTAGCGTCCCAGAGCCCTTCAAAGCGGCAGAGCACGATGCCGGGGAGTGGGGTGGTGACCCTAGGCACAGTCAAAGAATGAGGTCTTCAGTCCCGACCTGAAGATGGGGAAGGAGTGGGGCGAAGCGGAGGGATACAGGAAGAGGATTCCAGAAGTCCGGGGCGTAGTGGCTGAAAGTTGTACGGTTGTATCAGGTTGTACGGGCACCCAAGGAGAAAGAGGTATGGCTCGAGGTGAAACTGTGGAGATAGGCTCAGAGACAGCAAATCAAGCTTTGGGTATACAGCAGTTGTCACTGGAGGGCGAAGGCGTCAGTCATCAGCCTACAGTGATAGACTGGTCACTGCAGTGATAGACTGGTCACTGGCTGTTGCTCTGCCGTACATGGTGAATGAACAGCCGAGGTGCTCGGACGTACCCAGGTTCCCGGCACCCGACCGTCCTCCGCTGTGCCGCCGGTCACTAGTCCTACCGTTACTGGAGCCACACTGACCGGTCCGCAGGCACCACAGGCAGCTCAATGGCAATTTTGGCATGAGGGGTGACAGCGCTTGCCGTTCACCAGACACCGGCAGCCACCGTCTGTGTCGCCAGGACCCTGAAACAGCAAGACATGCACAATCACTACACCCACAGTGTCAGTCACTACACCCACAGTGTCAGTCTCAGTAATAATAATAACCCTTGCACTTGATACAGGCGCCTTATCACATTGTTGAGACGTCTCAAAGCGCTTCACAGAATATACTGTAAAGTGTAGTGACTGTGTATTGTGTGGGCGAAATGCGGCAGCCGATTGCGCACAGCAGCGTCCCACAAACAGTCAGGGATTGAGTGACCGCAATTTTTTTATATGGGATTATTAAGCCCGGAAAAAGTGATCCACCAATCGACTAACAACCGGGTTCCTAGTTACTGGTGGGTAAACAGAGGCGCGTGGAGTGAGGAAACTTGCCTAAGGTTTCGCCCCGCCCGGGAATCGAACCCGGGTCCTCTCGCTTGCTTGCGAGCGCACTAACCACTACGCTAAGGGACTCCAGAAAGTAGTCATCTCTGCGCTGTCACTCCCCGTCATCTCTGCGCTGTCACTCCCCATCATCTCTGCGCTGTCACTCCTCCCGCTCGGCTCGGTGGCGGTGGTTCCCGGGTGCTGGTGGATTACCTTCGGGCCCCATCGATGGCCTTTAGTGACCCAACAGATCTCAGTGTGGCAGACAGTGCAGCGCAGCCAATCGCAACCGTCCTTCTTCTGGACAATAATGTTGCACGTTGGACAGTGCATCGCCTGTCCTGTCCTCACCAGCGTCTGTAACACACACACACACACACACACACACATAGGCTGTTACACACACACTCACAACATACACAAACACCGTCTCTCTCACACACACAGGCTGTTATATATACACACATACACAAACCCTCATACACACACGCACACATAGGCCATCACACACACAGAAACACACAGGCTGTCATACACACACACACACAGGCCATCACACACACACACAGGCCATCACACACACACACACAGGCTGTCACACACACACACACACACACACACAGGCCATCACACACACACACACAGGCTGTCATACACACACACACACAGGCTGTCATACACACACACACACACACACACACACAGGCCATCACACACACACACACACAGGCCATCACACATACACACACAGGCTGTCATACACACACACACACACACACACAGGCTGTCATACACACACATACATAGACCATCATACACACACACAGCCCATCTCACACACACAGACGCGCATGGGCCAGTCATACACACACAGACTGGTAATTCTGTACCTTGAGCATCTCTGTGGTCTGGAGAGCGGCTGAGTCGCTCTGCGCTCGGCTCCGCAGATCGTCCTGATATTGTTTACAGTTCATTCCCGCGTGGATGGCCTGAGCCGGTCAGAGATCAATCAGAACCAGTCAGCGAGACAGTCACATGCCCAACGTACACACATCCCACTCCCTCTCCGCCTCACGCACACAGTACCTCCTCCCCCCTCACCAATCTCACCCACACCCCCACTCCCCATTCACCTCCCTTACACGCACACCACCTCCTCAAGCCTTCGCCCACCTCATCCAGTCCCCATGACCTCCCTGCCCCCCACCTCGCTGCTGTATCCCGCAATCCCTGTAACAAACCACGTAGGGAAAAGGTGAGGGATTGAGAGAACAGAGGTACCCTGTACCCTGTGGAGTCCTGTAGCTCAGTGGTTAGAGCACTCGTTTTGCAAGTGAGAGACCTGAGTTCAATTCCAGGCAGAGGGCAAAACCTTGGGCAAGTTTCCTTACTCCACACAGAGCCTAATAATAATCCCTCCAAAACAAAACAATAATAAATTGGTCATTTTCAATCTACGACTGTTTGGGGGACATTGCTGTGCGCAATTGGCTGCCGCGTTCGCCCACAAATATACAGTCAATTCACTTTACAGTGTGTTCTGTGAAGCGCTTTGGGACGTCCTCCCGACGTGAAAAGCGCTATATCAAATGCAAGGATTATTATTATTATTATTACCCAATTGCAGGAGCACAGGGCTGAGAGACGGTGGGGCAGGGAGGGCTTGGGGAGGGGAACAGTAATAATAATAATCCTTGCATTTGTTATAGCGCCTTATCACGTTTTTGAGATGTCTCAAAGCGCTTCACACAATATACTGTAAAGTGAATTGATTACATTTTGTGGGTGAAACGCGGCAGCCAATTGCACACAGCAATGTCCCACAAACAGTCGTAGATTGAGAGTGACCAAATTTTTTTTCTTTGAGGGGGGGGGGGTTGGGCGCCTCTGGAGACCTCACCTTGCAGAGCAGGCAGTTGAGTCTCCGACAGAGAGGACAGAGAAACTCATTGACTGTGTCCTCATAGAAACACCAGCCACGGCAGTCCACAGTCTGGCAGTGATAGCTGTTCTCACTGCTTCTCTCTGCCATGGTCACACTGCGCTCCAGGAACCGGCAAAACTCCTCCAGGGACACCAGCTGCAGAAACACAGGGAGCAATGGGATTAGAGGAGGGGAGCGAGCACCAGCACAGACACAATGGCGAGAGAGCAGGGAATAGGATTTGGACCAGATACTGCGACTGATTTCAGTCTCTTACCGCCCGGATCTCTCGCTCCTGGAGTTTGCTGTCGCAGGCGTACGTTTCATCCCGATAAGGGCAGGGCACTGTGGGCTCCAGACACGTCTGGATAAGCTGGGACAGACACTCCCTGCAGACAGCCAGCACAGCAGTCAGCACATCCTCCAGACTCAACAACAACAACTTGCATTTATACAGCAGCCCTCATGCAGGGTAGCGTCCCAGAGCGCTCGACAGTAATGGAGCCAGGGGAATAGGGAGGTGACCCTAGGCACAGTCGAATAGCCAGGTCTTCAGGCATGACCTGAAAATGGGGAAGGTGGAGGGCAAGAGGAAGAGTGTTCCAGAGTTTTGGGGCATAGTGGCTGAAAGCGCGGTCATCAATGGAGGGCACAGAAGTAGTGGGTTGTGGGTTGGTTGGTAAGCAGGGCGGAGAGCTAGGGAGTGCCCGGACATGACTCATCTCAATTTCCTGATTCATTGCATCCTCACAACTCATCCAATTCCCCCCCCCACTCATCACATTCCCCCAACTGATCGCATTCCTCCGATTCGTCGCACTGCAGTGTCTCTACACACTCCCTCCGACCCGCCACATTCACAATATCAGTCATACAGTATTCCCCAACTCAGCGCACGCTCTTACTTGCAGAAGCTGTGCAGGCAGTCACGCAGCACAACGCCAGCCTCCGGCATCACATCCGTCAGACAAATGCGACACTCAATGGGCTCCCTGTTGGGCACCAAGTCTTGGTTGTCCATCCGCAGCAGGTGCTGGTAATTCTGCAGCCGCTCCTGCTCCAATTCCTGAGCCACGCACAAGCAGAGACTGAGAGAAGCCGCGCTCCCTGCCTATCTCAGCTCATCCTCACATACCATAACCATCTGACGCTCACAACTTATAATAATAATTATTCTTATTTTTGATAGAGCACCTTATCATTTGTTATATTATTATTATTATATTATTTATTTATTGGCTTGATATCCACTCAACAACAACTTGCATTTATATAGCGCCCTTCACGAGGGGTAGCGTCCCGGAGAGCTTGTCCCTGGCAGAGTCTGACCCCCGAGCCAGGGGGAGAGGGAGGGTGGGAGGTGGCCGTAAGCACAATCAAAAAGGTCTTTAGGTGAGATTTGAAAGTACTCTTTTCCTCGGGGTAGGGAGGTGACCAAAGGCACGGTCGAAGAGGAGAGTCTTGAGATGGGCCTTGAAGGAGGCAAGGGAGGGGGTGAGGCGAAGGGACTGTGGTACGGCGTTCCAAAGGGTGGGGGCAGAGAGGCTGAAGGCCCGAACGCAGGCAAGGCAGGGGACATGGAGGCCGGAGCCCACTGAGCGGAGGAAATGAACACTCAATCATAATACCATTTGATGCAGCTTTTAAGACCAATAATAAAAAAAATAGTAATAATAATAATATTGGTATAGCGCCTTTCACGTCAGGAGGACGTCCCAAAGCATTTCATGGGATTTAAGGCAAGTGTAGCGACTTTGTTTTTGTGGGTGAATGCGGCAGCTAATTTACACACAGCAATGTCCCCTAACGCACATGGCCTGAGAGACCAATTTTATCTGGGGTATTGTTGGCCAGGAAACCAAAAGAAACTCCTTTCTCTTTTCGAATAGTCCCATGGGATCTTTAACGTCAGCTTTAACAGGCGGACAGGACCTGGATTTAATGCCTCATCTGAAGGACGGTTCCTCCAACAATGCAGCACAACCCCAGCATTGCACTGGAGTGTCAGACTTGACTATGTAATTGTGGGCAAAAGGCTGGGGATTGAGAAACCAATGGAGCCTAACAAGGATGGGGACGACAGGCTCATGGGGCCTGGAGCAGAAGAGGACATGGATTGCTGGTTTCTGGATAGGCTGCAGTGTGTTCGAGGGAGTCTGGCAAGCAGAGCGATGGAATAATCAACAACAACTTGCATTTATACAGCATCCCTCACGCAGGGTGGTGATCCAGAGAACTTTGGTCATAATGAAGGCGAATGAGGATCTCGGCAGCCCGGTTAGTGGCAGAGGCTGATAATGTTATGGAGGCGAGAGAAAGCTGAGCGAATGAGCCTGGGTGTAGGGTGTGTATGACTGTTGGGAGGTTCCACACTGACTCCATGAGGTGGAGTGAGCATCCATGCACGGTGATGCTGTCCTCACCTGAAGTGAGAAGGGGTTGATGGTAGCCAAGCAGGAGAGCCTCTGTTTTGTCAACATCCAACTGCAGAAAGTTGGAGCTCATGCAAGACTTGATGATAATAATGATGAAGCGCATTTTCCATGAAGCAGTAAGGAATAATAGCCATAATTTAGTGTAATGTACGTCTGCAAAATACTGCACAGGTGTTGAGGTTTTATTTCCAGAGTTAGGTTCCGTCATACCATGTAACTATCAGACACTGCAGCACAGGAGAGACCATTCAGCCCATTGTGTCCATGCTGGAGCTCTCTAATCCCATTCCCTGCTCTCTCCCCATGTTGTCTGTGCTGGTGCTCACTCCCCCACTGGAGCTCTCTACTCTAATCCCACTTTCACCATTGTGTCTGGGCTGAGTAAGCCAGTTTCCAAACGAAGACTGAATTCAAGGATCGTGTTTGAATTTTAAGAGCTAATGGTCTGACAGCGCTGGACAAAATGGGTTTTATAGGCTCTGATGTCCTTTATTAATAGGATGCCCAGAACTGCACACAGTCCTCTTAACTACGCCTGACCCACATCCTATATAACTCTCATACTTCAGTATCTTTCACCGAGCTGGTTCCATTTCACAGATTTCCATCACACCTGCATTAGTTCTGTCCAGCACACGTTACATTCTTCCCACAAGTCTCAGCACATCCCCTCCTCAATACCAAACCCACAACGTTCTTATTAAACAAGCAAGTTATCCGTTTATTAAATAAACACATTCGGTAATTCACATTTACACACATTCACTCAGTGGCTCCTTGACAATGCTCCAGGATCTGCCCTGGCTTCTCACTGACCAGAGGACCAGCCCCGATCAGGGCACCATGGACAGACAGCTCCAAACCAGCCTTATACCAAATCCCTCATGGCAGCTGGCTCCCAGATGTCCCACATGTGGAAAGCCTGCCTCATTGCTGGACTGTGGTTTGTGACACCAGTGCCAGTGAAGGACATGATGTGAGGACAAGGATCAATGGGCAGAAACCCAGATGAGAGACTGAAGCCCACAATAATAATCCTTGCATTTGATATAGCGCCTTATCACATTGTTGAGACGTCTCAAAGCTGTAAAGTATATATTGTAAAATGAATTGACTATATTTTGTGGGCAAAACGCGGCAGCCAACAGCACACAGCAGCATCCCACAAACAGTCGTGGATTGAGTGACCAAATCATTATGTAAAAAAAAAAAATTTTTTTTGTAGGAACTATTACCCCCGGAAAAGCGATCCGCAAATTGACTAACAACCAGGTTCCTATTTACTGCTGGGTAAACAGAGACATGTGGAGTAAGGAAATTCTCTAACGTTTCGCCCTGCTTAGGAATCAACCCAGGTCCTCTCGCTTGTGAGATGAGCGCACTCATCAATATGCTACAGGACTCCAATAAGGACACTTCCCATGCACAGGAACAGAATAAGAGGAAGGCATTTACAAAACGATGCCTGGGTGAGGAAATGTTTGGGATTTCCAAGTCGATAGAGTGTAGGAGGAAGACTGAGAGATGAGTCAACCAACTGCATCTCTTTTCATGTGTTAACTTTCCAAACTGCTTTACAGAGACAGTGTGCAGGGAAAGGGGAGGAGGAAGGTGACCACAAGGTCAGAGGAAGGTTTCCAGAGAGGGGATCAGGTGGAGGGATTCTTAAAAAATTTAGGCGGAATGGAAGAGTGATAGAGGTGAGGAGTAAAAAATATATATCGGATATCAGAAAGTGTAAGTGCCTGCCAGAGTCCAGCACAGCCAGTCTATGGAAATGACTGGCACCGTCCTTGCTCATTCCTTGAGTGGAGATAAATTACCTTTAATCCCTTTTACCGTCCCTTCGGTCATCCTCCCACCCCCACCCTCCCTGCCCTCCAACCAGCTGAATTCCCACCCCCTGCTTGGGTGAAACCATCGACTGTCCAGTGCCTTGGGATGTCCTCCCAACCTGAAAGATACTACAAAAATGCAATTTGTGGTTATTGTAGTCATTCTCTGCCCTCAGTAAATTCAGGTCTGGAAGGGACCTTCACAACTAGATGTGACACAATCTCAGGTGGAGGACATCACCCGGAGCAGCAACTGTGACTGGTTTCTCCCTCCCAAACCCTGAGAATAACCAGAACAATTCAACCTCCCACTTGTAGCCCCAGCTGAGACCAGCAAACTCAGCACAAAGTGGGACTCCAACCAACCAGCTCAGGTCCATAAAGCTGCAGGTTTGTGAGCAGGTCAATGGGACTGAATGGATTGCTCTTAAAAACACAGTTACAGACACGACGGGCTCAATGGCCTTCTTCTGTGCTGCAAAGGCCGGTGATTCTGTGGTCCCCACTCCTTGGCGCTCTCCACAAGAGGAGGATCAGCCCTAAGCTTGGCCTCGGTTAGTCAGTTACGTCTCCAACACTCACCAGAAAACCTCAAGAGGGCTGTTGGAGCTGCGTGCTGGAGCCCTGACCTCACTGTGGGTCCTGGAAAGAATTGTCAGCAGCCCTTCACCCCCACCCCCAAAACACACATCAATTCAGACAAACAGCCAGTGATGGAAACAGTGGGCTGCAGTGTAACCACAAAACTGCCCCTCACACTCTGGATCCGAGAACATTTCTCATTAGAAAAATACTAATAAAACCCTTCTGTTAAAATACATTCATCGCCGTATCTTCATACCAACTGAGTAAGCGCCATCGCACCAATGCCAACAGTCAGTAACAGTCAGGGGGGCAACGGAAGGGTGGGGGGGGCAACGGAAGGGATGGGGGGCGGGGGAGAGGGCTTAGTGCAGGTACAGCCCTCACCCCTCCGTCCTCCAAATAACTAGGTTCATACATCATTGGTTGTGCGGGATGAGCTCAAAGTAGAAAGCAGAGAGAGTGTGAGTGTCTGAGAGTTCCACCCGCGCCCCCCCAACCCACCCAACTGAACTGATCCACTGGGAGCACAAGCACAAGGCGAAGCTGGCTACAGTCTGTCAAATAGCGTCAGGTCGCTGCGGTTGGTCGAGTTCAGTCCCAATGTGGACGACTGTTCTTCTCTTCTTCCTTTTTCCTGTCGATTCAAAAACAAGAAAGAAGAGAAGGCAGCGGGTGAGTGAGCGAGCGAGTCCGAGCAAGAGAGCGAGGGAAGGAGAGAAGGAGGCAGGGAGCGTGAGATCCCGAGTGAGTGTACGGGAATCTGAGTGAATCTCCGAGACTGAGAATGCGAGCTTGTAGAGTAGAGTCTAACAGTAGAGTCTAACGTTCAGTCCTGTTATATGGAGCATCTCACAGCTCAGGAGGCCACTCAGCCATGACGCTCGCTCTCTGACAGACATCTCTAGTCACATCTACTCCCCAGCCCCCCCCTCCCCACACACACACAAATAAACATACACACCCTAATATTTTCCTCTTTAAATAGTATTCTCATGCTCTTTTAAAATCTATCAGTTTCTGCTCTAGCCAATACTTAAACACATCAGAGTCCTGCCTTGTGTCAACACCTGCCTGTTTCACATCCACCGCAGTCCCCTACCACACACGAGAAGAGAGCTCCAGTGAGGGAATGAGCACCAGCACCGACACTTTGGGCTGAATAGCCTCATTCTGTGCTGTAATGATTGAAATAAATGCGCTCTCTATTTCTGGTATGTATCTCTCTCTTTCTCTTCTCTCACACTGTGCACAAGGCGATGTGCCTGCTGTATCCTCAGTCAGCACTTACCTGGTGATATTGCAGCATCGCCTCTTTCTCTTGCAGGATTCGACACATCTCTGCGTCGTCGGGGGAGTATTGTTGAGGTACGGAGTATTCCGGGGGTCGGGGGCTGCTACACATCTCACAGCCGGGCCGGGTGGGCTTGTTAATGTACGTACATTCTCTACAGGACCAGCCATTCTGGTGGAAAATTACAAATATAATTTTGGTGTTAACCCTGGATATTGTGTGTGGACAGGGAGGTTGGCTGGTTACCACTGGCTACCTATGTGAACAAGTGAGTAGGTGGGACAGTTATTGCCAGTTATCTGTTTGCACAGGGACATAGGCGGGTTAACACTGGTTACCTGTGTGGACAGGGACAATAGGCTGGTTAACAATGGTTACCTGCGGGGATGTGGACATGGTAGTTGGGGGCTGGCTATCTTGTGAAGGCTGCAGTTGTGGTAAGGACTTTAACTCCAGTTTCAGATACTGTGAGATGTTGGTGATGTCCATCCTTCCTTCCCTGTCCTTTGAAAGCATCCGACCTGCAGAGACGAGACTTACTGTCACTTTCAAGTTGTGTATGTGGTCTTTCTAAATACAACAACAACAACAAGATTCCATTTATAAAGCGCCTTTCACGTCAGGAGGACGTCCCAAGGCGCTGCACAGTTGGGTCATGACCCGAGCAGGGGGGAAATGGTGAGGAGAGGGAAGGGAGGGAGCAAGGAGGGGGGAAATGGTCAGGGTGAGGGGAGGGAAGGGAGGGAGCGAGGAGGGGGAAGAGAGTCGAGAGGGGAGCTGAAGGCATGGTCAAAGAGAAATATACAATGCAATGTGTGTACAACTACCACCCACCCCATCCTCACCAGCCTCCACACACCCACTACCCCATCCTCACCAGCCTCCACACCCACCCCATCCTCACCAGCCTCCACACACCCACTACCCCATCCTCACCAGCCTCCACACCCACTACCCCATCCTCACCAGCCTCCATACACCCACTACCCCATCCTCACCAGCCTCCACACCCACCCCATCCTCACCAGCCTCCACACACCCACTACCCCATCCTCACCAGCCTCCACACCCACCCCATCCTCATCAGCCTCCACACACCCACTACCCCATCCTCACCAGCCTCCACACCCACCCCAACCTCACCAGCCTCCACACCCACCCCATCCTCACCAGCCTCCACACACCCACTACCCCATCCTCACCAGCCTCCACACACCCACTACCCTATCCTCACCAGCCTCCACACCCACTACCCCATCCTCACCAGCCTCCACACACCCACTACCCCATCCTCACCAGCCTCCAGACATCCACCCCATCCTCACCAGCCTCCACACACCCACTACCCCATCCTCACCAGCCTCCATACACCCATTACCCCATCCTCACCAGCCTCCACACACCCACTACCCCATCCTCACCAGCCTCCACTCCCACCCCATCCTCACTAGGCTGTGTCTGGTTTAGATACTCTTAAACACGATCATCATAATAATAATTTTTGCTATTTATATAAGGCATTATTGCGTCTTCGGGACATCTCAAAGAGCTTCACAGAATATACTGTAAAGTGAATTGACTGTGTATTTTATGAGCAATATGATAATAGGTTTCTGCGCGTGCCAGACACCCTGCATACCAAAAATGCTGATAAATTCTGCCTAATCCATGGTAACGTCTAGGTATCCGGCGCTAACTAGTCCAACTCCCCCTTCTACACAGGAAATCAGTGTTGACCTTTATTTGAGGACGGCCTGGGGGGTAGAGTGCTGTATTTCTGTCTCTCTTCATTGAGGCTCAGCCGCCTGGGGAGATCAGGCAGCGCCTCGCCGTGTGAAATGATGGCCAGTGCCTGCTCTTCCTCATACTGCCGGCGAGACAGGCTGGCCAGCTTGGCCGACAGCAGGTAGAGGAACGCTGGGTCACCATCTTTCTTCACCCCGTAAGAGCTGATCGTGCGTTCGTCCACCGCCAGGCACTGGCCAATAATCCAGCGCTGCACACTCGGGTGGAAGCCATAGTCCCGGAAAATCTAAGGGTGGGAGGGGGGAAAGGGGACATATGATTGTAATAATAATAATCCTTGCATTTGATCATATGGAGTCCTGTAGCTCAGTGGTTAGAGCACTCGCTTTGCAAGTGAGAGACCCGAGTTCAATTCCAGGCAGAGGGCGAAACCTTGGGCAAGTTTCCTTACTCCACACAGAGCCTAATAATAATCCCTCCAAAAACCAAAAACAATAATAAATTGGTCATTTTCAATCTACGACTGTTTGTGGGACATTGCTGTGCGCAATTGGCTGCTGCGTTCGCCCACAAATATACAGTCAATTCACTTTACAGTATATTCTGTGAAGCGCTTTGGGACGTCCTCCTGACGTGAAAAGCGCTATATCAAATGCAAGGATTATTATTATTATTATTTGATGTAGCGCCTTATCATGTCGTTGAGACGTCTCAAAACACTTCACAGTGTGTACTGTACTGTAAAGTGGATTGACTGTGTATTTTGTGGGCGAAATGTGACGGCCTATTGCACACAGCAGCGGTCCCACAAATAGTCGTGGATTGGATGACCAATTTTTTGTACTGCATTGTTGGGAGGTGCCGTCCTTCAGTTGAGACGTTAAACCGAGATCCCGTCTGTGGCTGTCCAGGTGGACGTTAAAGATCCCATGGCACTACTTGAATAGAGAAGGGAGTTTCTCTCTCCCTGTGTCCTGGCCAACAATCCCCCAAATAAAATTGGTCATTCACTTCTTGGCTGTGTGCAACTGGCTCCTGGGTTCACGCAGAAGGATGCACAGTCAATCCACTGTGAAGTGCCAGGGTATCCCACTCCTGATCACTATGCCGAAGCCTTGACCAACATAGTCTGTTCAGTCACACGCCACCTACCTGTTGCTTTAATGTGTTGATAGTGGCATAGGGGAAGACCTTCATGATGATAGTGGCTGATGAAGTGGAGTCTTCTACCCCAACTTTCATACTGCAAGGAAACGAGAGAAAAAGGATTGAAATTCAGCCTCTGCCACCTACCCTGGAACCTACCACTGCCCCCACAAAATTACCTTTGTATTGTTCCTTCTCTTTGACCGTGCCTTCAGCTCCCCTCTCGACTCTCTTCCCCCTCCTCGCTCCCTCCCTTCCCTCCCCTCACCCTGACCATTTCCCCCCTCCTTGCTCCCTTCCTTCCCTCACCCTGACCATTTCCCCCCTGCTCGGGTCATGACCCAACTGTACAGCGCCTTGGGACGTCCTCCTGACGTGAAAGGCGCTTTATAAATGGAATCTTGTTGTTGTTGTTCCTTTCACTTCGGGAGGAACTTCACAAGGTGGTGGACAGTCAGGGATTTGGATATAATTATAATCTATTTATAATATAATACAATATAATTGGAGTTGAGGTATAGATCATTCATGATCTAATAGAATGACGGAACAGGCTCAAGGGGCTGAAAGGCCTTCTCCTGCTCGTATTTCATCCCATTCTCCCATCCGACCCCATGTCCCTGCAGTCACCCCTCCCACCACATCCTCCCATATGGGAGGGACGGGAGGGAGAGAATGGTTATGTGTGTGTGTGTGTGTGTGTTTGTTTGTGTGTTGGGGGGAGGGAGAACAGGGCAGGATTTGTGGTGAGAGTGAATGAAAACGGGGCAGGATGTGGGTGGGAAGGAAAATTATATAATCTATGATTAGATTATAATTATATCCAAATCTCTGACTGTCCAGCGCCTTGTGAAGTTTCTCCCGAAGTGAAAGGAACAATACAAATGTAATTTTGTATTGTATATTATATGGGATTGAGAATAGGTAAGTACCTGATCTGTTGTGTCAGGTATGCAGTTTCCTTCAACCGGATACTGAGCGACACCTTCTGCTGAGCGAGAGCTTTGGCGGACTCGGCCGTGGACAGCAGGTCTCCTGTCTCAATGGCTTTGGCCAGTCTAAGGATGAGGTCCTCTGTAGAGAGAACAAGGAAAAAAACAGGAAAATTAGCAATTAATTTGGGGGATGGTCAGCCAGCACATCTCTTTCTCAAAGGTGTCAGGGGATCTTCAATGTTCATCTGAAAAGGCAGTCAGGACCTCAGTTCAACGTTTTTTAATAATAATAATCCTTGCATTTAACATAGTGCCTTACCATGTCTTTGAAATGGCTCAAAGCGTTTGTAGAATATACTAAAAAGTGAATTGACTGTATATTGTTGTGGACGAAACGCAGCAGATAATTGAGCACAGCAAACAAGGCGGGGGACATGAAGCAGGCCTTGAGCGAAGGAAGCATGCAGGATAGTAGGGGGTTAGGAGGTCTCAGAGGTAGGGGGGAACAAGACCATGGAGGGCTTTGAAGGTGAGGACCAGGATCTTGAACTGTATCCTCTGTGTGATGGGAAGACAGTGGAGGATGGGGGTGTTAAGAGTCACGGAGCCTGGTGCGAGTGAGGACAAGGGCTGCAAAGTTCTAGCTGATCTGCAGCCTATAGAGGAAGGAGTTGGGGAGGCCAACAGGCAAGGAGTTTGCGTAGTCAAGCCTTGATGTTATGAATGCATGTATGAGGGTTTCAGGGGCCTGCGGTGTGCGACAGTGGCAGAGCCAGGTGATGTCTTAGGATGCCCTGCCCGGGAATCAAACCTAGGTTTGAGGCAAGTTCTCTAACCAATACACTGCAGGACTCCATAGGCGATGCATTAAACAAAGAAGCACCACATCCCCCCTCCCCCAGCACTGCACTGAAAGTCAGCCTAAATTGTGAGCTCAGAGTCCCGACGTGGGGCTCGAACCATCACCTTTGAGTGTTTGAGCCTGGAGAGTGTCTGGGCAAGACTGACACCTCGTGAGCTGTAAATTACAAGCAGGGTAAAGGTGGAGAGACTGGGTTGTGCTAGGCAGGATTCAATTAGCACCAGAAGCCAGAAATTCCACCTAGTCTTTTCCCCTACAATTAAAATTAAGATGAGAAAGAATTGAGAAAAATTCTTAAATTCAGTCTTAATCTGGAAGATGGCTTCTGTCATTCCAAATTGAGACTGGATTTCAGAATTTTCCATTCTGGGTGATATTACATTTCAAGACAAAATGGTCTCACCGACGAGGTGGAATTTCAGCCACCGGCGGGTGTTTCAGGTCAGGACACTGGGACTCTTTTAAGAAACAGCTTAATGCTGTAATGGGAGGATTGTCAGGTGGGGACTCTGGAAGGATGAGATCAAACAGGATAAAGGGCCTTTTTTTTTGCCAGCTGGGAATCTGACACATGCAGAAACCCATCACCATGCTTAAGAGTATCCAAACCAAGCTAGGACTTCCATGTCTGCCACTCACACATGGAAATCTCAGAGATAGATTGTTGGAATTGAATGTGTTCTTACCTAATTCCTGGAAAGCATTTAGGTACAGGTTGGCAAGAGCCAAGTTTTGGGACCCCAGTGTGCCAGTTGGGGTAACTGCTGGAGTCTTAACCAGCTAAAACCCCATTGAGATCGCTGTATGGCAAGCTTTCCCACTGCTTGTCCAGCTTGGACCATCTTACCCGTTAGGGGTTTGGCTTTGCAGGGTTAACAGGAGCTGAGTGAGAGGATTCCCTGCCCCAGTGACTGGTCTACCCTTGCCAGTCTTGCCAATGAGCCAGGCTGGTTGTGCCCTGCATATGACAGCACAAAAGGTCTTCTTCACTCAAACCTCTGGTATTATCTCCTACACGTGAAAATTCTATATGTGTGAGTGACTGAGCCAGCCCACTCACCCTGAGTTGACAACGCAAACAGTACCTGTTCTGCTGAGGTCCCCTGAAGGTTTGGGCAGGTCCGTCCAGGGCTGGGGAGGGTCGGTCGCTGGTCGGACCGCATTCGTCACCACTCCTGGTGAGTTTGCTGGAAGCGCTGCACAATTTGCTACAAAATGAAAGTAGATGGCTTTAACAACAATTAATCCGTGCACTCGATCTATAATAATCCTCCTTGTATTTGATATAGCGCCTTATCACATCGTTGAAATGTCTCAAAGCACCTCACAGAATATACTGCAAAGTGGATTGGTTGTGTATTTTGTGGGCGAAATGCGAGAGCCAATTGGCACAGCAGTTCCCACAAATAGTCATGGATTGAGTAACCAATTTTTTTTTAATGGTGGGGGTAATTATTACCCTGGAAAGCAATCCACCAATCAACTGATGACTAGGTTCCTACTTACTGCTAGGGAAACAGAGGCGTGTGGCGTAAGGGAAGAGAGGTGGGAGAGTGACCAAAGGCACGATCGAAGAGAAGGGTCTTGAGGCCGGCCTTGAAAGAGGCACGGGAGGAAACGAGGTGAAGGGACTGTTGGATGGAATTCCAGGAGTGTGGGGGCAGAGAGACTGAAAGCTCGGCCATCGATGGTAGAACAGGTCGGGCGGGAGACATGGAGCAGGCCGGAGCCCGCTGAGCGGAGGGAGCGGGCAGGTTGGTAGGGAGTCAGCAGGTCAGAGAGGTAGGAGGGGACAAGGCCATGGATGGCCTTGAAAGTGAGGATGAGGATCTTGAACTCGATCCTCTGGGGGATGGCGAGCCAGTGGAGTCAGGCGAGGGTGGAAGTGATGGGGTCACGGAGCCTGGTGCGCAAGAATACATGAGCTGCAGAATTTTGGATGATCTGCAGTTTGTGAAGGGAAGAGCTGGGAAGGCCGATGAGGAAGGAATTTCCATAATCGAGTGTTGATGTGACGAATGCGTGGGTGAGGGTTTTGGCAGCCTGAGGGGTGAGGCAGTGGCGGAGTCTGGCAATGTTGCGGAGGTTGTGGTAGGCAGTGCCGGTCATGGCCCGGATGTGGGGGAGAAAGGACAGTTCGGGGTCAAACATTCAACTGGAGAAAGTTGTCCCTCGTCCAGGAGTTGATGTCGGACAGGTAGTCGGTCAGGACACCAGTAGTCCTGGAGTTCAGGGTGGAGGCAGAGAGATAGAGTTGGGTGTCATCCGCATACATATGGAAATTTACCCCATGTCTGCGGATGATGTCGCCAAGTGGGAGCATGTAGAGGGTGAAGACGAGGGAACCGAGGACACAGCCCTGAGGAATACCGCATGAAACGCTGCGGGGGCTGGAGGAGAAGCTGTTTGCAGAGAAGAAGTGGAGGCAGTGTGAAAAGTAAGACCTGAATCAGTCAAGGACAGAACCTTGAAGGTTGAAGTGAGAGGAGAGGCGGTGGAGGAGGATTGAGTGGTCCACAGTATCAAAGGTGGCGGAGAGGTCGAGGAGGACGAGGAAGCAGAGGGAACCCTGGTCACACATGGTCAGGATGTCATTTGTGACCTTGATTAGAGCAGTTTCCAACCAAGTAAAAAACTGAAGAGTCGACATTGAATCCATTGTTTGGCAAACTTTCCGCTATTTGTCCAGCTGGGAGCACCCAACCCGTTTCAGCTTTGGCTACAGCACCGGCTTCCTGCTCGCTCTGGTCCCAACCCCACCCACCTCCATGACCACATACCTTTCTGGATCTCCCTGAGTGAGCTGGTGATGATAGTGGACCACTTCTGTGCCTCGCTGGGGTCCTCGAAGTGGAAGACCAGCTGATCAGAGGGCTGTCCCCGAGAACTGAAACTGTGGCAGCTTGGGCTCTTGATCGCATACGTGATGTCCTTCAAATTAAAATCATACAGGCTCTGGACAGGGAGAATAAAACGGGATCAAATCAGACAGGCTGTGGACAGGGAAAATAAACCAGGGCTGGGGTGAGGGGGGGGGGGGGGGGCGGTGAGAGGATGGAGGGAGAGACAGGAAGGAAGAGCAGGGAGGGAGAGAAAAGGAGAAAGTCCTGGGATTAAATTGCATTCAGCTTTCCAGAGAATCGCTCCTACCTGCAGAAGTCTGGTTGGGAACCTCACTCTAACAATCAGCAACTGTGACTCAATGAGTCAGAGGAAAGATTTTAGGGAACTCTTGAAGAGACAGAACTTGTGAGTCCCGAGGCTAGTGTTCTAGCCTCGCAAGCGACAGGGTCCGTGTGTCATTCCTGGGCGGAGCAAAGCATTGGGCAAGTTTCCTAACTCCCCATGACTCAGAAATACAATGCACTTTACAATATATTCTGTGAAATGCTTTGACATGATAAGGCAGTATATCAAATGCAAGGATTATTATTATTATTATAATAACTTCAGTATGAGTGATTCTAATAACCTAGTTTGAGGTTTCAGCACATTTATGCCTTGTGCTGGACTCTCAAATCGCACATCTGGTCATCGCTTGTTCCTGTCCTGAGCTCACCCCCACAGGGAGATTTCTCCAGCACTCCCTCCATAACCTCTCTCCCTTTATTATCCTCATAAACACTCAACCATGCTTTTCAGTCAGAAACATCTTTAAATCTTCCTTCCTTCTACTCTCATTACGACACCTGAGGAGGACTATGAGTTGTTGCTTTACGTGAGTGGTTTCAAACAACTAACCAAAGGCAGAGCAGCAAATCAACGCTGCAGAACACAATCTTCTCTTCCCATATAAGAGCAGATACCCTTTACCCGCTATAACACCTGTGTAAAGCCCTCCCTCTCCCTCCCTATCCCAGAGATAGATTGTTCGAATGGAATGTGCGCTCTCTCCCTGGTGGGACACATCCCGCTTACCTAATTCGCCTCCCATTTTAAAGTCTTGGTCCCACTCACTTGGAATTCCCCCACTCGCTGGTCTAGCATTTTGAGAATTAGTTTCCCTTTCTAAAGGGAACGTTTTTACACACACACACAAACACCACACGCACTTTCCTTGAGATTCTTTCTGTGGTAGGTGTTTACTCCCAGCCATTCAGGCATTACAGCTACCAGGCACCAACCCTGCAAAGATATGTGACCTGGTGCCACTTCCCTGCATGGTCTCACCCTCTCAAACTGTGCAGTTTCCTGCAACTGCGCATTCCAACCTCAAAACCTCCTCTCTCCCACCTCTGGTCTCTGACGACACTGTGCATTAGGCTGGATCAGTTGTCACTCTCGTTAGGAGATCACACAGGTAAGGAGGGGGGGCAAGGCCATGGAGGGCCTTGAAAGTGAGGAGAATAATTTTGAACTCGATCCTCTGAGGGATGGGGATCCAGAGGAGCCGGGCGAGGGTGGAGGTGATGGGATCACGGAACCTGGTGCGGGAGAGGTCACAAGCTGCACGATGCTCCGTTCTGGATGATCTGCAGCTTGTGAAGGGAAGAGTTGGGAAGGCCCACAAGCAGGGCGTTGGCATAGTTGAGCCTGGTTGTAATGAAGACGTGTATGAGGGTTTCGTCGGCCTAATGGGTGAGGTAGTGGCACAGTTGTGGATGCTGATAGTACCTGAGATGCGGAGGCGCTAATCGGGAGAGCCTCTGTCTTGCTGACATTTAACTGGAGAACGTTGTCACTCATCCAGGATTTGATGTCTGACAGGCAGTCTGTCAGGACATCAGCAGTCCTGGAGTCGAGGGTGGAAGCAGAGAGATAGAGTTGGGCGTCATCCACATACATGTGGAAGTTGACCACATGTCTGAGAATGATGTCACCAAGAGCGAGCATGTACAGGTTCAAGAGGAGACGACCGAGAACAGAGCCCTGAGGAACACCGCACAAAACAGTGGGGAGGCTGGAGAAGAAGCCATTTGTAGAGACAAAGTGCAGCCGGTGTGAGACAATTTACAATAATTTAGACACTCAATCCACGACTGTTTGTGAGACACTACTGTGTGCAATTAGCTGCCGCTTTTCACCCACAAAATACACCGTCACTCAACTTTACAATATACATACCGGGAACAACCAGTCAGCTTAACATCAGTAGTGGGGAAACTTCTAGAGACTAAAATCCAGGACAAAATAAATTTTCCCTTAGAAAAATATGGGTTAATAAAGAACAGCCAACACAGATTTGTTAAAGGCAAATCACATCTAACAAAGTTGATAGAGATTTTTGATGAAGTAACGGAGAAGGTGGATGAAGGTAGTGCAGTTGGTGTAGTTTATATGGATTTTCAAAGGGCATTTGATAAAGTGTCACAAAAGAGACTTGTAAGCAAAATAAGAGCCCACGGTATTAGAGGGACAGGGGCATCATGGATACAGAACTGACTGGGAGACAGAAAGCAGAGAGTGGTGGTGAACGGTTGTTTTTCTGACTGGAGGGAAGAGCGCAGTAGTGTCCCCCAGAGGTCAGTATTGGGACCACTGCTGTTTCTGATCTATATAAATGACCTGGACTTTGGTACAGTACAACTTCCAAGTTTGCAGATAATACTAAGCTAGGAAAAGTAGTAAACAGTGAGGAGGAAAGTAGCAGATAGACTGATAAAATGGGCAGACACGTGGCAGATGAAGTTTAATGTGGAGAAATACAAAGTAATGCATTTTGGGAGGAAGAATGAGGAGAGGCAATATAAGCTGATGGTACAATCTTAAAGGGGGTGACGGAACAGAGAGACCTGGGGGTTCATATAAGTAAATCTTTGAAGGTGGCAGGACAGGTAGATAAAGCTGTTTAAAAAAGCATACGGGATACTAGGCTTTATAAATAAGGGCATAGAATACAAAAGTCAGGAAGTTATGATGAACCTTTATAAATCACTGGTTAGGCCTCAGCATGAGACTGTGTTCAGCTCTGGGCACTACACTTTAGGAAGGATGTCGAGGCATTGCAGAGGGTACAAAGGAGATTTACTAAGATGGTACCAGGAATGAGGGACTTCAGTTATCAGGAGAGGCGAGAGAAGCTGGGATTATTCTCCTTGGAGCAGAGACGGTTAAGAAGAGACTTAATAGAAGTTTTTAAAATTATGAGGGGATTCGATAGGGTGAACAAGGAGAAATTATTTCCACTGGCGGGTGGGTCGGGAAACCAAGGACATCGATTTAAAATAGTTGTTAAAAGAGACAGAGGGGAGGTGAGGAGCAATTTTTTCACAGTGAGTTGTTTGGATCTGGAAGAGACAGCACAGACTCGATGGGCCAAATGGCCTCCTTCTGTGCTGTATAATTCTATGATTCTTATTCTATGATTCTATGATATTCTGTGAAGCGCTTTGAGTTGCCTCAATGACATGATAAGAGACCATATCAAATGCAAGAATTATTATTATTATTATTAAACTGAGGCCCAGCTGCCTATTCAGGTGGATGTTAAAAATCCCATGGCACTATTTGAAGAAAAGGGAGTTTCTCCCGGCGGAGAACAGGAGGTGGATTGGAGGGGTAAGCATGTCGGATAGATAGGGAGGTGTGAGAGAACGAAGGCATTTGAAAACGAGTGAGAGGGTCTTGAAATCAATCTGTTTGGTGATTGGGAGCCAGACTAGGACTTGTGTGATGAAGTTTTGAATTAATTGGATTTTGTGTATGGTGGAGCTGGGGAGACCAGCGAAGAGGGCATTGGAATAGTCCAGCTGGGAAGTGACGATGGTGTGAACGAGAGATTCAAATGCGTCGGTTGTGAGGTAAGACGGAAGCGGACAATGTGATGGAAGTGGGAAAAAAAAAGTTCCTGGTCGGGGACCGGATGCGTGGTAGAAAGGAAAGCTGGTATTCGAACTTGTCGCCTAAGTTGCGCAAGGCTTTGGGGAGTCCGGGGGAGAGCCTGGGAAGGTTGAGGAGTTCAGGAATGAAGACGTTGACAACAACAACACGGTCACATTTGTCTCGCGCCTTTCACGCCGGGGGAGATGAGAGGGGCAAACTGACGGCCGCGTTCACCCACACAAAACAATCACTGTGCTTAAAAAAGTATATCCTGTGACGTGCTTCAGGGCAACCTCCTTACGCGAAAGGCACGATACCGAATGCAAGAATTAATAATAATAATCATTATGGATTGCATTTATCTAATCCCCTTCACGTCGAATAAGGTCTCGGGAGTGCTTTGCAAGGGCAGGGCAGGCGGCAAGCGGTTTGAGGGGGTGGGGGTGGGGTGGGGTGGGGGTGGGGGGGAAGGAAGGAAGGAAGGAGGTGACTGGCATCTGATGCCCTTCAAAGAGTGTCATGGGATCTTTGACAGCCATGGGATCTCCTGCACAGGCGGGAGGACAGCATTCTCGCTTTAACATCTCGTTCAGAGGGACGAAGGAAACGGTGTGGCGGCAAAGTTGAGACTTTCGCACAAGTTTGGCCTGAGTTAGGAGCCCGAGGCGAGAAGTTTTCAGCGGGTGTTGTGCGAGCGAGTCCCCGGTGTGGGAAGTCCGAGTCGCTGGGACCGGTGCTGGCGATGGTGAGCTCACGGCAGTGTGAGGCTGAGGGGGGGGGTGGGGGTGAGCGCGGGGGGGGTGACCGGCGGCCGCTTACCAGGCTCTTGGTCAGGCGGCTGTGCCTGAGGTTGACCCGGAGCCTGAACTCCCCGGGCCGCTCCATGCTGAGCAGCAGGAACAGCGGCTGCTCCCCGTCTCCCAGAGCCCCGGGGCCCGGCCCGCCGCACACCCGGCACGACATCAGCACCGTGGCCTCCTGCTGCTGCTGCTGCTGCTGCTGCGGCGGCGGCTGTTGCTCCGAGCGCTCGGCCGCAGCCGCCGCCGCCACCGCCGCCTGTCCAGGCGCCTCCTTGGCCGCCATTTGCCCGTCACCGAGAATAACAAACCGCCCGGACCGCTTTCACCGTCACGACCCTCAGCCGGCGACGGCTCACTGACCAACACCGTCCGGGGTGGAAACAGCGGGCAGGACAAAAGGTTCCTACCCTGCACTGGCCTGCGGCGCATGCGCAGGGAGAGAGAGAGAGGGCATGAGCTGGGCTCAAGGGCAGCATAACAACAACAACAACAACAAGACGCTGGACAGTAAAAGTGGCCAACAGGGAAAAAACTGCATTACTGCAGAAAATTCCGCCCCATCCACCGCGTCTCACTCCGCAGGCCACCTGCTTCACGGCCCCCGAGCCGCCTTGCTCGCCCCTCTATTGGCGGGCGAGCCTTCCGCCGCTCTGCACCCACACACTGGAACTCCCTCCCGCAGTCCCTCTGCCCTCGGGCCCCCTCCCTCGCCACCTTCAAGACCCACTTCAAGAGCCACCTCTTCGACCATGCGTTCGATCTCCCTGCCTCCCCACCTGCCCTGCACCCTCCCCTACCCCGACCCCCAGCTCGGGTCCATAACTCTGTCTGTCCCGCACCCGGCCCCATGACCCCATCAACCCCACCCTCGCCCGGCTCCACTAGCTCCTCAGCCCTCAGAGGATAGAATTCAAAATCCTCGTCCTCACTTTCGAGGCCCTCCACAGCCTCGCCCCTCCTACATCTCTAACCTGCTAACTAACCCCCTATCATCCTGCCCGCTTCCTCCACTCGGCAGCCTCTGGCCTGCTCCATGTCTCCCACTGTTGCCACAACCTGGGTACAATATTCTCTGAAATTAGGTAAACAGGATTCGTCCCTCTGGGAAGAGAAAGTGCATTCCATTCAAGACGCAGAGAAATTTCCATGTTACGTGGCAATTTTCAAGCAGTACCATGGGATATTTAACGTCGACTTGAACGGGGTTACCGGGTTCGATTCCCGGCAGAGCGAAACCTCGGGCAAGTTTCCTTACTCCACACGCCCTATTTTATTATCTTCACCTTCTGTTATGTATTATTTGTGTCTATGTGCGGTTGATAGCTTGATGCCTTCATTTGAGAAAAGTCCAGAAAACATGCCGTAGATTCGGAGAAACTCATGCATGCACAATAGAAATTTAAGCGCATTCCCTTTAAATACCTTTATATTTAAAGATATTATTTTATTTAAGGAACTAAAGTTTGTTAGTACAAATATCACAATACAACAGACAGGTCAATCGTAGTAACAAATATCTATATCAAAGTCAGTTGGCAAATTCACAAACAGCAGGCAAAAAAATCTTGCCTCAGACGAAAAGTCTCTTGCTTCAGACCCAAAATCTTTTGCTTGGGTATATTGATCTCAAAGTCAAAGTTGCTGATGGACAACTGAGCTGTGCACTTTATTTGACAGTGGTTTATACATTGTTATTCTTGTTGTCCCGTTAGGTTTAAAACGATTTCAGAGGTTCTAGAATTTCTGCAGGTTCCTTCTTCCTGAAATTGCTGAAGTTGGTGAAAGTTGATGAAACGATGGAAACAGTCTAAGTCTGACAGATTTTAACCCCGAAGACAAACGTTGCTTCACCACTTCATATCATCACCTGAAAAAATGGCTGTTGTGCAGACAGCACCTGATATATTATGTCCTAGGGTGAACAAAGTATAGTTCAGCCATACACTTTTATAATCGATTGTCCACAGGCAGGATGAGAATAAACAATCTTTCCTTTCTCACGTTCATGAAGCAATTATCTCATTGCCAGACTCTTGCATTTTGTATTTTGCGTCAGATAAAATTGGTCATTCACTTCACTTAGGTGTCAGCCTGATTCATTTGGTAGCACTCTTACCTCTGATTTGGAAGATTCTGGGTTCAAGCCCTATGCCGGCACTTTAAACTTATATAAATAACTGATACTCCAATGCAGTGAGGGGGTGCCTTGCATTGTTGTCTTCAGCTGAGACATTACATTGAGGTCCTGTCTGCCTGTTCAGTGGACATTAAAGGCTCCATGGCACTATTCAAAAGGAAAAGTGGGTTTCTCCCCTTGTCTTGGCCACCAATCCCCTGAATCATTGAATAACACAATTCTAACCTGGAGGATACCAAGCCTTCAACATGAGTGTAAGTACAGTGAAAAGAAGCTGTTTCTATTAATCACACATTGTGGAGTCCTGTAACTCAGTGGTTAGAGCACTCGCCTTGCAAACAAGAGACCTGGGTTCAATTCCCGGCAGGACGAAACCTTGGGCAAGTTTCCTTCCTCCACACGCCTAAATAATAATAATAATAATAATCCTTGCATTTGATATAGTGCTTTTCACGTCGGGAGGACGTCCCAAAGCGCTTCACAGAACACACTGTAAAGTGAATTGACTGTATATTTGTGGGCGAAAGCGGCAGCCAATTGTGCACAGCAATGTCCCACAAACAGTCGTAGATTGAAAATGACCAATTTATTATTGTTTTTTTTTTTGGAGGGATTATTATTAGGCTCTGTGTGGAGTAAGAAACTTGCCCAAGGTTTCGTCCTCTGCCTGGAATTGAACTCAGGTCTCTTGCTTGCAAAGCGAGTGCTCTAACCACTGAGCTACAGGACTCCACGCCTAATAATAATCCCTCAAGAAAAAAAAACAATAAAAGTGGTCACTTCAATCCACGACTGTTTGTGGGACACTGCTTTGCGCAATTGGCTGCCGCGTTTCGCCCACAAATATACAGTCAATTTACCTTACAATATATTCTGTGAAGTGCTTTAATACATCTAGAAGACATGAAAAACGCTACATCAAACGCAAGGATTATTGTATTATTATCTCACATAAAAAGAATAATAAAATTATTATTCTGCAGAATTGTTATTACACCTGCAGATTTGTTATAGAACACGTTAACACAACAATGATTAAAACATGAATTTGTTATGGGAAAACATCTCCAACAATTATAAACAATTCATCTTGACGTTTTTCTAGTTACATCACCATTTTTAACCATTAATCAAAATGGTGTCCAATCATCATAAGCATTTCTAACCATTGATTAAAGTAATTCTTTCAACTACATGGGTTAACATATATTCACAATTTCAGTTATGGAGCGGGATCACAACACTTGTGTAGTTAAGTGTGTTTAGTATTTATTATTCCCTTGCATCGTTTCATCCAATTTGTCAGGAAGTGCTAATTTATTAATGCCTAGGGTTGTGTGTTTTTTAGAACGACAAAAACATTTTGTTGAGTTTGCTTGACCATACTTTCTCAAGTCTCTGTCTTAAGGAGGGAAGGGATACACATAAACAGGTCGATCCTATATCACAGTCTGCTAGTGCAATGCTGACAGAAGTTTCCCAATTTGCTATAATTTAAACAGCAATTGGCAGTCCCGGTCATCGGGGTAGGTAACGCTCATGAGTGAGGTACACCTTAAATTAGGGAAGTTGCACTCAAAGAGAGGGATCGAACACGGAGGCCACCTAGTACTCTCTGTGAGGTTGGGGGAGTTACGTATTGCAGGTATACATGTCGGGGTGACAGCTGTCGCACCAGGCAGGCTTGATTTAATGTCTCATCTGAAGAAAGGCACCTCCAACAATGTAGTGCACCCCCAGCCCTCCATTGGAGTGTAAGCCTAGACGGTGAGTTCAAAGTCTCAAAGTGGGGCTTGAACCCACAATCTCCTGACTCTGAGGTGAGAGTGCTACAACTGAGCCAGCCTGGCACCTGGTTTGCGTTCTCTTAAGCATGTAACGTGTTTCTGCTTCTATCAAACACCTAGCTGACAAATATAAACCTCATGGCTGTGTGTGGGATCTTGCAGTGAGCAAAATGGCTGCCTTCTTGGTCCACAAAATCAATCATTACACTTGGCATTAATTACTGGGAAGCTCCTTGAGACATTGACAAATATCATTGCCATTGAAAGAGTCGTCTGGCAAGCGTTCTCACTGCTTCTCCAGCTAGGACTAACTAACCCATCAGGGCTTTGGCTTGCAGGGTTAACAGGAGCTGAGTGGGAAGTGGGTGGGGAACTTGAAGCAAGTCGTTTTTCACTGAGCGAAGGGAGCAGCTGGGGTAAAGGGTCATTACACTTGACGACATGACTGCGAAATGCTTCGAGATGTTTCGGTCGCTGAAACACTCCGACCTGCTCACACACCATTCTGCTGCTCTGCTCTGTTAACTCCGGCTTTCTATACGTCCCTTCAGCGTGGAGTCCTGTAGCTCAGTGGTTAGAGCACTCGCTTTGCAAGCGAGAGACCTGAGCTCAATTCCAGGCAGAGGGCGAAACCTTGGGCAAGTTTCCTTACTCCACACAGAGCCTAATAATAATCCCTCCAAAACCCAAAACAATAATAAATTGGTCATTTTCAATCTACGACTGTTTGTGGGACATTGCTGTGCGCAATTGGCCGCCGCGTTCGCCCACAAATATACAGTCAATTCACTTTACAGTGTGTTCTGTGAAGCGCTTTGGGACGTCCTCCCGACGTGAAAAGCGCTATATCAAATGCAAGGATTATTATTATTATTATTATCCTCGTCACTCCACCGTTGGCGGCTGTACTTTCAGCCGCCACGCCCTGAAACTCCGGAATTCCTTGCCTCATCCCCTCCATCGTGCTCCACCCCTTTGCTCCTCTTCACATCTCAGGGTCCCGCAGCTCTGTGGTAGAGCACTCGCCCTGCAGGGAGAGAGAGACCCGGGTTCGATTCCCGGCGGGGCAAAACCTCGGGCAGGTTTCCTTACTCCACGCGCCTGATAACAAGCCCTCAAGAGAAAAAAATAATAATAATTTGGTCACTCAACCCCCGACTGTTTGTGGGGCACCGCTGTGCGCAATCGGCTGCCGCGTTTCGCCCACAAATATACAGTCAATTCACTTTACAGCCTATTCTGCGAAGCGCTTTGAGACGTCTCGAAGACGTGAAAAGCGCTGTATCAAATGCAACGATTATTATTATTATTATTATTATTATTATTTGATTATTCATAAAATCTGTCCCTCACGTCCCGGCTGATTGCCGGACGTGAACGTGAGCAAAAGTGGCTGCTGAGATCTCCTTCTTTTAAAGATAAACACACACACACACACACAGTCACTACAGTTGACAGCAACGTGAGGTCTGGGCGGCAACGATGAGCCGCTACATGCGGATGCGAGGCTTGTTATGGTTAAGGGGGAGGAGAGACTGACAGTGGAGCGAGCCAATCGCCAGCCGGATTGTCACGGGTGAGAGGCGGGACACGCGGCGCACTGACCAATGATAGCAGAGAGCTGGCGGCCGGCACGAGACGCCATTTGAACGTGAACCGTCACCGCTGACTCACTGACAGCTGCCCAGCCGTCAGCTGGAGACTCGGTCTCTTGACTGACAGTCCTTTCAGCCAATAGTCGAAGGCGTCTTTTGATTGACGATCCGTTCAACCAATGGTAAAGCGCTCAGCTGGTGACGGAACCGACATCCCGATCAATGGCGGGAGGGCTCTCTTTCTCGAGAAGGATGATGTTGTGATGCAACCTGCGGGGGCGGGTACGTATCTGAGTGACGGTGGGCGCAGCCAATCAGATTGTGGGAAGGGGGTGAAGGGCGGGGAAGTTGGCGAGGTGTCCGCTCGTAGCCAATGGGAGAGCAAGCGGAGGCGGGGTGGGTATTTAAGGGAAGGGGCGGGGAGGCGGGCAGTGAGACAGCGAGTGAGCGTTCGAGGGTCAAGCGGTTGAAGAAACTGAAGTGCGTCAGTGACAACGGCCGCAGCCTCCAGGAGAGAGAGAGAGAGAGAGAGAAAAGGCCTACGTCGTTAATGTGTGCGGAGACTCGGGAAGTGATGGTTCCTCAGGCGGCCTTTCACTCCCAGTCCAGGGCCTTTGCGCCGCCGCGCTGCTCGAGTTTCCAACAGCCGAACTTTATGAGCCCGAGAACGGCGGGCGCCTTCACCAGAAGACGGGGTTTCCAATAAAGACCCAGACACCTTTATCATCTGATCGTCTGAGCCGACGGGATCCCAGGTCATCGCAAGTGTGAGTATCCCGTCAGTGAGTGGGGAAGGGGGTGATCGAGGGAGAGAAAGCGTTGGTTGGGTTGGGGTTGGGGTGGGCGAGAGAGTTGATTGGTGGGAGCGAGAGGGTTGGTTGGGGGAAATGGTGGGTGTTTGGGGGGGGGAAGAGGGTTGGTTGGGGGGGGGCGAGAGCGTTGGTTGGAGGGGGGGAGAGGATTGGATGAAGGGGGTGACAGGGTTGGTTGGTTGGGGGGACGACAGGGCTGGTTGGGTTTGAAGGGCGAGAGCGTTGGTTGGGTTTGAAGGGCGAGAGCGTTGGTTGGGTTTGGGGGGGGAGCGAGAGCGTTGGTTGGGTTTGGGGGGGGAGCGAGAGCGTTGGTTGGGTTGGGGGAGAGCGAGAGCGTTGGTTGGGTTGGGGGAGAGCGAGAGCGTTGGTTGGGTTGGGGGGGAGCGAGAGCGTTGGTTGGGTTGTGGGGGGAGCGAGAGCGTTGGTTGGGTTTGGGGGGGAGCGAGAGCGTTGGTTGGGTTGGGGGGGGGAGAGAGAGGGTTGGTTGGGTTGGGGGGGAGAGAGAGGTTGGTTGGGTTTGGGGGGGAGAGAGAGGGTTGGTTGGGTTTGGGGGGGAGAGAGAGGGTTGGTTGGGTTTGGGGGGGAGCGAGAGCGTTGGTTGGGTTTGGGGGGGGAGCGAGAGCGTTGGTTGGGTTTGGGGGGGGAGCGAGAGCGTTGGTTGGGTTTGGGGGGGGGAGAGCGTTGGTTGGGTTTGGGGGGGAGCGAGAGCGTTGGTTGGGTTTGGGGGGGGAGCGAGAGCGTTGGTTGGGTTGGGGGGGGAGCGAGAGCGTTGGTTGGGTTGGGGGGGGAGCGAGAGCGTTGGTTGGGTTTGGGGGGGGAGCGAGAGCGTTGGTTGGGTTGGGGGAGGGGAGCAAGAGCGTTGGTTGGGTTGGGGGAGGGGAGCGAGAGCGTTGGTTGGGTTGGGGGGGGAGCGAGAGCGTTGGTTGGGTTTGGGGGAGCGAGAGCGTTGGTTGGTGGGGGAGAGCGAGAGCGTTGGTTGGGTTTGGGGGAGGGGAGCGAGAGTGTTGGTTGGGTTTGGGGGAGGGGGAGCGAGAGTGTTGGTTGGGTTTGGGGGAGGGGGAGCGAGAGCGTTGGTTGGGTTTGGGGGGGAGGGAGAGCGTTGGTTGGGTTTGGGGGGGGAGCGAGAGCGTTGGTTGGGTTTGGGGGGGGAGCGAGAGCGTTGGTTGGGTTTGGGGGGGAGCGAGAGCGTTGGTTGGGTTTGGGGGGGAGCGAGAGCGTTGGTTGGGTTTGGGGGGGAGCGAGAGCGTTGGTTGGGTTTGGGGGGGAGCGAGAGCGTTGGTTGGGTTTGGTGGGGGGGAGCGAGGTAGTGTGCTGTGGCGATCAGACTGTCAAGTGCTCTGGGACCCTACCCCGTGTAAAGGTGCTATATAAATGCAAGTTGCTGTTGCGGCAGTGGGGCAGAACTCGCTTGTAATAACAATTTATTATTCTTGGCTATAATAATAGAATATACATATCCTGCCTCCAGGATAGGATATTAGAAGGTATTCTCGATATAAGCGAAGGAAAATGAAACTATGTATCTAATCCCAATGGATATTGCCCGACAGTATATCGCTGAGGTGTACCTGCTGTGAAATAATAATAACAACAATCCTTGCATTCAAGATATATATAGTTTGTGGTACCATAACTTTGGTTAATCACAGAGAGATTATACAAATGAGATTATACATAGAATATGCTGCTCCTTTTAGTATCGCTGGATGGTACACACATTTATTGTTAGTGTATATAGATGAGTTATACTACAGTATTAGTATCACCGACTTCAAGGTATATGTGGAGAGAGTGAGCGCTGTGCATGCAACACTTGATAGATGTTAGTACTCACCTTGACTCTCTTGAATTATCCATTGGACTAGTTAGGCTGAATGGCCTAATTCCATTCTGTGACTCTCAAAGTAATTCGTTGTAACTTGACTCTGACTTGCCATGGTTAAAAATACATTTTTATTTGATGAATTAGCTTTTTGTTTCTTTCACTTAGTTCCGCCCTGCTGGGAATAGAGAAACCAAGGTTCGATTCCCAGCAGGGCGAAACCTTGGGCAAGTTTCCTTTCTCCACACCCCTGATAATAATCCCTCAAGAAGAAAAGAAAAAAACAATAAAAACCAATAAAAAACAACAATCAGTACTCAATGATATGTGTCCAAGCTGTGGGCAGGAAAATGGTGACAGTGATAGAATTATAAAGGGGGTGAAGGAACAGAGAGACCTGGAGGTTCATATAAGTAAATGTTTGAAGGTGACAGGACAGGTAGATAAAGCTGTTTTTTTAAAAAAAGGATATAGGATTCTAACCTTTATAAATAGGGGCATAGAATATAAAAATCAGGAAGTTATGATGAACTTTTATAAAAATAGGTCTCAGCTAGAGTACTGTGTTCAGTTCTGGGCACCACACTAGGAAGGATGTCAAGGCATTGGAGAGAGTACAAAGGAGATTTACCAGGAAGGTACCATCAATGAGGGACTTTAGTTTTGAACAGAGGCGAGAGAAGCTGGGATTATTCTCCTTGGAGCAGAGAAGCTTAAGAGGAGACTTAAGAAGTTTTCAAAATTATGAGGGGATGTGATAGGGTAAACAAGGATTGGGTCAGTAACGCGAGGACACTGATTTAAAATAGTTGTTAAAAGAAACAGAAGAGAGGTAAGGAGACATTTTTTCACATAGCAAGTTGTTCGTATCTGAAATGCATTGACTGAAAGGGTGGTGGAAGCTGATTTGATATCAACTTTTAAAAGAGAAGTGGATGGTTATATGGAGTGAGTGCGGGGGAGTCGGATTGAATTGGATAGCTCTTTTCAAATAGCAGGCACAGACACAATGGGCCGAATGGCCTTAATCTGTGCTGTATAATTCTATGATTCAATTATTTTAATGCGCTCAGCAGGTAATCCCCAGTACCAGATAGAGAGGTTCCAGGTGGGTCTGCAATGCTCCAGGGCATTTCTCATGATAGACCAGCTAGGTTTATTGGTCAGAGGGCAGACCAGTCACTGGGAGCTCCTGTGAGCTCTGCAAGCCAAAGCCTTGATTAATTTGGTGGACCCATCTGGACATGCCAGACAGTGAGAAATATGCCAGACGGTGCTTTTGATGATAAAGTTGCAGGTTTAACTGGTTAAACTCCCGACTATGCAGTACCCCATTATTTTTAGGTAAGCAGGGTGGTTCCTCTGGGGAAAGAGTGCACATTCCAGTCCAGACATCGGGAAAATTCTCCATGTAGGTGGAATACAAATTTGGAACTCTGTCCGGTGTTCTTACTATTAAGTAAGTATTAAGGGTCTGAAATACTGTACACTTTCCAGCGCCTTGGGACGTCCTCCTGACGTGAAAGGCACTATACAAATGTAATCTTCTTGTTGTTGTTAAGCAAGTGGATGGGTTTCAGACATTCGGCTGACCGATAACAATATCGGTTTTCTCAGAGCGTTTCATCTACCACTATCAGCTGTGTACAGCTGTTGAGATTACTATGTGGTTTATGTACTGCACAGTGGTGCAGAACAGAGGGTCGGGCACACGACTGTCTGTCTGAGCTGGGAGTGCTCTCACTGGCATTGTGTGTCTGACGTTGCTGCTGTTCAGGACCCTGAACTTGGTGTTGAAGTTTCCAGGAGACAGCTTTCATCCCCGCCTGCAATAAATCTCAGAACATTTCCTGCTCTTTCAGTGCCTGGTGGGTTTTCGGTTGATTGTTTTCCTGTGGTTGCACACTGTAGGTGTGGGCAGTGAGTTGTGGATTGAGCTGGCTAGTGTTTGGGGTGTCCAGACTTTTTGACAAGGGAAAGGCTCTGGAGGTAGGGGAGGTGGAAGGATTATCAGTGTGGTGTTCTGTACGGTGTTTGGGATTATTGTCCCACAGCGAAGTTTACATTGTGATGCAGCCTAAAAACCCGTGGAAATCTCCACTTGTTTCTCCTCTTCCACCCTAGGAACTATTCAGCTAACGCGCACTGCTGTGCTATCCCTAAAGGGAGTGCCGATGCCTGCTGACCGTAATGTGGCCTGTAGGGTACAGGATGTGCTTGTTCTTTTCTGGAGAATTTGGACTTGGCATCAGAATAACATTAATCTCTCTCTCCTCTTTCCCCCACCCCCCTCCCCCCCACTATCAGGTCTGAAACCCTAGAGCCCTGCGTTGAAGACTACGTGTGAAGTGAGCTGTGTCTTGCAACATGAAGCTGCTGGAAAACTGCAGTTTTGAGGCTATGAACTCTCAGCTGACCATAGAGACTGGCGACTCACGTATCCAAGGCCGGTGAGTGCTGTCTGACTCTTCTCCTGCATGATCTCTTGTCCTCCAGTAACTTGCATGCCAGCTCTATGGGGACTCACTCTCTTAACTGCATGGAGGCCAGAACCCAAGTTATTAATCCAATTATATCAGAAATTGCTAAAATGACCTCTTTGTTGAAAAGGAGAGTTTATTTTTATAGCACATTATTACATCGCCAAGCGCAGTGAAATCGGAGCTCCAGCCTGCCTGTTCTTGTGAACTTTAAAGACTCCCATGACACAGTATGAAGAGAGAAGGCAATTCCTCTTGATGGCCTGGCTGACAATCCTTAAGGTTAATCATTCATTCCCTTCATGGCTTAAAGCGCTTCCAGATATTGCTGTAGAGTATAGTGACTGTTTAACCAACATGGCAGAAATTTACGCCAACAAATCCTGTAAACAGTCATGAGGGAAAGGATCGATTTTTAATTTGGGGGATTGTCGGCCAGGACCCGAGGAGAAACTTTATTCTCTTTTCCAGTTTGGCATCTCAGAATCCTTAATGTCCACCTGATCAAACAGCGTTTCACCCACAAAATACACAAGATACACTTTACAGTATATCCTATGCTTTGAGACGTCTCAGTGTTATTGACCAAAGGCACGGATAACACATTTAATGAGGGTATTTAAATGGGGAGAGAGGGATTTTGGAAGAGTGTGCCGGAGAACAGGGGGATGGTGTCCAAAGGCTCCACGACTGAGGTAGAGGGTGAAGTAGACCAAAGGTGAGAAAGTGTAGGTTTCCAGGCTGGAATATAGAGTTGCAGATGATTACACAGAGTAAGCAGGTGAGACCGTGCAGGGATTTGGGACGTAACAGAAATCTTGAGGATGAGGGAAACTTATTTAACACGTGGTAAAACGTGCAGATTGAGGCCTGGTATCTGAATAACTTTGCTGTGCGCATCCCCTGTAATACCTGAATGGTTGTGAACAATTACCAACCACAGGAGGAATCTTGAGATATGCTCGCGTTTGTGTGCATGTGTTTTTTTGAAACATCCTTTTATATAAAAAAAATTCTAAAGAAGTAAGTTGTACAGAGATGAGGTAGTTAACAGCTAACAGTCCTCCACATAAATTGGCCATTCACCTCATAGCTGTGCATGGGACCTTGCTGTTTGCTCTGTTTGTCCACAAATGGTCATAAGTTTGAAGCAGTTTGAGACATTTTAACGTTCAGGTGCTGGATCGAATGTGAGGATTATTATTCTAGATTCTGCTTACAACAGGTTGTGAAGTTCTGTAGCTCAGTGGTTAGAGCACTCGCCTCACAGGCGAGAAACCTAGGTTCGATTCCTGGGCAGGGCGAAATGTTGGGCAAGTTTCCTTACTCCATATGTCTCTGTTTACTTTGCAGTAAATAGCAACCCCGGTTGTTGGTCGATTAGCAGATCACTTTTCAGGGTGTAATAATTCCTTCAATTTTTTTTAAAAAATAATAAATTGGTTACTTCAATCCACAACTGTTTGTGGGACACTGCTGTTTTTGACCACAAAATATACAGGCAATTCTGACGTGTTTGACCCACAAAATATACAGGCAATTCTGTGAAGCGCTTTGAGATGTCTTGAAGACATGATAAGGCTCTATGTCAAATGCAAGGATTATTAAGATTATAACCGAGCACAACAATGCTATTCCGTTTGCATTGTGGCCACGTTCAGCTGTTTCAACCCTGTTTCCTGACAATGTTTTGAAACTACGTCTCAAGGGTTTGTGAGCAGGAGAAGAAGTGATGAGCACATTATGATGTGGTTACAGGTCACTGGGTATGTACGTGTTAAGTGTTGTGCAACAATAAAGAAATTGACTGTTCCTGTCAGTGTATTTCTGTGATCTCTGAAATTGCAACTCTTAGAACAGCGCAGAAGATTGTGGTGGGAGGAGGATGACAATGCCTCCGTTTTATCCGAATTGCTCTCACTCGCTTCAGCTACGAGGGTGCATCAGTCTGGGGCTTTTCACTGTCCAAGGGTCACACTGTCTCAGTCACTTGCACTCTCGGCTCTGATTCAGAAGGTTGCAAGTCCAAGGCCCACATTGGGGACTTTAAGCTCATTAGGCTGACACTCTGCGGTGGTGGGGGCGGGTAGGGAGGGAGAGGGAGCATTGTCGTTAAACCAAGGTCCAATCTGTATGTTCATGTGGACGTCAAGGATCCTATGGCACTATTTGTAAAGGGAAGAGAGTTTCTCCTGGTCAAAAATCCCCTGAAATAAAATTGGTCTGTTGTTTGCTGGTTGCTTGTGGGAGATTGCTATGCACCCAGTGGCTGCCGTTTTCACCTGCAAAATAAACTCTACACTTCACAATAAAATCCTGTGAAGTGCTTTGAGACATTTCAATGATGTGGTGAGGTGCTATATCAAATGCAAGTATTATATAACTGCTGGTGAGTGCATAATCTGTGCATAATCTGTATCTGTTCCACTGGTTTATATGGGAGAGCTGCTCTTTGCTCTTTTTAGTGGAAAGCTGATATTGGCTTATTAAATAGGCAGGCAGCAACAATTTCTCCTTGGGGCCTCCAGCATTTGCCTCTCCTGTATAGCTTCATGGCTTTGTCCACTGGTAACTCGGTCTGCTCTCTTCTGTCATCCACTGTAGTTTCTTGGTTCCCCTTTCCCGAGCCCCCTCATTATGAATTTATCTCTCAGACCGTGCACTCAAGGTAAATGTTTAAATAACTATGAAAAGGGAATTGGATATTTACTTGAAAAGAAAAAAATTGCAAGGCTATGGTGAAAGAGCAGGGGAGTGGGATTTATTGGTTAGGTTTTTCAAAGAGCTGGCACAGGCACAATGGGCCAAATGGCCTCCTTGTGTGCTGTAGGATTCTATGAAGATCGTCACTCAGCATGAAAAGTGGTGTGTAAGAGCAGAGAGTTGTTTACGAGGAACCATGATGTTTGGATCCGTGGGTCTTATCCATCTGTCCGCACGTACTCTGTAACTCTGCATCCTGCTGTAAATTGATAACCTGGCAGTGTAATGTGTCCATTCCAGGGCCCAACTACAAATAGTCCTCCCAAAGCTGATTTGCTGAGTAATAGTGATATTTTCTGTTTTTCTTGTTATCCTCAATTTGCATAAGTGTTTTCACTTTCCCTCTAGGGAAAGAAAATGGACAGAAGAAAGCAATTTACACTCTTATAATAATAATCTTTGCATTTGGTACAGCACCTTTCACGTCAGGAGGGCTTCATCATGGGATATAATAATAATAATAATAATCCTTGCATTTGATATAGCACTTTTTACGTCGGGAGGACGTCCCAAAGCGCTTCACAGAACACACTGTAAAGTGAATTGACTGTACACCCGTGGGCGAACGCGGCAGCCAATTGCACACAGCAACGTCCCACAAACAGCCATAGTGCAAATCACCAATTTTAATTTGGACTGTTGACAAAGACATCCTGGTAAACCCCCTTTGCTTTTCAAAAAGTGCCACGGGATCTTTAACGTCGACCTGGACGGGCGAAAGATTTAACGTCTCATCCAAAGGTAGACAACTCCAATAATGCAGCACACCGATAGTACACAGCTATGTGGGGCTTGAACCCACAGCTACCAAGTGGGCTAGGCTGAATCACATATTATAATAATAATAATCCTTGCATTTGATATAGCGCTTTATCACGTTGTTGAGATGTCTCAAAGCGCTTCACAGTAAGTTTCCTTACTCCACACACCTCTGTTTACCGAGCAGTAAGTAGGAGCCCGGTTGTTAGTTGATTGGCGGTTCACTTTTCTGGGGTAATAATCTCTCAATCCACGACTGTTTGCGTTGTGCGCAATTAGCTGCCGTGTTTCACCCACAAAACGCACAGTCCATTCACTTTATAGTTTAGAACAGAACACTAAGTGTTCTGGGACGCTACCTCGTGTGAAGGGTACTTTATAAATGCAAGTTGTGGTTGTTGGAAGTTTTACAGTTTATCCTGTGAAACGTTTTGAGACGTCTCAACGGCTTGATAGGGCGCTATAATCGAATGCAAGGATTATTAATATTGTCAAAACCATCTTAAAATCTGCCTCTTCAACTGTGCCTATGGTCATCTCTCCCCCTCTCGCTTTCTCCTTCCTTAGAGTGTGAAGTCACTGTGAAGCCCATCAAGATAATTCCTTCAAAAAAAATTGGTCACTCAATCTATGACCGTTTGTGGGTCACTGCTGCACTCAATTGGCTGCCGTGTTTCTCCTGCAAAATATACAGTCAATTCAAGACTGAGACCGATAGATTTTTAAAAACTAAAGGGATTAAGGGTTATGGGGATAGGGCGGAATGGAATTAGGTTAGAAGATCAGCCATGATATTATTAAATGGCGGGGTAGGCTCGAGGGGCCGAATAGCCTAGTCCTATTTCTTCTGTTCTTATTCACTTTACAGTATATTCCGTGAAGCGCTTTGAGACATCTTGAAGATGTGTTAAGACACTATATCAAATGCAAGGATTATTACCATTATTATTATAAGCCCATCAATATACTATCCTACATGAAGGGCACATATAAATGCAAGTTGTTCTATCCATGCATAGCAGTACTTTGAGTTGTTGTGATCAGCTGCCCTAAAAATGAAAGCGCTTTCATTTATTTTTCTAAGATCGTAAAACCACACACACACACGCGCAGGATAGATTTAGTGTTGCTGTCTGCAGTGAGTATTGTGAGCGCTGGCTGGCTGCCAGGTTGCTAAAGCTGTTGATCTGTTGGGGAGCATGAGTGAAAACCAAGATCTGTTTTCAAAGGTCAGATGTTTTTTGTCTGATTGCCTGCAGCGCAGAGCGAATGGTGGGGGTTGTCTTGTAGAGTGAAACGTTCTCTGTGCTCACTGGCTGATCCACTTTTGCGTCAGTCAGGATTGTTGCTAGGGACAGAGCGAGCGCACATAAATAGACTGGTTGAGCCGAGCTTTCAATGCTGAGGTCAGATTGCATTGAGAGGTAGAGGGAGAAGTGGGCTGCAGCGTCTCTATCGGACGACTGGTACTTCACAGCTTTATCTTCCAGTGTCTTAGGGCTGACTATTGTTGTATCCTCTTTACCGATCTGCCTATAGATAGCTGGTCATAAAGCAAAAGTAGCCAGAGTTCATCTTCGCTGCCCATCAATTCTTAATGCTTGTTAATATTTTACTGTAGCATGGTTCTGTGAAACTGCAGGTTAACTTCATACTGTTCCTGTAATCTTTTGTCAGTAAATAATAAACCTTGCATTTGATATAGCACCTCATCATGTCATTGAAACGTCTCAAAGCTCTTCACAGAGTATACTGTAAAGTGAATTTACTGTGTATTCTGTGGGCAAAACACTTTTTTTTAAAAAATGGGAGGATGACATTCTAGCTGATCTACCATTTCAGTCCACTGTGGACAGTTTCATGCCTTTTCTCCATATAACTCAATACCTGTTACTTTTGCAAATCTCGCTCACTCCCTTTTCAACATCCCAATGAATTTCATATCCACCTTGGATCGGAAGTAATTCCGAGGTCCAGTCTGTGCCTGTTTATGTGGATGTAATGGATCCCGTAACACTATTGGAAATGAGAAGGGAATTTCTCTCAGTGTCCGGCTGACATTCCTCCAGATTAATTGTTCAACTCTCCTCACGGCTGTTAGTGTGACCTTGCTGTGTGCAAAATAGCTGCTGGGTTTGCCTGCCAAACAGCCACTACACGTGCACTTGGAATTGCATTCTTTGGGTGAATGGATAACCCATTATTTCAGGCTGGTGCTCTAATAATTACAATACTTGCATTTGTTATAGCGCCTTTCATTGACGTCTCAAAGCACTTTACAGGATTTACTGTAAAGTGTTGTGAATGTGTATTTTGTCGGTGAAATACACCTACACCTATAGCTCTTCTCTGCCCCCACACTCTGGAACTCCATCCCACGGTCCCTTCACCTCGCTTCCTCCCTCGCCTCCTTCAAGGCCGGTCTCAAGACCCTTCTCTTCGATTGTGCCTTTGAATCGCCCTCCCACCTCTCTGCCTTCCCTCACCCTTACACCACCCCTCCCCCATGCTCGGGTCCTGACAACTGACTGCTCAGCGCTTTGGGACGTCCTCCCGACATGAAAGGCGCTCTATAAATGTCATTTTGTGGTTGCTGTTGAACGTCACTCTTGGCACTTATCCTGGGAATAACGGCATCAACAACTTGCATATACACGCGGGGTGCTTGAACTAGACCTTCAGTCAAGGTTGTTGATTGTTATTAGTATCATGTCTGACTGTCGTGGGTGGCTCGTGTTACTGAGTGTGAGACGGCTGGTGCAGGGACAGATGCTCGCTGCTTCTGTTGCCCTTAGAGTAGACGTATTTACTCTAGCTCCGTACAATGTTGTGAGGCCAGGAATAGATTGAGGATGCGTGCCAGTTCTGGAGCATAAATCTACAGTTCTTTTTCTGGGTGGTGTTGCCGTGCGGACAGAGTAAGTGATGGAGAGCAGTGGTTTGTTCTGGGCTTACCCCTCACTCGCTTCCACTTGTTATCAACCCGCCTACTCCCTCCACTCGGCAAGCAGTGAGTGACCTGCTTCACATCCCCCACTCTGCCCAGCCCCACCATCGGCAATTGGGCCTTCAGCCTTTCTGCCCCCACTCTTTGGAACTCTGTCCCGGAGTCCATTCAGAGGAAGATCTTGAAACGGACCTTGAAGGAGGTGAGGCGAATAATAATAACAACAACAACAAGATTCCATTTATTGAGCGCCTTTCACGTCGGGAGGACGTCCCAAGGCGCTGTACAGTTGGGTCAGGACCCGAGCATTGGGGGGAAATGGTCAGGGTGAGGGGAGGGAAGGGAGGGAGCGAGGAGGGGGTAGAGAGTCGAGAAGGGAGCTGAAGGCTCGGTCAAAGAGAAAGGTCTTGAGACCGGCCTTGAAGGAGGAAAGGGAGGAGGCGGCGAAGGCACTGGGGGATAGAGTTCCAGAGCCTCGGAGCTGAGAGGCTGAAGGCCCGGCCACCGATAGTAGGGCGGTTGGGGCGGGGGATGTGGAGCAGACCGGAGCCAGAGGAACGGAGGGTACGGGCGGGTAGATAGGGGGATAGTAGGTCGGAGAGGTAGGAGGGAGCGAGGCCGTGAATAGCCTTGTAGGTGAGGATGAGGATCTTGAATTCGATCCTCTGGGGGATGGGGAGCCAGTGGAGGCGAGCGAGGGCGAGGGTGGGAGTGATGTGGTCGCGGTGTCTGGTGCGGGACAGTACATGAGCTGCAGAGTTCTGAATGACCTGCAGTGTGGAGGGAGGGCCGGGAAGGCCGGCGAGGAGAGAGGTCCCATAGTCCAGCCTTGAGGTGATAAAGGCGTGGACCAGAGTTTCAGCAGCGTGAGGGGTGAGGTAGTGCCGTAGTCTGGCACTAATAATCCTTGCATTTGACATAGCGCTTTTCACGTATTCTAGACGTCTCAAAGTGCTTCACAGAATATACTGTAAAATGAATTGACCATATATTTGCCCACAAATATTCAATTCACTTTACAGTATATTCTGTGAAGCGCTTTGAGACGTCTAGAAGACATGAAAAGCGCTATATCGAATGCAAGGATTATTATTATTATTATTCGCCTCGCCTCCTTCAAGGTCCGTTTCAAGACCTTCCTCTTTGACTGTGCCTTCAGTCTTTCCACTGCCATCCCTACCCTCCGTGGCCCCTCCATCCCTCTTGAATCCAACCCCAGCTCAGGTTCAAACCTTTGACTGTCCAGCGACTTGAGACATCCTCTTGACATGAAAGGCCCTATTTTGTTGTAACTCGGAGATGCCTGAACTTTTGTCTTGTAGAGTGGGGAAGGAAGTAGGCTAGCAGGAAAGCAAGAGATAGAGCTTGCACCTATATAGCACCTAATCCCAATGTCTCAAAGCCAATGATAATAATCCTTGTGTCTAATATAATAATAATATTAATCTTTTCATTTGATATAAAGCCTTATCAAGTCTTTGAGACATCTCAAACTGCTTCACATGAATAACTGTAAAGTGTAGTGACTGGCAGCAGCCAATTTGTGCAATTAAGCAAAGGTGGCAGCCAATTCATGCACAGCAATGTCCCCCAAACAACCATGAAATGAACAACCAATTTTATTTAGGGGATTGTTGGCCAGGAATTGGGCCGAAATGCCTTTCTCTACGATAGTGCCATGGATCTTGTAATGACCCATAATAATATAATAATAATAATCCTTGCATTTGATATTGCGCTTTTCACGTCGGGAGGACGTCCCAAAGCGCTTCACAGAATATACTGTAAAGTGAATTGACTGTATATTTGTGGGCGAACGCGGCAGCCAATTGCGCACAGCAATGTCCCACAAACAGTCGTAGATTGAAAATGACCAATTTATTATTGTTTTTAGTTTTGGAGGGATTATTATTAGGCTCTGTGTGGAGTAAGGAAACTTGCCCAAGGTTTCGCCCTCTGCCTGGAATTGAACTCAGGTCTCTCACTTGCAAAGCGAGTGCTCTAACCACTGAGCCACAGGACCCATCCAACCATGCAGCATACCTGGACTAAGTCCTTATCATATGACATTTCGTAACTGTTTGTAGGACATGTAGCTGGAGCATTGCATCCAATTTTGGGTCCCTCACTTCAGGAAAGCTGTTAAGGCCTTGGAGGGAGTGTGAAATATACTGGGGATGAAGAGCCACACCACCACTACCAACAATAATAACTTGCGTTCCTATAGCATCTCAGACACTTAGTGGCGTGGCTTGCTGCTGAGCTGGAAAGGCGGGGGGACCTCACGGTCGAAGAGGAAATTCTAGTTATGAGAGATTTGAACGGCTGGGTCTGTTTTCAATGTTGCAAAGACGGTTGACGGGGGAACCTGATAGACCTGTACATATTGATGAGGGATTTTGCCCTGTTTTTGCGCAATTGGCTCCCGCATTTCGCCCACAAAATATACAGTCAATCAACTTTACAGTACATTCTGTGAAGCACTTCGAGAAGGGATATGGCGCAATATCAAATGCAAGGATTATTATCATTAACACCATACCAACCTGTCTGCTCCCTCTGCTTGGCGGACACTGGCTTGCTTCATGTCCCTGGAATCCCTCCATGTCACCATGTCCCTTGCCTCCTTCAAGGCTGGTTAGTCTCGAGACCGTCCTCTTTGACCGTGCGTTGGTAACACAGACCAGCTTTGTCAGCCTCTCTGTGCCAGTGACTATCATCCCAGGCGGGCTTTCTGTGGGGCTGTTCAGTAAATCTGAACAAACCTCTGCTTCCTTCCCACAGGATCGAGAGCTACTCCTGTAAAATGGCGGGGGACGACAAGCAGATGTTTAAGCAGTTCTGTCAGGAGGGGCAGCCCCATGTGCTCGAAGCCCTTTCCCCTCCGCAGACCACTGGACTCAGCCCAAACAAGTGAGTACAAAGCTCCTTAGAAGATCAATTCCTTGTAGATGATACAGCACGAAGAACCACGGCTCTTTTTTGCCCTTCTTCGTTCTCTTCTTCCACCTGGAGTAGTCATAGCACAGGTCGCCAATTATGTCTGTGTATTGTGTTCACTCCACCTACTCTAATCCCATTCCCTGCTCTTTTCCCCATTGTATCTGTGCTGGTGCTCGCTCCCACACTAGAGCTCTCTACTCTAATCCCATTCCCTGCTCTTTTCCCCATTGTGTTGGTGTTGGATGTGCGTCTCTGTCTGTGTGTGTGAGATTAAGGTGTGTGACAGGTTCAGTAAGAGTCAGAATGACAGTGACTGAGCTTTAATTTGTGTGATTCCTGTGACAGGTTCAGTAAGAGTCAGAGTGGTGATGAGGGTGAGGGACCACTCTGTGACAAGTGCAGCCGTAAGACACTCTTCTACCTGATCGCAACGCTCAATGCGTCCTTCCGTCCTGACTATGACTTCAGCACAGCCAAAAGCCATGAGTTCAGCAAGGAGCCCAGTCTTACCTGGGTAAGTAAACGCTATCTGTGGTTCCACCCACTGTAGCTCCAGGGACGTCAGACTTCGGGGCCCAGATCTGCGGGTGTGTTGTTATTTAGTTCATTTGCAGAGTTGATGATCTGGGGTTTCAGGAACACGACACGCTGGAGGACAGGGATTTTTCTACACAGGTCCTGTTAACCCTGCAAGCCAAAGCTCGTAATGGGTAAACAAAACGCAAAGTACTGCAGATGCTGGAAATCTGAAACAAAAACAGAAGTCGCTGGGAACACTCAGCAGGTCAGGCAGAATCTATGGAGAAAGGAAAGTGAGTCAAGGTTTCAGGTGACCGAACCTTCGTCAGAGCTGGGGCATGTTGGGAGGGAGAGGCTTTTAAGGTCTAACAGGGAGGGGTGAGGCAGGGCAAGGAAGACAAAGGAGAAAATGAGGTTGGGGACAGGGGATGATGGGTTAAAAGAGGTATTAATGATGCAAACAAAGGGGGGGATTGCAACAAAACTGGGGAATAGAGGTGTCAATAATGCAAAACAAAGTTGGAGGGAGGGAATTGCAACAAAATAGGCAGACCAGAGAGAAAAGGTGTGTATGGGACTCAGATGATGTGGTAATGGTTACAGAAGAGGGGGAAGGTGAGCTGTTTTGGTCTGAAATTGTTAACCGGTAGGGTAGTCCTAGCTGGACAAACAGCGGGAAGCTTGCCAGACATCAGTCTCAATGGAAAGCTATACAGTTTTAGCTGGTTAGACTCAAGCAGTTACCCCACACTCGGGGATCCCCAAGCCTTGCCAATTTGAATCTAATACTCTCCCGAATTAAGTAAGGAGAGTGCATTCCTTTAAGGTGAGCGTGCACATTCCACAGGGACACAGGGAAATTTCATACAAATATGGAACTCTGTCTGGTTTGGATACTCTGAACGATGATGGTTTTCTGCAGATGTCAGTTACTTGACTGACCAAAAAAAAGAGCCCCAAGGCAGGGCCTTTGAGTTCACTCCAGGCTGAAGTTCCATCAAAGTCCTGGGGGAAGCTCTGCATTATTCAAGCATTGAACTTTAAATGACACTTTTAAACTGAGATCCCGTCTGCGTGCTTAGGTGGACACTAAAGATAATAATGATAATCCTTGGATTTGAAATAGTGCCTAAATCACGTCGTTGAGATGTCCTTAAAGCGCTTCACAGGATATACTGTAAAGTGTAGTGACTGTGGCTGAAACTCGGCAGCCAATTGCGCACAAACAGTCGTGGATTGAGTGACCAAATTTTTATTTCATAATAATAATATTAATCCTTGCATTAGATATATGTACAATAGTGGGTTCTGTGTCAATGGTCTGTCTGTCTGTCACTCTCTACAGGTGGTGAATGCAGTGAACAGCAGCTTGTTCTCTGCCATTGGGGAGGAGTTTAACACTCTGAAACCCCAGTTGTGGAACGCTGTGGATGAGCAGATCTGCCTCTCGGAGTGTGACATCTACAGGTAATAAACATAGCTACACTCTATTACATAGTCCAGCAATTCACCAAACTAGTCTCTGTCGCTGTCCACATGAGCTTGCACCCCTCTCCTCTCTTCCATCCACCCTCCTATTTCCCTCTCCTCCACCCACCCACCTATTCCCCTCTCCTCCACCCACCCTTCTATTAACCTCTCCTCCATTCACCCACCCCCTGTTCTGCTTTACATGGTAATTTGTGCTGGTGTGTTGGGAAGCTGATTTATCCAAACCTCACTCTACCTGCTGGCTAGAAAAACCCGATAAACATTCACTTTCACAGAGGGAAAGAGTCCAGAGCTTGACAACAGGACAGAACTTCACTGTTGTCTCAACATTATCCCCGTTAGAAATCCACCCTGTGTGTTAGGCCAGTTCTAGTGTCTCAGCCTGACTAAATTGCTGTAGCCTCTGGGTCAGAGAGATCTGAGTTCAAGCTCCACATCAGACATTCCATCACAGTCCTGCAGGAAATGCTGCATTGTCAAGACATCTTGTCCTGTGTATGAGACATTAAACCGAGATTCCTTCTGTGAAGGGTTAAGAAGATGTTAAAGATCCTGTGATGCTATTGGGCTGAAAATCTTTTAAATAAATCATTCATTTACCCCAAGGCTATTTGTGGGATCTTGCTCTATGCGTTATCTCCTTAAAAAAAAATCCCTCAGTCGCTATACTAAAATTAGTAGTCATTGAGTGGATCAGGCGCCCTAGGGATTTGGTGAAAGCATAAAGTGTTGATTCTTTCAAAAACAAATTAAATACAGAATATAGTTTGGGATAGGACATGTGCTTGCGACCGCCAAGATGGTAGAAGGCGAACTAGATGGACCTTGGTCTTCTTTTGTCCAGCAAATTCTTATGTTCTTATGTTCTAAATTGCAATGGGCTCTCGTTACATTATTCTTTGAACCATCCTTCCCAGCTACAACCCTGACCTGGACTCAGACCCGTACGGTGAGGAGGGCAGCCTCTGGTCTTTCAACTACTTCTTTTACAACAAGAAGCTGAAGAGAATAGTCTTCTTCACGTGCCGCTCAGTCAGGTGAGGCTTACCTGTGATGAGTTGTCAAGTAGACAGAAGTTTATCATTGTGAAGTCTGTAAATATGAGCAGTCTAGACAGGAGACACTGCCGTCTATAAATGTGGTCAGTCTTGACAGGAATCATTGCCATCTGCATTGGGGAGTTCTGTAAGTTATTGGTTAGAGCACTCGCCTCGTAAGCAAGAGTACCCAGTTTCGACTTCCGAACGGGGTGAAGCTTTAGGTATATTTCCTTGATTCACACGCCTCTGGTTACCTAGCAGTATGTAGGAATCTGGTTGTTAGTCGTTTGCTGGATTGGTTTTCTGGGGGTAATAATCCCTTCATCAAAATAAATAAATAAATAAAATAATAATAATTTGGTCACTCAATCCACGACTGTGTGTGGGACACTGCTGTGCGCAATTGGCTGTCACGTTTCTCCCACAAATTACAGTCAGTCCACTTTTCAATATATTCTGTGAAGCGCTTTGAGACATCTCAACGAAGTGATAAGGCACTATATCAAATGCAAGGATGATGATTATAATGTGACTAGTCTAGATGTGTGTGCTTTGCTGTCTAATGCTGGCTCCTTGACCTCCAGCGGCTACCTGTACAGTCAGGACACCGAGGTCAGTAACAACTTTGATATGGACCTGGAGGATGAAGACCTGCTCAGTCTGGATGAGGAAGAGGAGGAGGAAGCGGAAGCCATTGAAGAGGGCAGGTCTGTATCTGGTTCACAGGTTTCTTCTTCATCCACTGAACACAACATTGAGTTGTGAATTCTGTAATGGGATGGTCAGCATTCATAGGCCAACGTGTCCTTCACAGCTGCATTGATCCACGGATGTTGGTTGTTAATTCCCTATCAGCCTCTCTGCTCAGTGGGCACTGACCTTCCCTATGTTCCCCACACTGCCCGCCCCACCATCAGCGGTCGGGTCAGCAGCCTCTCTACCCCTACCCTTTGGAACTCCTTCTCACAATCCCTTCGCCTCGCTTCACCCTTGCCTCCTTCAAGCCTTGTCTGAAGACCTTCTTCTTCGACCGCACCTTAAGTCACCCTCCTACCACCACACTCCCTGCCCTCCACCCCTCCTGATCCCGACCCCCAGCTTGAATACACATCCTTGACTGTCCAGCGCTTTGGGACATCCTCCCAACGTGGAAGCTGCAAAACAAATGTCATTTATTGTTGTTGGTAGTGTAAGGGTTAATTTAATTTGGTGACCCCACAGTGAGGTAAGGACTGACACAAATGTTATACAATTAATCAAGGTTTATTAATTCAGATTAAACAATACATCCAATTATGTTTATGTATCCACGTATATTGTAGTTCACAGCGATTTAATTTGATCAAACCAGGAGAGAGAGATGTGCATTGTCCATGAATCCAAATATATATCCATCAAAAGGTATCTAGGTATTATTGTATGGTTCCCAATTCAATATCACCCTAAAGTATCCAGGTATTATTGTGTGTTTAGTGTTGATTAAATCGTAATCATGAACTTCTTTTTTTAGAAATTGGAATATAGTTCGCAATTCCAATTTCCAATTTTTTCCTTCTCTCATTTTCTCTTTCAAATCGATGTCCGTTTCTACCGTTGATTAGGTGACTTTTCACCTGTTGTCTTTTGCAAGATGGTTCATTTGTAAAAACAAATGCAACATTCTCTCCAGCAACAGACCATTTTCCCATGAGAAAATGACTGATAAGGAATGAAAACAGTTTGTTGTTTATAAAGTCTTTTGTTTCTCCTCCTTGATCTCCTCCGAAGCTAGTCACAGCCAGCTCCACTCATAGCTTGATCATATGTTTCAAATATATAAACATCGCAAATATAATTTGAGATATTATTTAACACATTCTGTAACTAATTAATCCTACAGTGGTTAATAACTCCTTCCCCTCCCTCTCCTGCTCAGGTGTATTACAGTAGATTACTGCTGTGAATCTTACTGTTATCTTCTTTCAACTAAATTTTGACCAACTGAATTCTGTTGACCATCCACTGCATTGTACTCACTGCCCCGGCTATAAATCCCAGAATTAGGTTGCTTTTCTGCTGTCACTTCCACCATGTCAACATTAGGATTGTGCCCTTTAGGATGTACAATATTTTGTTTTTCCCAGTTTGATGGTTACCACTTCTATGCAGTGAATTGAGGTCCATGGGGTGATGATCAGCCTTTATTGATTGTACTGTGAAGCTTTTGCTAGATGAGCTCTTTCTATAATAACCTTTAATGCTTGCACTTAATAGAGCAGCTTCCGTATCAGGAGGATGTCTCAAAGTGCTTCACAGAATGTAATGTAGTGTGAAGTGCAGTAACTGTATACTTTGTATTAGCTACTTATTGTGTTAAACCTCCTCCCCCGGCTGCTTCTTCCATTCAACAAAGACTCACATTTAGCAAGTTTCCTTACTCCACACAACTCTGTTTACCTAGTAGGAACGCGGTTGTTAATCAATTGCCAGATCGCTTTTCTGGGTGTAATAATCCCTTCAAAAACATTTTTTTTAAAATAATTTGGTCACTCAATCCACAACTGTTTGTGAGACACTGCTGTGCGCGTTTGGCTGCTGCGTTTTGCCCACAAAATACACCGTCAGTTCACTTCACGGTATAGTTTGAAGGGCTTTGAGACGTCTCAACGATAATAATCCTTATATTTAATATAGAGCCTTATCACATCTTATGGATATTTTGTGGGCAAAACGCTTATTATTATTAGCGACTAAATGGAGTAATCTGGTTTCCCCTCTTCCCCCCCCCCCCCATTTGTTGTTTCTTTTTTTTCAGAAAGTATTGGATAAGAGGATTTTTAACTTGTGTCTGTGACGTTGTGCTTCCTTTCCTCAGATACCAGGCAGTGTGCGTCTGAAGAGGGGTTGAAGAGGGGCAGACCTCGCTTGCTCCCTCGCTCGCTTTCCCTGGCATTTCCACTCCTTCAACCTTTCGGCGCGAGCAATTCCGTGAAGGTGAACAACCAGCACTTTTTTTTCCCCACATTCTTAATCTCAGGCGTTGCAAAAAGATACTTCTTCCCACCGCCCCCCCTCCCACCCTGACAGGCTTCAGAGGAGAGCTGTTGCTAAACTCTTGCTTGAGAGGTCACCTTGTGAACCGCATGAAGATTTTGAGGTCAGCCGGAGCAGGTGGGTTGGAACTGGCTCCCTCCAGCTCTTACCTCTGTGAGAGGAGCGGCTGCTGTTGGCGCATGGCTTTGATGACCTCCCTTGCTGACTGTGCTCTTACCCAGTCCCCTGAGTTTGTTGCACTGACTTGTCCACGTGACGTGGTGGATCCGGCACAGACATTGAGTGGAAGAGAGAGGACCAGGCTATCTCCAAGGATCCTCGATGTAGAAAGAGCACCAGGCCTCCTCTCTCAGACTTCAGCTTCCTGGTGCTTGGCTTGGCCAAGTGATGGCTGCGCTTCACTGGGTGAGAGACTGCCACTCCGACTCAACCATCCCTCCCGCCAGCAGCCTGCTCCTCCATCTCTCCAAGGATTGTGATTGATTGAGAGACCAGGGGCGGGCATGCTTTCTTCCAAAAGAAGATTAGGAATAAAGGCGTCCAAGCTTGGACAAGCAAGAGCCGGCCGCACCCACCCACCAGGACAACCCTGCCGCCTGAATGCACTGCTCAGAACATCAGAGAGCGTAACAACCGTCTCTCCTGTCTCTTCTCCAGTCTGTCTCCCTCTCACTCTCTCCAGTCTGTCTCCCTCTCACTCTCTCTCTTCTCTCCCCGCCCCCCCCACCCCCGTCTCTTTCTCTCCCTTTTTAAGTCTTTGTTTTCTCTCTCTCCTTTATCTCCCTCTTCATTCTTATCTGCTCTGTTCTATCCAGCCCCCACTTTTTTTTACAGCTTGATTCCTTACCTTTTTTGGATTTTAAAAATAAACAGATAGTATATAATTAACAAGTTTAACAATTTAACAAGTCCTTTCCCTTATTATTCTGTAACTATTATATTTTGGGAGAATAATTGATCCTTCAAGTGCTGGATCATGCCAATGGAGCTTCCACATTCCCCAAAATCCCAGCAGTGACTGGTCACACCTCTGCAGCATCAACAACAAATTACATTTATATAGCACCTTTTACGAGGACGTCCAATCGCACTCACTGTCCGGGAGGATGAAATGAGGCGTGCGGGTTATCTGCCAACTTTCAGACTGGTTGATCATAAAATTGTCCAGCACCGAAACGGCAGATCAGACAATCTCATCTGCTTTTTTTTTTGAAAATATATATTTATGAATATAATATTTAGTACAACAGAAATCCCAAACAAACAACATCTTCTTATAATTTTTTCCTTTCCTCCCACTACAAAAAACATTCCATTGTTTACAGTACATTCCTTCACCACACATAGGTTGTGTTGTGCACACGTTTTTTGAGTCGCCTTTGTGTACACCACATCCATGTGCACGCCCGCGCACACCCTGATAAGGTGCACGTGCAGCTTTCGGAAGGTGCCCAATGTGCACCATACGCGTACATGTTTACATTTTCGGGACACTCTTTAGTTACATCTCAAGTGTCCTTCTGTACCCTCACTTCAGTCAGTTTTGGGTTTGCCCTGAGCAGGTTGTGCCAGAGCGGCTCCTGCTGGGGTCAGGCCCCATCTGGCCTTTGCCATGGTTGAGCCGAACTTCAGCTTGTCCCTCAGTGTATAATCCCTAATCCTAGTGTGCGCAAGCCTGAGGCAGGCCCTCACCATTCCTCGTTCTGCTAGAAGAACGCCTGGTTTTGGGAGGGCCAAAGGGTCTCCTTTACGGAGTTTATGATCCTCTAGGCTCACTTGATGTGGGTTTTGTTGTGAGTGCCCGGGAAGACAGGCAGTACAGCACCAAGTGTCGTGACAGCCGGTCCCCAGGGACGAACCACAAGAGAATCCATTCCATCTTTTTCCAAACCGCCTTGTGAAATAACACTCCAGGAAGAGGTGGTCCACGGTTCCTGGACTCTGCAGCCGGCCCGAGGGCAGCACTGACTGGTCCAGACCTCGACCGTGCAGGAAGGCCCTGAGAGGGAGGCCCTTTTTATCGTCAGCCAGGCCATGTCCTGATGCTTGTTGGTCAGGGCCGGTAACGAGGCATTTTGCCTGTCATAGCTGGCTGTCACTGCAGGGTACCTCCCAATCGGGTCTGCCCTCTCCCCCTTTCGAACTGTTTTGATTAGCTGCCACGCGGACCACTCAGTGATCACACGGGGGTCTGGGATGGTGTTCTTCAGGAATTTCTCAACATAGGATAGGTGGTTCGAGCTCCAACTGTGTGGAATGCTTCGAGGCAGTTCTGCCAGACCCACCCTTCTTGGCACTGGGTACAGGTAGAAGCCCAGCATGTAGTGGCATTTGTTGCCCGTTTGGCAGGGCTCTAGGCACAGCCTCAGGCAGCTACACACAAAGGTGGCCATGAGGATCAGGGCTACATTAGGGATCCCTTTCTTCCCTTTTCCAGGGTTTTGTGCATCGCGTCTCTGCAGACATGATCCATCTTGGAACCCGAGATCAGTTGGAAGACCGCTCTGGTGACAGCAGTGGCGTTGTTTCTGGTCAACGTACAGTAACACCGAGAAGGCCTCTCACTTGATCACCAGATTTTTCCTAGTGATGGACAGCGAGTGCTGGTGCTACATCACCAGTTTATTCCTCACTATGCCAAGATGCTCCTCCCAGCTTTAATGGCATTGCCCCGGCAGCCCCAAACCAGATGCCAAGGACTTTGAATTAGTCTGGCTTCAACGCAAAAGGTATGTGATTGCATTCTTTCTAGTCTCCAAAATACATCACCTAATTTTTCTGGTGGTTGCCCTGGGCTCCAGAGGCTTGTTCAAACCGGTCGCAAATGCCTAGCAGGCTCACGACCAATTTTTGGTCTGTGCAAAAGGTCTGTCCATATGCGTTGGTGTTTTTTTTTTACACACAGGATAGTCAGGAAAAAATGGGACCCATCAGGCTCGCTCCAAGCAGAATCTCACCATTGGGCTTCCCATGCTCCCCATCGAGCTTATCATGCCTGCCTCCAGCCGTGTCAGCCTCCCACCCAATCTTACTCCACGCCAATCAAACTCACCCAGCAGTAAAGGGGAACCCGATTGTTAGTTGATTGCCAGATCGCTTTCCTGGGGTAATAATCCCGCCAAACTATCAATGAGCAATCAAACAAACTATCAAACAATCAATAAGCAAATTTGGTCACTCAATCCACAACTGATTGTGGGACACTGCTTTCGTGCACAAAATATACAGTCAACCCACTTTAGAATATATTCTGTGAGACATCTCGAAGATGTAGTGAGGCGCTATATCAAACGCAAGGATTATTATTATCCAGAATTGTCAACACTTTGGGATTTCATCCTAACATGAAAGGCACTACATAAGTAGATTGCACTGTGCAAGTCAACAGAGAAAGATTGACCTAAAAAATTTCCTCCCTGACCCTTGATAGCAATCGAGGAGCCACCCTGTCTTGTCTCTTGTTCGGTCTCTTTTTCTCCCCCTTTCCCACAAAAAAAAGGTTGAGTCAGCTTGGCTTTCGCCTCCGAGTCAGAAGGTTGCGAGTTCAATCCCATATTGGGACTCAGAACCAATATTGACCAGGCTGACATTCCAATGCAGTGCTGGAGGGCTGCTGAATTGTCAGAGGTGCTGTCTTTCAGATGAGATGCCCATCAGGTAGATATTAAAAATTCAATGCCAATACTCAAAAAGCGAAGGGAGTTTCTCACTTCTGGTGTCCTGGCCAACAAAATTGGTCACTCACTACATGGCTGTTTATGAGACATTGCTGTAGGCAAAATAGCTGCTGCATTCACCTACAAAACACAGTGACACCACTTTACAGGCACTTTCAAACTTTGATGATGTGTTATGGTGCAATAATAACGGAAGGCAACGATTATTATTAAAAATATTCCTCCTCAATCCTTCCTCCTAAATCATTCCCTTTGAAACAAATTGACAGCTGATCAGCCAGTGCACCTGAAGAGAATTACACATTCAACCCATACCCTGTGGAGAGACAGTTATTTAACGAAAATCCTTGCATTTTATACGGCTTTCACATCAGGAAGACGTCTCAAGGCAGTTTACATTGAGGTTTAGAGACTGTTTTGTAGGTGAACACAGCAGCCAATCTGGATGCAGCAATGTCCCATAAACTGGTATGAAGTGAATGACCAATTTTATTATAGAATCAAAGAATTATACCATCTTTACTCATCCAACTTCACAGAATAAACTATAAAGTGAATTCATAGAATTATACAGCACAGAAGGAGGCCTTTCAGCCCATCGTTTCTGTGCTGGCTCTTTGAAAATAGCTATCCAAATCAATCCCAGTTCCCCGCTGTCTCCCCATTGCCCTGCAAACTTGTCCTCCCCGAATAATTATCTACTTCTCCCTTAAAAGTTGTTATTGAATCGGCTTCCATCACCCTTTCAGGCAATGCATTCCAGATCTGAACAGCTCGCTGTGTGAAAAAAATGTCTCCTCACCTCCCCTCTGTTTCTTTTAACAACTATTTTAAATCAGTGTCCTTGGTTAGCGGACCCACCCACTAGTGGAAATGGTTTCCCTGTGTTAACCCTATCAAATTCCCTCATAATTTTGAAAATTTCTATTAAGTCTCTTAGTCCTCTGCTCCAAGGAAAATAATCCTTGTTTCTCTAGCCTTGCTTCAAAACTGAAGTCCCTCATTTCTGGTACCATTCTGGTAAATCTCCTTTGCTCCCTCTCCAATGCCCTGACATCCTTTCTAAAGTGTGAGGCCCAGAACTGAACACAGTCTCTCGCTGAGACCTAACCAGCGTCTTATAAAGGTTCATCATAACTTCCTGACTTTTGTATTCTATGCCCCTATTTATAAAGCCTAGTATCCTGTGTGCTTTTTTAACAGCTTTATCTACCTGTCCACCTTCAAACATTTACTTATATGAACCCCCAGGTCTCTCTGTTCTTTCACCCCCTTTAAGATTGTACCATCAGCTTATATTGCCTCTCCTCATTCTTTCTGCCAAAATGCATCACTTTACATTTCTCCACATTTGACTTCATCTGCCACGTGTCTGCCCATTTTACCAGTCTGTCTATGTCTATTTGCAGTCTGTTACTATCCTCCTCACTGTTTACTACTGTTCCTAACTTAGTATCATCTGCAAACTTGGAAATTGTACTCCGTATACACAAGTCCAGGTTATTTATATAATACTGACCCCTGGGGCACCACTGCATTCTCCCCTCCAGTCATAAAAACAACATTCATCACGCTCTCTGCTTTCTGTCTCCCAGCCAGTTCTGTATCCTGCTGCCACTGTCCCTCTAATACCGTGTGTGTCTATTT